TCAGATCCCTGGAACTGGAGTTACAGACAGTTGTGAGCCACCATATGGATGCTGGGGACCCAACCTGGGTCCTCTGAAGGAGCCGCCAGTGATTCTTAATTGAGCCATCTCTCCAGCCCTTACAAGAAATTTTTTCATTTTGTTTTTCTTTATTTCTTCAGGTTTATGCCTGTGAATACAATGATGCATGAATTTACTTTCATAAATATGTATATATATACTTAAAGTTGTTTGTGTGTGCACACGTGTGTGAGAGAACATGTACATACTGCTGGAGGGTTGGACCTGATCCTCTGAACGCTAAATGATCCTCTACCAATAAGAATCACTGAAGTTTCATTGTGAGATAATTTAGGTTCTCAGAATCATCATGCGTCTTAAATAATACAGATTCCTCCCAGGTTTGGTGGAGAGCTGCACGGAGATGGATTTCAGGTGAAACATCCTTTAGTAACGATTCCCCTGCAGTGGGGGAAGCTGGGATAGGAGATCCAGCAGCAGCCCAGAGAACAAAGAATCCTCTCATAGACTGCAGAGAGGGCCATCTCCGAGGGTAGAGGGGAAGTGTCCCCAAGTGCAACAGCAAGGGCCTTTGCATTCAACAGATCAGTGAGGGCACTACACAGCATAGAACACCATAATTTGGAAAACTAATATTTTTGCCCCCCACTACTTTGGGACTGTTGCATGCTGGGAGTTTAGCAGTTCAGGGAAAGTACCAGATGACTCTGAGATGGGGCTGATTGTCTCTACAGGGGAGGCATCTGTGAGCTAAGGCTGTAAGGGTAGTGGAGGCCGTAGCGTAGTTTATTTCATGTTAACATCTCAGCAAGCACAGAATAACCACAGCTAAGTGAGAAAGAGCATGAGATTGACCAGCACATAACAGTGCATATCAGCTGAACACACAAGCACGCACAAATACACACACACACACACACACACACACACACACACACACACACACGATCACAGGTTTTATGAAGATGAAGGGAAAAGAAGGAATTAGGAAGGGCTTGTAGGCTGTTCATGAACTGGCCAGATAATCAATCCAGCCTGCACGCCTGCCTTCCCTATACATTGCAATGTAATCTTTGTGCCACCAGGCCTGGCCCAAGGTCATTCTTAAAAGTGACACAAAAAGGGATAAATAGGAGAATGTTCTTACCACGTATGACCTGTCTTCTCTTAAAACTACTGTTTTGTTTGTGGATTTCTCTAATCCTTTAGAATATCTTTCTTTTTTCACATTTATTCATTGTCTTAGTTAGGGTTACCATAGCTGTGGTTGATGTGGGATAATGCTCTTGCTCCCTGTAAAGATTTGCCATTCCTATTGGATTAAAAAAAAAAACGCTGACTGATCAGTAGCCAGGCAGGAAGTAGAGGCAGGGATATGAGACTAGGAGAATTCTGGGAAGAGGAAGGCAGAGACAGAGTCACCAGCCAGATGCAGAGGAAGTAAAATGAGAATGCCTTACTGAGAAAAGGTACCAAGCCACGTCTAAACATAGATAAGAATTATGGGTGAATTTAAGTCGTAAGAGCTAGCTCGTAATAGGCCTGAGCAATAGGCCAAACGGTTTATAGTTAAGCCTCTGCATGTTTGTTTAGGACTGAATGGCTATGGGACCAGGTGGAACGGAAACTTCCATCTACATGTGATAAAACACCATTGACCAAAATCAACTTGGCAGCTTACAGTGCCACAGTGCAATTCATCACTGAGGGAAGTCAGTCAGGGCAGGATCGTGGAGGCAGGAGCTGATGCAGGCCATGGAGGGTACCACTTACTGCATTGCTCTCCATTGCTTGCTCAGCCTGCTTTCTTATGCAACCCAGGACCACCACCTGCAATGGTCTGGGCCCTCCCACATCAATCACTATTTAAGAAAATGTCTCACAGGCTAGGTCACAGGCCAATGTGGTGGAGACTTCCCTCAAGTGATGCCGTCTCTTCCCAAACAGATCAGTCATCACATCATTAACAAAATCCACTCTCAGATTTCTGGATAGAATTTGGGTGTTTGATTTTTATCTCTCCAATGAGGAAACACCCCTGTGCCATTAACATTCCCGGTTCTCTTACTGCTTCTCTGTGAGTTCAAGGACCTCTGTGTCCTCAGCAGTATTTGCCACCACTGCTCTTAATCAACAATACCAGAAGTTGACCTGTGGCACACACATGTATATGAACACGCAAGTGCACACACACAACCCCCCCATATGTACATACCTATTTTAAGGAATAAGGGTGTGGCTAAGTGGTTGAGTACTTGCCTAGCAGGCACAGAGTCCTGTACACCAGGTTACTTTGGGTGTTTTGAGAAGGGGTCTGCCCATGTGGCCTAGGCCAGCCTCAAATGTGCTTTCGCCACCCTTCCTCTCTCTGCCCCAGTAAGTACTGAAATGACAGGTGTGTACCACCATGCCCAGCTTGGTAATTTTTTTAAAAAGGATTTGTTTATTATGTATACAGCTTTCTGTCTGCATGTATCCATGGGGCACGCCAGAAGAGGGCACCAGATCTCATTATAGATGGCTGTGAGTCACCGTGGAGTTGCTGGGAATTGAACTTGGGACCTCTGGAAGTGCAGCTGGTGCTTTTAACCTCTGAGCCATCTCTCCAGCCCCAGCTTGGGAAATTTTAACAAATTAGATGCTGTCACAATTGAAGAAGACACAAAATGGGGGCCCATTTTGTATCTCAGTGGCGGGGTGCTTGTCTCGCATGTGTGAGCTCCTAGGTTCCATCTCTAGCCCTGAAAATTTTACAGAGAGAGATGCGGGAAGTTAATGGGCATAGTGTTGAGTGCCAGTAATGGTACTGGAGAATCAGGAGTTCAAGACCATTCTGGGCTAGGTGAGATGGGATAGGGGGAGAGAAAGAGGAGGGGGGGGGGAGAAAAAGAGCATGAATGAACAGAGACTCAAAGCCAAGCCATAGGTTGCTATAGACTTTAATAGAAATAGTGTAACTGTTTTGCAAAACAATTTGACAGCTTCCTGTAAAGGTAAAGAAGGGGTATCCTGGTCAAGTCTGCTGGTACAAGCCTGGAATTAGGTTTACAGGGAGTACTCAAGTGGCTGTAGGAGGCTAACAAGTTTAAGGCCAGTCTGGACAATTCAGTGATACTCTGTCTCAAAATAAAAAGTTAAAGGGGGCATTGCTAATAGCTCGGTGACCGTGCCTACAGAGTGTTCAGTGCCCTCCTTCAGCGCTGCAGCAGAAAACAAACCCACCCTCTTATGAACCAGGCCACCCACTTCTGGGTAATTTTCCAAAAGAAATGAAGATGTGCATACAATGAGTTTTATAGACATATGAAAGTCAGTTTTATTCACAGTATCCCCTGCTGGAAACAAAATATCTCACTTTGGGGTTCTGAGAGGGTGCCTCAACATTAGCTTGGAGTGTTTGATCTCAATGCAGGAGAAAACCACAGTGACAAAGGGGAAAGTGTAGAGTGTCACTCCAGCACTAGAGTTATGTGCAGCTCCAACTCCTTCCAAAGCAAGGATTAGTCCTCTTTAAGAGTTTCCACTCTGCCCCTCCCAGCTTCTTTGTTTGTTTTAAGTTTTCAAGACAGGGTTTCTCTGTGTAACAGCCCTTGACTGTCCTGGAGCTCACTCTGTAGACCAGGCTGGCCTTGAACTCACAGAGATCCACCTGTCTCTGCCTCCTGAGGGCTGGGATTAAAGGTGAACGCCACCACCACCTGGTCCCTCCCAGTTTCTTAATGTGGTCCAGGCATCTAATCCTACCCTGTACCTGCTTCCTAGGAACCCTGTGCAAGCCTGCTTGCTTTAACTAAACAAACCAATTAGAAGTTGATTTGGGGTATCTTCTTGGCACTGGTAATGGCCTTGGTCTACTTGTCCATCTTATTCTGGATCCTGGCAGTTGGTTGAGGACGGTGGAGGGTAAGTGCTTACTCTGGGGTCTATAATTCACCAGTTGTATTCATTGTGTTTCCTTGGGTCACCTACCCTGTGGCTCACATACCTACCACACCAGACTGGGCTTTTTGTTTTGTTTTGTTTTTGTTTTGAGGGGAAGAGGCCAGATTTTTTTCTAGAGAAGGCTGTCTTTGTAGGAATAATTCAGACATCGTTAAGAGAAGAGCCACAAGGGCCCTTGCCAGTATGATCATATTTTCTGAGAGGGGACATGTGGTCATAGGTCACACACTAGGCAGATGGCTGCCCTCCACTGTCCTGTGGGGGGAGGGGACATTGTAAATATTAAGTCCCAAGTCCGGTGCTCTATCAGGTTAAGGCCAAGTACGTAACCTCTGTCCAGTGACAGACCAGAGTCAGAAAAGAATACAATCATCTGTTGTGTTCCACCACTAGGGTGAATTTCAAAGGCATTGTGCCCGTTGAAAAGAGCCAGGCACAAGAGAACACTGGCTTACTGATTGTTTAGAGGGCATTCTGGGAACGACAGGGGATAGCAATAGAAATCAGAACTGTAGATGTCTGGATCGGCCGAAGAGGCCAAAAGGCTGGAAAGAGGCAAGAGGGAACTTTTGGGGGAAATGAAAATGTGGTTCTTGAACTGGGGCAGTACCTAGTCCGGCCTTCTGTTTGTCAAAAGCCTCAGGTCTCAGACAATATGAACAATTTCTGGCATTTATTGCATGTAAAGAATATCTCGATGCAGTAGTTCTTTGGTTTCCTTTGCTGTTTTTGTTTGTTTGCTTTTTAATGTGAACACTGTTGTGAAGGTGAAAGACGGGTGACTCTGTCCAGACCTTACAAAATCAGGATTTGGAAGACTGGAATTGGCTCAGGGAAGCATCGTGCCGCAAGGGGGCACTGTCACAGTTGGTGAGCCACACGCCTCTCCAGCTGGAGGCGGGGATTCGAGGGACCCCCGGAAGCTACAGGCTCCCGAGTGGTGCATACATCCGCAGAGGGGGGGCTGTGACGGGGTTGTGACGCATCCCTGCGGAGTGGGCACCGCATCACGAGGCTCCGCTCTGCGCACCGCCCCTCTTGCATAGGGCATCATCGGTGCTGGCAGCCCCGAAGCCTCCTCTCCCCCCGCCCCGCAACACAGGCGGGGCCAAGATTCCTGCGACACTTTGCTCTCCAGCCGGCGGTTGGGCGAGTAGCCCGTCCCTGTCTGCACCACGCACAAAGGGACAGCATTGGTCTTGTGTCAGCATGGAAGGCGCTGCCCCGGACAACAGCCTTCAGGGCTCAGCATCCGGAGTGAATGGGACCAGCAGCGGAAGGGCCACATCCCCAGTCCACTCCCTTAGGCGATCTCCGCCTCTGGCACAGGAACCTCCACGGCGTTCAACTTGGTTTGGTTTTAGTGGGATTTGCTTTGGTTGGGGCTAAAGACGGGCACGGGGCCTCACACATGCTAGGAGAAGCAGTCACCACCCACCCACTCGCCACTCCCAATACAGGGTGATTTGTTTCGAACGACAAAAGATGTGTGACTGAAAGCTGGCGCGGTGGCGCACGCCTGTAATTCAGCTCCTGGGAGGATGAACAGGAGGATGGCGAGTTCGAGACCACCGAGACCCTGTCTCAAAACAAGCAAACAACATGTACGGCGAGAAACGCGCTGGCGTGACTATGCTAGTCCTGATAACGAAGCTTATCCGGCATAGGTTTACAAGGAAGGGCTGCTGACAGAATGCACTCACAGCACAGGCAAAGTAGGATCAGTCCCTCAGGAGCCCCCACTGCAGACTGCGGGACTGGGGGCGGGGGCATGCACAATTGTCCCCATCCTCCGCCCCGCCTAGCGAGTTCTGCCTGATCTCTGGCCTAATTCCCTAGTGGCAGTCCAGAGCCGGCTGTGGAGAGGGAAGGGCATCGCCCCACCCCGCCTGCAGTCCTCTGTCCCGCAGGCGCAGGGCCTTAGGGCCTCGGGTGCCGGCCCCCGCTCCGGGTGACCCTGGTAGCCAGCGTGGCAGGTGCAGCCCAGAGGCAGCGAGTGGGTGAGTCAGTCCCAGGCTGGGAAGAGTGACTGGGGACGGGATGAGGGCACAATGGGGTCCACCTTTAGCTTTGCATGCAGCCCACAGATCAGCAGGGGAGACGTAGCTCGCACCAGCAGATTTCCCCCAAACCGCAGGCTGAGAGCACTGACAGGCAGGGAACCTAGGGGACTACACGGGACTCATGCTGACATTTTCCTGGGAAGGGAGGCTCAGGGTGCTTTCCATTTTAGAGCACTGGCTTAGGGCCCAGAGGCCTAGGTTTGCATCCTCTCCTGTTACCAGACTTTCCCGGAGCCGGGGTTCCTAGGAGGGATCCACAGCCATACTGAGTCTCGATATCCCCATCTAGAACATAGCAGCAAGGTTTCCATGGAACAGAAACTTTAAAAAGTGCGGAGAAAGACGTCTGTGTGCACCGAGAGATCCCCTAATTTTAGCTGGGAGAAACCAAACCAAGCCTGCCTTTCCCCTGAGAGAATGGGACCCAGGGGTCCCATGGAGGCAAGGACAAGGGAAAGGGGACCCTGTAGGCCAGTGAAAAGCTTTCTTGTCGATGATCATGGACGTCTTTGCAACACCATGGCAGGGACAGTTGCTGCTTTCTGTGAAGAGGACATCCTTCCCCTGTGCTCAAATGTCACGTGTCTCCTCCAGATACCTTTATCCCAAACCACTGAGAAGCACTGTCAAGATGGTCAAGGCCTTGAATTTTCCTGTTGCAAAGCGGAATTCCATTTTGCGGCCTGGAACTGCCAGGGTGGAGATAGTTAACTGGTATGCCCCAGTCAGTGGGGCCACCTCGCTCCCCTCCACTCTCCTTCTGAGCTGTTTAGCAGGCTGTTGTATGCCAGGTCAATCAAAGAACAAACAGCTCCCCGCTGGCAACCAAAAGGTAGAGCCCCAAGCAGAACTCAGTGCAGCCTCAGCGTCAAGGTGAGCGTGAATGAAATGCCAGCCAACAGAAAAATGGGCTTAGGAGAGTCATCCTCATTCCATGTCAGACTCCTGGAGACTGAGCTAGTTCTTGGCTTTGAAGGAGCAGGAGTGTTGGGTGGTCGTACTGGGGCCTTTCTCCCATGGTGTTAAAATTGCTGCAAAAGCTAGATCCAAGGGGATCCATCCTAAGGGTCTCCGCCCTTCCCATTAGCAAGGACCCAAAGCTATGTCAGAAGAAACTGCAGTTTGAAGGCAGGGACTTTTCTTGGGCTGAGCCACACATAATTGCAACCCCCAGACCTGATACGGTTGCTGCACACACAATGGGCATCAGAGAAACGCCAGGCACCAGGAAGGAACCCAGGCCTCTGACTCAATGGGCAGTCTCTTACTTCATCCCTTCTCTGGTCCTACAGCCCTCTTCCCCATCATCTCTGCCCCCCCAATCCTACCCCCACACCCCCCTGTCCCAGCTGAGGTTCTCACTTGCTGTTCCCCTGCCTGCTGCCTGCCCCTCACGTTGGTGCACCGGTCACCCCATCTTGATCATGGCACCCACTCTCTCACCCCGCAGTCTCATCCCTACATCCTGGGAGCGGTTCCTTAACCCACTATGTGCCCCCAATGCACATGAAGCTAAACTAAAGCTAACAGTTGTGTCTTAGGGTTTCTATTGCTGTGATGAAACGCCATGACCAACAAGCAAGTTGGGAGGAAAGGGTTTTCTGGTCATTACCAAAGGAAGTCAGGGTAGACACTCAAGCAGGGCCAGACCCTGGAGGCAGGAGCTGATACAGAGGCCATGGAGGGGTGCTGCTTACTGGCTTGCTTCCCATAGCTTGCTCAGACTGCTTTCTTATAGAACCCAGGACCACCAGCCCAGGGATGGCCCCATCCACAATGGGCTGGGACCTCCTGTATTGACCACTGATGGATGCCCTACAGGTGGATCTCAGGGAGGTGTTTCCTCAGTTGAGGCTTCTCCCTCTGATGCTTCTAGCTTGTACCAAGTTGACACACAAAACCAGCCAGTGCACTGTGGTTACATCTATGTGAATATTCAAAGTCATTTTCCATGGGTGATTGTATAGTACATTAACTACATCCCAATGCAGCTATTTTAAAAGGGAAATGGTCTTTTACCCCAGCACTCAGGAGGCAGAGGCAGAACAACCTTTGAGTTTGAGAGCAGCCTCTTCTACATAGTGAGTTCCAGGCAAGTAAGTACTGCACAGTGAGACCATCAAAACAAAACAACGAAAGGGCGGGGGGTTGAGACAGCCTCTAGCAAGGCACTTTTCCATGAGGTCTGGTCTGCATAGGATGGGGACTGCCACTTATAAAGCCTTTGGACATATGAGATGACCAAGCTCTTGGCTGCATCTCCTCAAATAACTCCTAGGATACCTCAGAGCTGATGTGCTGAGGGGATGTCCCCTATAGGAATAGCGTGGGCTTAGCAGACAACCATGGGCACCATTATATTCAAGGCTACAGTGCTTTATTTGTGCTCAAAGATCACAAAGCCACCGGGTGGTGGCTCAAGCCTTTAGTCCCAGCACTCTGTTTGCAGAGGCAGGCAGATCTCTGCTGGAGTCCAGTTCCAGGGGGGTTCTGTGCTGCAGGATGGATGTATGAAGTCAGTGAAGAATGAAAAGTCTGACCAGTGGTTGTCTTTCAAACTGATGGTCCCGACTAGCTCAGGCTGTCTTTATTTTTACAAGTTCTAATACATACAAGGATGAGTGGTTTAAAATCATTTCTCTTTAATCATTTTCCAAGAATCATTAACATTTTAGTTTCTCCCCTTTCCTGCTCTCCTGACATCATTTGCCTTTACCCCATATCATTATAAAGCAAGCCAAATGCCTATATCTAGCTTGGTACATCCTATTCATACTGTGCCCTAGCCGGCATTGAACATGTGGTTACAAAGTAAGATATTTAAGCCCTGTGCTTAGTTCTTAATATGAAATCAGCTAGATATATTGTGATGCCTAGAGTATCATTTTCAGGTGTATACTAGTTTCTAAGTAATTTGTATGTCACCTTTATTACATGGATTGCAGTTATAATGCTATTCTTTATAAGTTCTCAAAATAGTAATGATTAGTACCTAACTCTTTTTTCCTTTTTTTAAATTTAAGTTAGAAAAAGTTTGTTTCACATGTCAATCCCAGCTCCCTCTTCCTCCCCTCCTCCCCATCCCTCCCCTAGTACCTAACTCTTTAACTGCTGAGACTAAGCTTCCATTATTCCTGGCAATTTCTGCATGTACATCTCTTTTAAGGGAACTGGGAGTTTCAGATTCCTTTACTGATACTTTGATACTGGAAAAATATCTGAGTGTTCATGTCCTGGCACCAGAGAGATGTCTAACCTTTCATGTCCTATCTCTTTTTCCTTCTGTGTTCCTATAAATTTTTAATGTCATCTTTTAAGAAACTGTTTTCTTGGTTCTTAAGTTCTTTGGAATATATTTCTTTTTGGAATTGAATGAGCAATAATCATTAACTTGGTGCATTCCTCCTGCTTATTCAGGATGACTGAAAAGGCAGCCAGGGAAAACCGGAGAAAGCGGTTTCTGTAACAGATCAGAGAAATTTAATTTTTCTGTAAAGACTTTTGTTTCCACTACACTCAAGAATAACCATGATTGCCGGGCGGTGGTGGCGCACGCCTTTAATCCCAGAACCACTCTGGAGGCAGAGGCAGGCGGATCTCTGTGAGTTCGAGGCCAGGCTGGACCAACAGCCTCCAAAACAATACAGAGAAACCCTGTCTCGTACAACCAAAAAAAAAAAAAAAAAAAAAAAAAAAAAAAGAATAACCATGATTAACAGAGTAAACCTAAGTTACCACAGGAGTAAGCATAGCAAATTTAGAGAGGTCTGAAGCCCATGAGCTCACTAGAATCAGTGCAGGAGTTTGCAGTATTCAAATGACTGGAATTCTCCAAAGGGCTTTGCCATCCAAGGAGATCCATCTACAAAACATTTATGTGCCAGGGGTGACAGCATGACATCTGTCAGATCTCTGTGAGTTTGAGGCCAGCCTGGTCCACAAAGTGAGCTCCAGGACATCTACAGCTGTTACACAGAGAAACCCTGTCTCAAAAAAAAATCACAAAGCCATTGCCAAACCATCAGAGGCGCCCCTGTACTCACAGCCAGCTGGTGGACAACCTGAACTGTTCCTTCAGAAAGTTTGCCAGTCCCCGTGCCCCCACCCCCACCTCCATCACCAGGAGCAGGATAGTCCTAGCTTGAAGGAATGGTTCTCACGAGACCTGTTTTCCAGGTATCTCTCAGCTACTGTCCAGCATCTTTGCATTTTGTTTCTATGTCGGTCTCAGATGTGTTTGAAATCTGTTTTTCCATCTGCCTGATACAGACCCTTTAGAATCAGCCAAAGGTTTGCATTTGAGGAGCTTTAAGTTTTGGTTTCTTTGAAAATCTAGTTTTCCCTTCATTGTACTCGTTTTGTTTTGTTCAGCTTTTGCTTTTTTTGTTTTTGTTTTTTGAGACACTGTTTCATATGATGAGGCTGGCCTTGAACTCTCTGTGTAGCCAAAGCTGGTTTTGAACTCTTGATCCTCCTGCCTCTGCCTTCAAGCCTGCTTCACTGGCTGCCCTTCCAGAGGACCTGAGTTTGTTTCCCAGCACCCACATTAGGTAACTCATACCGCCTGTAACCCCACTCCAGAGGGTCTGATACCCTCTTCAGGACTCCACCCGACCCTGCACATACAAACACATGTGTACATTATTAAATCATGAAAACAAATCTTTAAAACAGGATGCAGCTCCCTTTTTTATGGTGAGGTATGGAAGACAGAATGGACCTGCCACACACAGCCTAGAGACATAAAGGTTTGGAGCATGTGAATCAAGAACAGAAGTTTAAGTCACCAAGAGCTGACGGATGCCTGCCTGGATTCCAGCACTGGGGGGGCTAGCATAGGCAACACAGTGACTTCAATGACAGTTTGAGCTACATAAAGGCTTGTCTCTAAAGACACAGACGGAGGAGGACAGGAGAGGTGGCTCAGCAGTTGAGAGCACTGACTGCTCTTCCAGAGGACGGGGGTTCAATTCCCAGCACCCACATGGCGGCTCATAACTGTAACTCCAGTTCCAGGGGACTTGACACCCATGGCAAACACTAATGCACATAAAATCAGAGACAACAGTAAAGTAAAGGAGGAGGAACCAGGTCCCTCTGTGAACAGCAGCTTTAGTTCTGCCAAAGACCCGGATGGAGCCCCACTTCCCTGCCCCACAGACAGCCCGTCTATGTGGGTCCCTCCGGGTGGAGGTGAATCCCTACTGATGTGACTCTCTAGCACAGGAGATCTAGAGTTTGTGGTTCTGGGGTCTCTAAATTTGCTATGCTTACTCCTATGGTAACTTAGTTTTACTCTGTTAATCATGGTTATTCTTGAGTGTAGTGGAAACAAAAGTCTTCACAGAGAAATTAAATTTCTTTGATCTGTTACAGAAACCGGTTTCTCCGGTCATCCCTGGCTGCCTTTTCAGTCATCCTGAATAAGCGGGAGGAATGCACCAAGTTAATGATTATTGCTCATTCAATTCCTAAGTTGCCCAGGGTTACTCAGAACTTATTGTGTAGCCCAAGCTAGCCACAAATTCACAATCCTCCTGCCTCAGCCTTCCAAGTACTTGGGGTGACAGGTGTGTGCTACCAGGTTCTACAGAGAGGCAGAAGCTTGAGGGTGAGTTTTCAGCTACTGAACTCTTGGACTTCCATTCACAGCCATTGTTGGACTCAGCCAGGAAGTCATTCCAATAACACACAGAGAGAGAGAGAGAGAGAGAGAGAGAGAGAGAGAGAGAGAGAGAGAGAGAGAGAGAGAGAGAGAGAGAGAGACGGAGGGAGGGAGGGAGGAAGGGAGGGAGGGAGGGAGAGGCAGAGAGAGAGAGAGAGAGAGAATCATCCTTTAAGTTCTGTGAATCTAAAGAACCCTGACCAATACAATGACCCAGCACTCAAGAGGACAAGGAGGCAGGGAGACCATGAGTTCAAGGCCAGGTCAGCCTGAATGTATACCAAGACCCTACCTGTCTTAAGGTTTCTATTGCTGTGAAGAGACACCATGACCATGCTGGGCAGTGGTGGCGCACGCCTTTAATCCTAGCACTTGGAGGCAGAGGCAGGCGGATCTCTGTGTGTTCAAATCCTGCCTGGTCTGCAGAGTGAGTTTTAGGACAGCCAGGACTGTTTCACAAAGAAACCCTGTCTTGAAAACCAGAGAGAGAGAGAGAGAGAGAGAGAGAGAGAGAGAGAGAGAGAGAGAGAGAGAGAGAGAGAGAGAGAGAGAGAGCGAGCACATGACCAGAGCACAGGTGGGTGGGTGACCAGATGGAACTACACAGCAAGTTCCTTGCCAGCCAGGGATGAATAGTGAGACCCTGTCTCAAAAAAAAAAAAAAAAAGCCCTAAAGTTGGCATAATCGGAGGAAAGTACCAGCAAAGGCGGCTCACACCACCCATCTCCAATCATTCATTCCCCCAGGTCTTCCCATATGTCCATGTTCCAATGTTTGGGGTCCTATTCCCTTACAATCGATGTTCACCACATTCACAGTAGACCCCTCAGATCTTTACAGCAGACAAACCTCAAGGTTGGGGACTCACTTTGAAGAGGTTTGAGGTTTGGTTTTGCAGCCTTCCAGCTACAGCAGACAGAAGCATGGAAACTTTGGGCTGCCTATGGCCTGAGTAGGAAGTTGAAGGCCCCGGCTGTTTGTCGTCCTCCTCTTCCTCTACCTCCTTCTCTTCCCGTTTCTTCTGTTCTCCTCCTGGCGCTTCTCCTCCCAGGGCCTTCAGCATGCTAGAGCTAACTCTCCGTCCCCTCCCCCTACTTGATCAGCATATCAAGTAACAGTTGGTCAATTGTGTCACGCTCACCCATTTCCTGAGATGTTTCAAGCAATCTCTACATCACTGGGTGTGGTGATACGTTATTTATGATTTCTTAAAGCTTGCCTAAAGATCCAGAAAGAAAAGTCAGCCACAGCTATAGAGGTCAGGAGGTGGTGGCACACACCTTTAATCCCAGGACTCTGAGAGTTATTTAAGACAGGAACAGGGTCTCAGAGCTGGCATTCATTCTCCAGCCATATTGAGGATAGGAAGACAATGAAGTCTCAGGATTCTCCAGCCACACTGAGGAGAGGTTACAGTTGGAGGTTTGGTGGAGCCAGGGTTTCCTTTCAGTCTGAGGTAGAGGTAAGAGCTGCTTTGCTTTTCTGATCTTCAGCTTGAAGCTTGACCCCAATATCAGTCTCTGGGTCATTTATTCATATTACATGCAACAACTGGATGGCAATACTTTGTGTCTCTACTGTTACATGGACTTCCAGAAGTCCTGACCACCTATCTTAGTGTTCTGTTACTGCAACAGAACACCGTGACCAAAAAGCAAGTTGGGGAGGAAAGGGTTTATTAGGCTTATACTTTCAGTATTGTTGTTCATCACTGAAGAAAGTCAGGACAGGAACTTAAACAGGGCGGGGTCATGGAGGCAGGAGCTGATGCAGAGGCCATGGAGGGACGCTGCTTACTGGCTTGCTCTCCATGGCTTGCTCAGCCTGCTTTCTCATAGAACTCAGGACCAACCACCCAGGGATGGCATCACCACCATGAACTGAACTCTCCCCTATTGCTCACTAATTGAGATGCCTTACAGCTGGATCTCAAGGAGACATTTCCTCAGCTGAGACGCCTTACTCTCTGATGACTATAGCTTGTGTCAGATTGACACACAAAACCACCCAGTACACTTGGATTGTGGGTACAGAGAGATGCCTCCCTTCAAATTCCCTCTAATCCTACTGTTGGCAACCTCAGTCATAAGAAGAACTCATATGGGGACACAGACAGCAAGTAGTCAGGGATTATGTCAGCAGGTGAGGAAGCAGGACGGAAGAGCACTTTCTAGAGTGACAGGAGGACCCAGCTGCTGGAAATCTACTGTGAGGGCTGCCTCTGGTATTGGTGTTGGCAGTCTTGATAGACTGTAGCTTCTCCCATTGCCATCTCTTGGGCAACTGCTTCCTGGAGGAGGTGGAGTTTTTCTTTGAAACCATCCTTCCCCACAATTCAGTCTTACACAATTTCAGGAGTGTATATATACATATATATATATATGGCAACAGACCATAAAGTTAAGACACTGAGTATGGATAGGGCAAGGGTTCATGAAGAATATATGTAAAGGTTAACTATCCCAAGAGCTTAGAGTTTACTAGGGACAGGAAAATGATGTGTTGTACCTTCTCCTGGAGGTGGTGTTCTTCCTGGGGATGGCACTTTCTGTGATCCCTCCAGAGCCTACCGGGTAGAGCCTTAACCTTCCTACCTGGTCTGTCTCATACAAACCCTGTTACTTATCTTCCTCAGCTTACCAACCTTGCTATTTTAACCCCAACTTTCACTTTCTTAAAGATTTACTTATCTTTTTATTATTTTGTGTGTATGAATGCTTTGTCTGAATGTGCCTATGGTGGTCAGAAGTTGTTGAAGCTGAGTGGTGGTGGCACACGCCTGTAATCCCGGCACTCAGGAGGCAGAGGCAGATGAATCTCTGTGAGTTTGAGGCCAGCCTGGTCTACAGAGTGAGTTCCAGGATAGTCAGGGCTACACAGAGAAACCCTGTCTTGAAACACACACACACCAAACAAAAACAGTTGTTGAACCCTTGTAGATGCAGGGATCAAGACTCACTATAGGCTAATACAATTGTATTCAGGGAGAAGTCACTTACACAAGAAGCAGAATACCGCCACAGGTTCCCACTCCAGGGATCCACCCAGCCTGCTCTCTACAACTGGAACGGAAGCCAGAGAGAGGACCTGTGCCTCGGCCCCAGACCTAAACCCACTATCCATCATGTCCATACCTGTGACCACGCCCAAATGGGCATGGTCAGCGCTACAGGTGCAGGTGGGATGGATATCTCACTACAGACCTTCTGAGACTGGGGTTATAGGTTGTAAGCTACTATGTGGGTGCTGGGAATCCAATCTGGGTCCTTTGCAAGAACAATCGTGCCTAACCACTCCTAACATTTAATTGTAATGTGGTTTTTGCTTGTCTGTTTTTTTAACCTCATCTTTCCACACCTGCCTGAGTGCTGGGTTTACTGAGTGCACTACCATCTCTAACTTTTTTGGGGGTCTCCATGCCCCCAGACAGGGTTTCTTTGTAGCTTTGGAGCCTGTCCTGGAACTCACTCTGTAGACAAGGCTGGCCTTGAACTCAGAGATCTGTCTGTCTCTGCCTCCTGAGTGCTAGGATTAAAAGTGGATGCCACCACTGCTCAGCCCACCTTTTTGTGTTTTGAGACAGTATTTCCTGTGTATCCCTGGGTGGCCTGGAACTACAGATGTGTACCAATCACATCTTATCATTGCCATTTTTATGTTAATGTCTTCAGATTGTGGTATAGTCTATGTTACAGTAACTACCAAATGTCACTCTCAGCAGATGTAGATCTCCGGAGTGGCACCCGTGACAGCTGTGAAGTCACTCCAGGCTTTCAGCCCAGTGTTTGACAGTCTGCTGTGAAGATGGCAGCCAGGGTGATTTGGGGTAGCCTCAGCCTGCTTCGAGTCTTGTGGTGTCTCCTCCCCCAAACTGGCTACATACACCCAGATGAGTTCTTCCAGTCACCTGAGGTCATGGCAGGTAAACCCCATGTACTGCTAAGAAGACTGGGCAGCAGTGGTGTTTGGTGGGGAAGGTCATGCATGTGGGGTGAGCAGGCAGGGTTCCAGCCTCTCTAGGATTAGAACGTGGGGAATGGAGGACATGAATGAAGCACCGGCCTCTTAAATGTTCTCCGGCTTGGGCCAACAGGTCATGATGGTCCCTCTGGACTTGTCAGTGGAATGACTTCTGAGCCGGGCTCTCCCAGTGGCTAGGGAAGTGTGCCTGATAAGGAAAGTTGTATTTAGGCATAGGAGAAAGGGTCTCCTCCCTTAAGACCATGTTTAGTAGTCACACACAAACCCTTTTTCTTTCCTTTCTTTTTATTTTTTATTATTGTTATTATTATTATTTTTTTGGCTTTTCGAGACAGGGTTTCTGCGTAGTGCTTTGGAGGCTGTCCTGGAACTCACTCTGGCCTCGAACTCATGGAGATCCACCTGCCTCTGCCTCCTGAGTGCTGGGATTGAAGGCATGCACCACCAATTCCTGGTTCTATTTATGTTTTGGGTTTTTTTTTGGTTTTTCGAGACAGGGTTTCTCTGTGGCTTTGGAGGCTGTCCTGGAACTCATTCTGTAGACCAGGCTGGCCTCAAACTCACAAAGATCCGCCTGCCCCTCTCTCCTGAGTGCTGGCATTAAAGGTGTGTGCCGCCAATGCCCAGCTTATGTATTTTTTTTTTTTAGGTATGAGTGCTCTGCATGTATCCCTACAGGCGAGAAGAGGGCATCAGACCCCATTACAGATGTTTGTGAGCCACCATGTGGTTGCTGGGAATTGAACTCAGGACCTCTGGAAGAGCAGCCAGTGCTCTTAACTGCTGAACCATCTCTTCAGCCCTTCTTTTCTTTTTTTAGACATGGTCTCTCTGTGAAGCTCTGGCTGTCCTGGAGCTCACTATGGCCTCAAAATCCATGAGGTCCTCCTACCTCTGCCTCCTGAGTCTTCTTTTCTTTTTTGAGACAAGATCTCATGTAGTCCTGGCTAGCTTTGAACTGACCATGGCCATGAGCCCTGACTCTCTGGCCCCCACTTTTAGAGTGCTGTGATTGGGACTGAACCCAGGACTTTGTGCACAATGGGCGGGCAATTTGGTTTTCTTGAAGACAGTCTCACACTGCAGCCCAGGCTTGCCCTTAAACCCATGGCAGTGCCCCTCACACTGAGTAAGCACACACACCTGACCCTCCCTCTGGTCAGAATGATCACATGACCACACTGGCTACGAAAACAGTCTTCATGTCTGGCCATGTGGCCAGCTAACAGACTAAATGAGAAAGGCTCAGACACTTGGCTTGTTTTGTTTTTCTCTCCCTTTTGAGACAGCATCTCTCTATACAGCTAAGGCAGCCCTGGAACTTACTAAACAGTAAACCCAGGAAGCCCTCAAGCTTATAGCAGGCCTCCTGACTCAGACCCCAAACGTTACAAGTGTGCACCAGGACACTCAGCTTGAGGACAGGAATTGTGGCATGGGAGACCTAAGTCTGCCACAGGGCTCAGCATTTAGATTTGAACTGTACATTGGAAAATTTAGTCTTCTTTTCCTGTATTTTTGAGACAAGTCTCTCACATGGTGTAGACTAGTCACAAACTCATTATATAACCTTAAACTCTTGATCCTCCTGCCTCTGCCTCTTCAAGTACTGGAATTCTAGGCAAGTGCTACCATGTCTGGCTTCCAAGCTCATTCTTGCTGGCAGAATTTTATTCACCTCACTTATGGAAACACGTTCCTTCTTTCCCTGCTGCTTCTGGAGGTCACCCACCCTTCATCCTTAAGCCAACTGGAGCACATAAAATCCTTTTCCTGCTTTGTGTCTTTGCCAGTCTCCTCTGCATCCAGGTGGAGGCCCTCTGTTGTTAAAGAGCTGGGGAGAGAAGACAGGACACCTGAGAGACTGTCCCACCAAGTAGCTTTACCAAAGCACTGAAACCCACCCGGTGCAATCCCAGGGGTTGTGCTGAAAGTGTCCGATAGGGGGCCTTGCAATCCTGGTGCCAAGCCAGAACTCTCCCCAGAGCAGGCCTAAGCTTGGAACTGGCTCATCCCTGCCTCTCTCTCTGCAGAGGACATCCTGGGTGTGCAGGCTTCACGGCCCTGGGAATTTTACCCCAGCAGCTCCTGTCGCACTGTGGTCTTCCCATTGCTGACCTCTGGCTCTACCTTCTGGTTGCTCAGGCTCTGGGAAGAGCTAGGGCCCTGGCCTGGTCTGGTGAGTGGCTACATGCTGCTGGTGGGGCCCCGACTCCTCCTCACTACCCTCTCCTTTGCCCTGGACTGGGCCATGTACTATCTGGCCCCGCTGTGGGGGGCAGATCGCTGGAATGCCATGTGCCTGCTGTCTGGGTCCTATGTCACCCTGGTTTTCTACACAAGGACTTTCTCCAACACCATCGAGGGACTGCTCTTCACCTGGCTGCTGGTGCTGGTGTCCCCTTATGTGGCATGGAGTCCCACATCCAAGAAGCCTACCCCGGGTCCATGGTGGCACAGCTGCCTTCTTGGTGCTATCGTGGCTGCTGGCTTCTTCAATCGGCCAACCTTTTTAGCCTTTGCTCTGGCCCCCCTCTCTCTCTGGGGCATCCACAGAGCCTTAAAGCCTGGCATCAAGGCCTTGATCCAGGAGGTCCTGGTGCTGTTGCCAGGGGCTGTTCTTGCTGCAGTGTTGTTTATAACCATGGACAGTTGGTATTTCTCCAGCCTCTCCAGATCCAGTGGCCTTGTTCTTACACCTGTCAACTTCTTGTACTACAACCTGGATCCCCAAAACCTTGCAAGGCATGGCACACATGCACGGCTCACCCACCTGGCAGTCAATGGCTTCCTGCTCTTTGGGGTATTGCATGCTCAAGCCCTGCAGGCTGCATGGCAACAACTCCACAGCTGCCTCCGTTCACTTGTACAAACCAGCCTGTTGAGGGCGCGGGGTCCCCAGGACCCACTGTCTAGTTCTAAGTCTTACCTCCTTCTCCTTTACTTCACACCCCTGGTCCTGCTATCTGCCTTTAGCCACCAAGAGGCTAGATTCCTGATTCCCCTCCTAGTCCCTCTAATCCTGCTTTGCAGTCCACAAACGCAACCTATACCCTGGAGGGGCACCTTGGTCTTCTTCAATGCCCTAGGTGCGCTCATCTTTGGCTGCCTGCATCAGGGAGGTTTGGTACCGGGCCTGAAGCACCTGGAGCACGTAGTCCATGAACCTGTTCTCCCAGGCAGGGCCACCCACTACACGCTTCTCTTCACTCATACCTATATGCCTCCTCAGCACCTCCTACACCTTTCAGGCCTGGGACCCCCTGTGGAGGTGGTAGACATGGCTGGGGCTGAGGACTGGGTCCTGTGCCAAGCCCTGAACAACTTCAGCAGACAACCAGCCTGCCAACGGGCTGGTGGGCCACAGCTATGCCGACTCTTTGTAGTAACTCCTGGGACCAACAGGCATGCTCTGGAGAAGTGCAGTTTCCTTCTCAAGAATGAGACTCTCTTGTTTCCCCACTTGACCCTGGAGGACCCTCCTGCCCTGTCCTCCCTGCTCAGCGGGGCTTGGAGGACCCACCTTAGTCTTCACATCATAGAGCTGGAGAAGAAGCCTGTAGTGACAAAGCAGTCGCGGCCCAAGAGTCAGCCATAGAAGGTGCCACTCCACACAGGGTGCTGGGCTGGGACAACGGAACAGGACTCCCATTGCTGTCTGCTCTGGGGACAGCCACAGGCTGTTCCTCTAGGTGAGCCCACATTCCTATCCCTTAGACACCAAAGATCAGACCAGTCATGGTCCCAATGTCAAGGTTCCCAAAGAAACCAACCATACCCACCGGCACATGTCTGTTTCTATGCCGTTACTTCCAATTGCTGTGTAATGTCTAAAATATACAGTAGCGCCTGGTTATCAAAGACAATGAATTGCTGATGACATTCCTAAGTGGCCTCTCCGGAACTTACCAATGCCCGACTTCTTGTTACTACAACAACCCTTTGATTTCCAATCTGGCTTTCTAAACAAAGGCAGGGACAGCAAGCGGCTCACACTCGGCTCTAGTCCCTAGTCTAATATTCACAAACTGATCTTCACAAAGTCCCTTCCACTCAGTCAACATACCACCTGATCTCACCACAGATGGGAGGGTCCTGAGGTCAGTGTCAGGCCTGGAGCCCGCAACACATGTCCCCTAGATTGACAAACATGTCTCTTCAAGGCTCTGTAACCAGGAAGCAGCCACTGTGTTATATTTCATGGCACTTTGGTGCCAGTGGACTCAGGGTTTGGGTATAACCAAGACAAGCCATTCCAGAAAATGCCTTCCTACCCTCTTCTGCGCCTTTTATGAGCAGTGGTGGACTCTTCCCAGGCACCGTCTAAAGGATGGGGTAATGTTGCTCAGTGCCACAGTGCCTGTTTAGCATGCTCAAGGCTGTAGGCACTAATCCCAGCACTTAGATTAAAAAAAAAATCACTCTCTCAGATGTTCTTCCTTCTCGGGGCTGCTGTGGAGCTCTCAGCATTCTGCAGTGGAAACAGAACGCAGACTGCCCAGTCTAAAAACTTTCCTAGATGTTAACATTAACCGAGTGGCTTAAATAGTAAGGAGTCTCAAAATGACAAGGCAGTTTATGTGCATTGGTTTCCTAATCACAGTTCAGGTACCTGACCATAATGAGTACCCCAGAAGGACCCTCAAAATGGAGAAGAGGAAACCAAGTACCACGTGCCGCTGTAAGAGGCCTGAGTGCCTGGTGGTGACTGAAAAGCCAGTCCCTGGGCGGTGTAAACGCTGCAAAGAGGAGGGCGTGATCAAGAGCCTGGGCTCACCTCACTCTACAAGGCTTTGGGCTCGAAAAGCGGCCTCCATTTTCTCACACGAATGGGCTTTTAAGTCACAAGCCACACAGAATGCAACAGCAGATATCAACACAGACGCTTAACGTGAAAACTATTATTAGCAAGATCCTACAGACTTATCAGTCAGCTTCCGTATTTAATCAGGGTTGTCATTCCATCTACCATGTTCCCTGGTATTCTCCTGCACCAGCGCAGATGCAGAAGCATTTATTCCACTTCAGTCCCGCTTGTAGAAGGCAGGCTTCCTGGTCGTTTGTCCTTGGCTGTCAGGCATACTATGTTTTGGTGCAGACTCTTATCTCTAGTAGCCTTCGGGGTCTTTATGTCCTGCATAGTCACAGGACTACCACGTACAAGTCCATATGACCTCAGGTCTCTGCATGTTGACAATCCGCGTCAGGATTCGAAGCCGTGCACCGTGCCCGAGATGACTCACGTGTGCTAAGATCGGTGTAGAGCACTGGAGGAGGGGACGTGACGTAGGCTCGGGAGAGTGCAGTCTGTGCTTAAGCGTTGGCGCCCGGGCCCTTCTGATGACCTGGGGGTGACCCTGGTCGGTTCCGGAGGCCGCGGCGGAGTTCCTGGGTGAAGGTGTCCTTGAACCGGGCGGCGCGGCGACCCAAGGAGCCTAGGGGCTGATCGGAGAGGGCGCGCAGACGGCGGGCCGCGTCGTGGCCGCGCAGTTGTAGCTGCAGCAGCGCGAAGGCCGTGAGTTGGGCCGCCCGCCGGATAGGCCGCGACTCGGACAGCCGCTCCACCAGCTGCGGGTTGTGCAGCAGGGCTGCCAGCAGCCGCCGGAAAATCATCGTTCTCCGAGCGCCCGGGAACTCGGGGCACGCCTCACTCACCTTCCGACCGGCCACGCCCGACGGCGGACAAGGCGGCGCCGCATGATGACGACACAGCCGCACCACGATTGGCCCTGACCACGTCCGCTTACTGCAGCAGGCCGCACACATTTCCGTTTCCGCCGCCGCCGCCGCCTGGTCCTTCCAGTCGTGGCCGCGTCGTGGTTCGTGTCTCCGCACCATGTCCGGTGGTCTCCTGAAGGCGCTACGCAGCGACTCCTACGTGGAGCTCAGCGAGTACCGGGACCAGCACTTCCGGGTGAGGCGGGCCGGGCCACGAGAGGGGCAGGCTTTGGGCTGGAATACTGAGAAACGGTTTGCACTTGTCTTACTGTGTCTTCCTGTTTTGTTGGGGTCCCAGCGATGTTTGGATATTATTTAAACCACTTTATCCCCTAGGGAGCCTGAGACTTGCTTTTACATTTTCTTACTGCTGCCGCGGGTACCAGCACCAATGCAGGGAGGTTCGGGTAGTGGTGGCTGTTTGATGGGCTTGTCTTGCTTGGGAAAGTGTCTGTAGTGAAGGAGGTATCCCTGCGTCGGTTGACCCAGACACTATAGCCGTTTTTGTTTTTACACTCAGCCAGACACTGCCGTTTGGTACTACAGTCCTTAGTTTTGTTTTTTCGAGACAGTGTTTCTCTGTATTGTTTTGGAGACTGTCATGTAGACCAGGCTGGCCTTGAACGCACAGAGATCCGCCTACCTCTGCCTCCCGAGTCCTGGGATTAAAGGCGTGCGCCACCAACGCCCGGCAAATCCTTAGTTTTGTAAGACAATCCTACAAAGTTGGCAGAAGTAGGAGACTCAAAGTTGCGTCCTGTTTTTGCTGTCTGTCCGGCATCGGCATGGGACAAGCCACACGAGTCACATTAAGGTCGTCTGGATGGCAAAATCCAGTAGAGGCACTGAAAACCCTTTCTCGAAACACACACACACACACAGAAACCCAACCCAATCAGCTTAGTATACTGTGTGTCTGGTATGAGTTTCACTTGTACCTTTTTTTTTTTTTTTGTTCTCATTACTTTGAACAGTTCCCTATCAATAACTAACGATTTAGAATTTAAGCATCCTGCAAGGTTAAAACCAGGAGAGGAGGCCGGGTGGTGGTGGCGCATGCCTTTAATCCCAGCACTCGGGAGGCAGAGGCAGGATCTCTGTGAGTTCGAGGCCAGGCTGGACCGACAGCCTCAAACAATACAGAGAAACCCTGTCTCGTAAAAACCAAAAAAGAAAAAAAAACAACAACAACAGGAGAGGAATCATTCATCTCTTTTGTCAAAAGCCTGTAGCTCTGTTCAGACAGTAATAATTTCTGTTGTGCATTTTCTAGTGTCTTGTAAGTACGATGTGTCAGTGCTGTATTTAGTGTGAAATTAAGTTACACTGAAGCTGTAGACTGTTTGGATTTTACTTGTAAGAGCAGCAGTTCAAAGTGAATCTGCTAGCCAGATGCGGTGGTGGACATCTGTATTCCCAGTTGTTCTGGAGACTGAGGCAGCAAGAGCACATGATCAGCCTGAACATGCTAAAATGATTATCTTCTCTACTGGCTCATCCAAAGTTCTAAAACCATGGGTTTGTTTGGTTTGGGCTTGTTTGTTTGTTTGGGTCTCAGTGTAGCCTTGCCTGTCCGGGAACTCGCTCTGTAGACCAGGCTGGTCTTAAACTCACAGAGATCTGCCTGTCGCAGCCTCCCAGGTGCTGTTATTAAAGGTGTGCACCCCCCCCCCAGCTGTTTGTTTGAACACAAGTGACTATTTTGTAGATTTCACCTGTTCAATCCTGTAGTGATCTTAAGGCAATACGGCAGTGGGGATAAGACCAGAATTTTACTTTTTTTGTTTGTTTGTTTTACGAGACAGGGTTTCTCTGTATTGTTTTGGAGGCTGTCGGTCCAGCCCGGCCTCGAACTCACAGAGATCTACCTGCCTCTGGAGTGGTTCTGGGATTAAAGGCGTGTGCTGCCGCCACCCAGCTTTACTTGTTTTTTGAGACAAGGTCTCATTATATAACCTTGGCTGACCTGGAACTCATGTAAACCAGGCTGACTTTGAGACCCACCTCCTTCTGCCTCCCAAGTGCTGGGATTAAAAGAGTATACCACCATGCTCAGCCCGAGACTAGGTTTAAATTGTGGCTATGAGTAACTCCTGTGTTTCACCTTAGGTGATTGTTTTCCTCACGTGTAAAATGTGAATGATACATTAGGTCCCACCACATACAGTTCTTTCTGATCTGAAGTCCTTTGAGCCTTCCCAGGGGCTGGAAAAATTACTATTTTCTTTGTATGGCTGAATGTCCCTTTAAAACTGTAACTGGGAAGGTTAGCACAGGCTGTTGTTCTGGAGGACCTAGATTCAGTTCCCAGCATCCGCATGATGGCTTACAATCATCTGTAACTGATTCCAGGGGATCTGGTGCCCTGTTCTGATCTCTGAAGGCATTAGCCATGCGCATGGTACACAGGCATACAAACAGGCAAAACACCCCTACCCATAAAATAATAATAAAGCCAAACCAAAAACCTAACTTGGAGATGGGTGTGATGACCCATGCCTGTTGGTGAAGCATTTGGGGGAGGTGGCAGCATGAATATCAGGAGTCTGAGGCCAGATTAAGCTATGTGGTCCTATCTCAAAAAACAAAACAAACCATTTGGGCTAAGTGGAACTTAGATCAATAGGTAGAATGCGTGCCTAGCATGCATGCATGGCGCCCTTGGGTAGATCTTGAGCTGTACATAAACTTGGAGTGGTGGTGAGTGCCTATAAGCCCAGTACTTGGAAGATGGAGGCAGGAGGTTCAGAAATACAACATTAGCCTTGGTTACATAGGTTCAATACATCCTAAGCTACATGAAACCCTGTCTCAAAAAAGCAACAAAAGGGTCTGGAGAGATAGTACTGTACCAGAGGATTCTATTTTAGTCCCTAGCACACCAGGTATCTCACAACCAGTTTCAGGGCATCTGATGCATCTGGTCTCCAAGGGCTATCCTATCACACTGTGCGGGAGTGTACACACACTAACTTAAGTAAAAAAAAACACCTGCAGAGCTGGAGAGATGGCTCAGTGGTTAATAGCACTGGCTTCCAGAGGTCCCAAGTTCAATTCCCAGCAACCACATGGCAGCCCACAAACATCTGTAATGGGATCTGGTGCCCTTTTCTGACATGCAGGGATACATGCAGGTATAACACTGCATATATAATAAATAAGTAAATACACACTAGCCTGAGCTCTGTGCTAAAAAGAATCCAGAGATAATTAGTACACTTACATTCTCAGAAAAAAGGGAACTGGATCAACATTACTTAAGGAATACTAGATGAAAATTGCAGAATTCTTGAGTGAATGCCCTGAACATGAGTCTTATCAGCTACTCCAGACTGAATTCCACCATATGGCTAATGTCTGGGCTACAAATGTCTGGTCAGTCAGTAGCCTGTTTAATCACATCTGTGCATGTGTCCTTTCCGGTGGGAATGCTAGAAAGCCCAGGGATGACTCCTTTTTTTGTAAAGACACTTCTTTTTTTTTTTAAATACCATGCTAGCTGAGTGTGGTGGCTCATGTGTATAATCACAGCATTCAGGAGGCTGAAACAGGGCGTTCAAAGTTCAAGACTAGTCTAGTCTACAATGTAAGGTCCCAGAGAAACGAAACAAACCTGGGACTGGGGGTGTTGCTTAGCATTCTAATGTGAAGCCTTGAGTTTGTTCCCCATCACCACCAATAATCAAATACTATGTCTAAGACATGGTGAACCATCTTACCCTTGGGGATTGTTTTATGTTGGTTGAAGCCTGCTTAAACTCCCATCTCTAGCTCACTCTCTAACTTGATTCTGTCTTTTAGAGAAAGTTGAGTCTTGCTGGGCAGTGGTGGCTCACGCCTTTTAATTCCAGCTCTCTGGAGGTAGAGACAAGTGGATCTCTGTGAGTTCGAGGCCAGCCTGTTATACAGAGTGAATTCTAGGACAAACTCCAAAGCTACAGAGAAACCCTGTCTCAAAAAAAACAAAACGGGCTGGAGAGATGGCTCAGCAGTTAAGAGCAATGACTGCTCTTTCAGAGGACCCTGGTTCAATTCCAAGCACCCACATGGCTGCTAACAACTGTTTATAACTCTAAGATCTGACACTCTCATACAGACATACATGTAGGCAAAACACCAATGTATATAAAAATAAGAATAATTAAAAAACAAAAAAGGGTAGTGTTTCTGGACTTGGTGGTGTATACTTGTAATCCCAGCACATGGAATCTTGAAACAGGCAAGTCTCTGAGCTCTACATCAGCCAAAGCTACATAGTGAGACTATGTTTCAAAAAAGGAAGAAAAGAAAAAAAAGTTCTTAGTAGTCACTAACCTCTTACATACACAAAAACATAAGCATGCAAATCACCTAGCAGTGTTTGCTATGAATAGGCTCTAGGGGACTACTGACAAGACTTCTATTATAAAGGGTAAAAGGCCTTTCTCCTATGTTGTCAAGGTGTAGAATTTAAACTTGGCCATTAGAGAAGGATCCAGTGCTGAGGACAATGGACTATGAAGAAAAAGGCATGCCACTCTTACGGCAGTGTGGTATAGGAGTTCTATGCTTTGTTTCTCCACTAAAAGCAGGCTGAACCTTACATTAGTGTTTTAGAATGGAAATACTTCCAAATTGGTAGAGTTCTTACATAATATGTCAGATCTTGGGTTCAATTTGCAATGTTCCAAAACAAATAAATCCATATTTTAAAATCCATATATTTTTTATTTCATGTGTATGGGCGTTTACCTGCATGTACATTTGTGTGCCGTGTGCATGCCTGTTAGCCAACCACAGAAGCTAGAAGAGGGTATTGAATTCTCTAGGACAGGAGTTAGCTATATACTGCCATATGGGCAATGGGGATTGAGCCAGTGTCCTCTGGAATAGTCAGTACTCTTAACCTATAAGCCCGTCTTCACAACTACCTCTTATGTGCTAGGGATCAGATGATGAGAGCCTTTAATTTCCAGATCAGGATGGGCATCTTTATTATACTTGGGAATATGACTTTAACCAAGGTTCCATAGTTTTAGTTTCCAAGTTTGTTCATTGTATGTATGTGTAATGCTTGTGGAGGATTCACTCTTGTTTTTGCTCTGCACTGTGTACTCCAGGCTAGGCTGGCCTCAAGCTTCAAGGAGATTTTCGGTTCCCTGCTCCATCTCCTGTAGGAGTGCTGGGATCACAGGTGCAGGCACCACATCCAACTCTTCACTAGGGTTCCACTTCACTCAAGTTGTTAGGCTTGCACAGCTAGTTCTTCTCTTGGCTGAGCACTCTGTAGCCCTAAGCAAATGTTTTTTTAAGTTGTAACGTTTAACTTTGTCTCTATTTGAAACTCTAGGGTGACAATGAAGAACAAGAAAAATTACTGAAGAAAAGCTGTACATTATATGTTGGAAATCTTTCCTTTTATACAACTGAAGAACAGATTTATGAACTCTTCAGCAAGAGTGGTGATATAAAGAAGATCATCATGGGTCTGGATAAAATGAAGAAAACGGCATGTGGGTTCTGTTTTGTGGAGTATCCTTCTTGGGCATCTAATGGAACCCATTGAACCAGGACGGAGCAAGAGTTCCAGTGCCTGCCTCTTTTTTTAATATGGCCCTGGCTAACCCTGAACTCTAGTCATCTAGCTGCCTGCCTCCTGGTGTTAGGACTAAAGGTGTGTGCCACTACACCTCACTTGGTTTTTTAAGGCGCTAACTTACTATAATCCTATCCTTTCTCTCAGTCCTTCCTCTGAGTCATACTCTGTAAACTGTGAAACTGATACTATATTCTGTTCAGAAATTTTGTTCACAGATGAATGAATCTTTAAGAAAAGTGTCTAATCCCAGCACCTGGGAGACAGAGGCAGGTGGATCTCTGGGTTTGAGGCCAGCCTGATCTACCTAGTGAGTTCCCAGACAGTAAGGCTACACAGAGAAACCCTGTCTCAAAAACCAGAGTTCTAGCCAGCTATGGTGACACCTTTAATCCCAGCACTCAGGGCAGAATCGGGATCTTTCTGAGTTCAGTCAGGTCTATATGAGTTCCAGGACAGCCTGAGTTACACAGACCTTGGACCCTGTCTCAAAAAAAAAAAAAAAAAAAAAATCTTGTGATGCTGTGTAGACTAAGCTAAAGCCCCCAGGAAGCTGAGTATAAAGGCCCATGTCACCACAATGGCCTAGGAACCAGTGTTTACATTTGCCTTGCAAGTCACAGACAACAGTCATGATAAGTGTACAAAAGTAAGCTTGCTGTTGCTCATTGGTTTTGCTCTTTGTCAAGCATTCATTCATGAAACAAAGGTCATTAAATGCCTACTGTTTTCTAGGCATTGTCTAGGTGTCCGGTGCTAAAATTTCACCAGAAGTTTCCGTATCTAAAGACAAGAAAGGTGAATCTAGATCAGCAAGTCTAGCTGCCAATTATAACTTAAGTCAGTAATTAGGATTTTTTTATGTCTGTGTAGAAATAAGATTTTCTTTTGGTGGTAGTTCTTAAAATTTTTATATTTTACTTTTTCGTATGTGAGTGCTTTGCCTGCACATATGTCTGCACCACGTGGTGTGCTCTGAGATCACAAGGCAGCATCAGATCTGAGAACTAGAGTTAAGGTTGTGAATCACCACATAGGTTGTGTATCTCAGGCCCAGGGCTTCTGAAAGAGGAAGTGCTCTTAACCATTGAGCCATCACTCCAGTCCCTCCCCCCTTTTTTGACATTGTTTTTGTTTTGAGACAGAATCTTGATATGTGACCCAGGTTGGCCTCAAACCCAGCAATCCCCCCTGCTTCCAGCCTTTTGAGTGCTAGGATTATGGATCATTGTTCTTATGTAAGAAGTTTGTATGTAGTCCAACATTATTATTACATTAACCATATTTTTCTATTTGCAAATCAAAACATGGGCCAAATAATTATTAGCACATATATATATAGGAAATCATGACTGACACAGGCCTTGACAAATGTCATTTTACCTATCCTTTACGTGTCCCTAAGTGCTATTGGACCAACTTTGAACTGGCTTCTACATAATGAGTATTAGGCTAGTTGGGCTAGCTTTTCTACTTTAAAAAAATTTTTAGCAACTTGCATTGTGTAGGTGTGTTGCTTCCTGTCTCTTGCTTGAAGAAATGCTGGTGTTCCTTAATACTTACACTTAAGATACTACTCGAGAGCAGATGCAGAGAATGCCATGAGATACATAAATGGAACTCGTCTGGATGACCGGATCATACGTACAGACTGGGATGCCGGCTTTAAGGAGGGCAGGCAGTATGGACGTGGACGGTCTGGGGGTCAGGTATGCTCCAAGGGCATCAGAGCTGTTCTGCCTGGGATTCCAGTTATGAATAGGTGTTTTGTCAGTTTGTGGTTATCCTTTATGAACTTGTGCTTGTTAGTGTTGATGGGTTTGGAGTGGTGGTTTCCTGAGACAAGATCTTGCCATGTAGCCAACTGGTATCAAACTTGAGGTCCTTCTGCCTCTGTCTCCTGAATGTGGAAATCACAGATGGGTATACAGCAGGAAATTTTAGACTTAAAAATAGTCTGTACATTTAAGTGTTACTGAGCTCATAATAGGGGCCTTTCCCCTGCAACAGTGCCTAAAACAAAAGCAAAATGTACTCAAATGAATTTTACTTTAATTTTTATGCCCTGCTTGTTCATGGACACCCAAAAAGGTTTAGCTATGTCTGGCATGATTGTTGCATCAACATTCCAAGGTACTGTGTTTTTTCCAATTAAGGTTCGAGATGAATATCGGGAGGACTACGATGCTGGGAGAGGCGGCTATGGCAAACTGGCACAAAAACAGTGAGTGGTGAAAGCCCCAAGTACACAGCTCACTCTGTTGATGATGCTGGAGAACATTACCCAAGGTCTGATCAGTATAGTGTCTCTGTTGCACTGGAAGCCACTTCTGGTTTTCCTCTGAAATATTAAAAGACAGAATCCAAAAGAATGCCTTTAATTCTAGTCTTACTAGGTTGATTTTCTTAGTTGTTACTAAGTCAAAAACTGTATTCCTGGGCAACAGAATCTGTGTCAATTAAACTGTCAGCTGAATGCTACACTTCTTTTAGGGAGACTGGAAAATGTCAGAAATGACTTTACAAGCAAACTGGTAATCGTCATGGGGACAGAAATGATTTTATATTGTAAGTTTGCATATGTATTACTGAGGTTTTGCTCTAGTCTGTAGCGTTGCTCTAAATTAGGAACAGGTGTTTGCTTTTTATATTTCAATACAGTTGGTACAGAAGTCAGCCTGCAATGGTCCTGAGATGCTTCCTGCTTCTGTGCGTATACCTCAGGACACTATCAGTCAGGACTTGAAAAGTGTTCACTAAACACATCCCTCAAAAGACACAGATGTTTCACTGACAGTTTAAAACAAAACAGAAAACCAAAACCCCAAGGACTATTTTATACAAAGAGCCTCTGCTATCCAAAGAAGTAGGGGAAGACATTGTCAGTAGGGAATGGAATCTAACTTCAGACACTTGGAAGCTTTGACTGTGGCTATTAGATTATTTCTTCCCATTTTCAAAATGACCTTGGAGTTGAATGGGCTTTTAAAAAGGGCTTCAGTTCAAGGCCACCCTGAGTACCTTTTGAGTCTGCCTCAAAATAGAAACAGAAAAGGGGCAAGAGGAGACACAGGGCACAGTGGGCAGGCACTTACTTGAGTGGTCATGGTTTAGTCCCCAGGACTGCTCAAACAGGAGTTTGAAGGCTGGGAATCTTTTAACAACAGAAAAACTCCCCCCAAATGTCTGTGGAAAATAACACCTCGCTGTCATGCAGTAAATAGTAAGCTGAAGGTCTCTACAGAGAAGTCTAGAGAATTTTGCAGTTTTGTTCTAATATTACATATGAATAATTTTTCATGATACAAAAAAGGCAAATCTTTTCACCTGTTAACTTCTAATTCTCACTTTTGAGTTTTTCAAGGTGGGACAGAACATCTTTGAGGTTTTGGTTTTCTTGGAGCTGTAATAACTGTAATGGAACAACTTAGGAAACCCATTTGCAAACAATGAGGAGACACTTGAGTTTTAAATAAAGCTTTTATACTGCAGTTTGAACTGTTTGTCTTACATTCTTTTGTAGTAACCTACAACTCAGATTTCTATAATCGTATGACCCAAAACAGTGGAAATTTTATCTTCTGTAACAAGTTTAAATAAATTTAGACCAACTTACTCTGTGTATATTTCCTTGCCTATAAAGGAGGGCATGTTTTGATGCCCCTGTACCCTAGGAGAGTCTGAATAATAAATGTACAGAATGTATGTCCATTTCAGTTCAATATACCATGGCAGTGCATGAAAAGGAAGCCTGGGTAGCCTACCCCTGTGAAAACAAAAGATGCACCAAGCAAGGAAGGCAGAGAGGGAGTTTTCCAGAAGACATACACTCTAGATGATGGGGCTGCATTAGGATGTTCTTGAACCTGAGGGTGCTAATTTTGACAGTCCTTTTTCATTATACCCCTTGTCTGTAAGCCCTATCAGTAGATAGAGCTAGGTAGGGCTTACAGTGGTCACTGTTCTTCAGTGAGCCTTGTTAGCACTGGAACGGCACTAAGAAATACTATCCACCAAATGACTCATGTTATTCAACACAAGAGAACACATGTTTATAAAGGCATTTAGTTTATTTTTCAAAAAAATATTGGCTAGAAGGGTTGAGTACTGACTGTAATTTTACATGATCGTAGTCTTTCAAGTGAACAACTTGTCTAGGTCTGCTTTTGTAACCCCACATACATAGCACTCCTTGAACGCTATTCCCCAGATCTTAGATATCTACCAGCCAGGAGGTAAAGCCTAGCACACAGCAGAAATATGTGCTGTATAACTGCTGATTAATCAGGTCTCTTAACATAATGAAGCAGAGCATATAATCAGTGTATTTAATATACAGCATTAACTCACTGTTTCTGGCCCTGACCCGCTCAGACCCCCCATTGCTCCTACTGCAGGGATGAAGCACTGAACTACAACTGCAGAGAAAAGGACAACTCGCATTATGCAAGTACTGGCTGTGTCCCCAGTTATGTCTGTTACTGTTATTTTCCAACCGTAAATTCAAGATGATCACGTTATTCATATTCAGTGGTAAACAGAAAACACAGTGCAAAGCCCAAAATGCACTGTGAAATTATTGGCAGCAACTGTTTTCTCTTCCTTGAGCAGCCAACTGAAAGTTAATTCTCATGATAACTAAGAAAACTAAAAGATGAATTATATATATATTCACTACAAGAAATTTAACAAAAGGAAAGAGCACTGGAAAGAAGCAACTACAGCCAGATAAGTTTGCCACGAGGACTGGGCAGCTTATTGAAGGCTCGTCATCTATGAATAGCTTTAAGTTTGTGCAGGGTTTACATTCATCCCTGTGACATAAAGTCTGCCTACTTAATGAGCATCAACAGTTCAGTGCCAAGCCAGTGACAATAAAGCATTACCCAAAACATCAAGACAAAAAATTCTGCAATCTAGGACTTGAAAGCTAAACAGAAGTTTAAGAGAAAGAGCAACTGTGTATCCTGAAAATCAAGTCTCACTAATGACAGACACAGGCATAGACCATACTCAAAACATCTGGCATTTAGGCTAAAGCAAGCTGAAAAGTCCACCTGAAGGTGTCCTATCATGCTAGAAGGGAAGAATAATTGTGTTCAGGATTCTCCCAGGCATTGAAAATGCTAGAGCATCCATGTAATTCAAACATCAGGGAGGCTGAGGCAGGAGGACTGCAAATTTGAGGCCGGTCTGGGCTAAACAAAGACCCGTTTCCACAAGATTCTCAAAGGAACACAACTGTAACTTCTCCATGATGGGTCTTTTACTGGGGAAGTGAGATCGATACTTCATCACTCAAGACTCTAAAGTTGGACACATTTGAGTCAATGATCTCATTGCTGGCTATTTCAGTACAGGAACAGCAACAAAAACCCATGCTCATATCTTGCATATACATTGTAATTATGTCTGAAAGTCTTAAGACCACATCTTTAGCTGGGCATGGTGACACAGACTTATAGTCCTAGCACCTGTGAGAGGACTGGGAATTGGAGGTCATCCTCAGCTACACAATGAGTTAAAGCTGCAAGATCTACCACTTTCCTCATAATCCATAGAACAGGGCCAATCTACAGCCCATTCCCAGAGGATGGAGTTAAATAAACAGGGCAGTTCTTGAGTAAGGATTTAGATTGTTCTTGCAGAAGCCAAAAGAGCCCTTCAAGATGCTGAGCCAACAAAGACTAGAGGAAAACATTCCGGACGTGCTCCTAGAGACCTCCATGTTGCCTCCCCTCTTCTCCCACCCTCTGAAAAAGACCCCATGCCAGTCTTTTACTTTGTTTGTATTTCAGATACCTTAAAGTAGAAACACTTTTGGTAAATCTTAAATATCTTGGAGTACATGGGAGGCAACAAAGAGGTAATAACTAGCATATTCTATGAAAAGCCAAAGTTTGTCAGGTGCTTGTTTCCCCCCCCCCATAAGTCAAACCCAGAAAAAAAATCCAAGAAATTTCAGTGTCCTACGAAAAGCCTTTATGAGATTTAATCCACATATTTTGATTCTTAAGACCAAAATGGAACTCTTACTGTATGGTGTATTGGTATATACCTATATTACCAGCCCCAGGATTAGCTTGAGTTGGAGGACAGCCTATTTACTGTGAGCCCCAGGACAGCTTGGGCTACATAGGGAGACCTTGTCTCAACAAAACAAAAGAAACGTTGCTTTAAAGGATGCTGCTTTTTTTTTCCTCCTCATGCCTTAACTCTTCTCACATCAGCACTGTGCTTACAAGCACTGTGTCCCTAAGCAGAAGAGACCCTCTCACCCCGAAAGGAAAGCATCTCATGCTCAGGGACTCATCTGAGGGACATCAGTGAAAGGTGCTGCTGGTGTAAGTAACACATGACTGGCTTTCACAACCACTCCTAGCTACCCTTTATGCCATAGGGAACATCTATTGTGAGCTATGCTCTATTGGAAACATCTTTCATTTTTAGGTTCTGGGGTTAAATTTTAAACCTGTATTCAGTTCACATCTAACTATGTTTCAAAAGCTGCACCAAATCTACTAGGCTTTTTTTTAATACTCTTTACTGCATGCTCTGTCTATATGCATGCGTTTGGATAATAAATATTAAATATGGGAGGGATGTATGGAATCCATAAAGTTAAAATGAAACTAAACTGAACATTAAAAAAGTACATGATAGCAGGAGAAATGAAGAAGGGCAAAAATAAATCTGAGGTAACAATAGTGGCCCAATACCACTAATCTGAAATATCTGTAAAAATTCAGTAAGTGTTTGGAGATTCAAGTAACAAACCATCTGCTCCAACATGGCCAGCCTTTTGGAGTCCCTGCCGAGTCTCAGTCCAGGAGCCGGCACTCACACAGCTCCTTATAGATCCTCTTTCGTACTCGAGGCATGTCTTCTTGAGAAAACTGGAAAGGCTGCTCTAGGGCGAGGCACTTGCAGTACTATAATAAACAAACATTAGATAAATAAATAAAAGTGCTCTGTCCCACACACACCTGGGTGGCATGTGTGGCTGTGCTCCCTTGTAGACACACAGCTAACAGTCAAAAGCTGCAGAGTAGCCTTTGTAAAATCTGCCACTTGTTCATTGTTTTTGATACAAGGTTTGTCTGTGTGTAGCCCTAGCTGTCCTGGAACTTGCTTTGTAGACCATGCTGGCCTGGAACTCACAGAGATTCATCTGCCTCTGCCTCCCGAGTGCAGAGATTAAAGGCGTGCGCCACTAAAGCCCAGCTTGACAATCATACTTTAGAGCACTGACTTCCAAGTGAGAGTCACTTTCCAGGCAGTGCACAGCCAGGCATTCTGCCACTCTGCCAAGGGCACTTGGGCCTCACAGGGAAAGGTAAGTGCAAACTTGAGTTTCCTTATAAACTCCAAATATTCGTGAGGTGTGAGGTGTGCAGTGGAGCTACCTCCTGGGGTGTTTGTAAATCTGAGTTCATGTATCATGTTATTTTCCCATAAATGCATGGCTTACTGAGACTCGTGGCTCATTCTTGGCCCTGGGGGGGCAGTGCTTCCTAATGACTGTATCTGCAAATACAGCAACAGCAAAGGGGAAAGTGTTGCCATCCTCAATACTGTGTACACACAGGACTACCATTTCTTCTCTCAAAACAACCAATTCACATACTGTAAAAATAGTACTTACCTGGAGCACAAAGACTCCACAGTCACTGTCATTTTTCTGTTGTGGAATACACTGAAGAGAAAAGCAAGATGGTTATTAAAAGAGAACAAGAGATGGGAAACTTTTCTCTGTCCCAGACAGCTGGTCTATATCTCCACTATCCAAATACCTGAGTAAGGGGGACAAGTGCCACATGGAAAGATCTCTACGTGGCAACCACAATTTAAGTATGGGAAATGAGAAAACCAAATCTAAAAACCATCTTACAGACCTAGCTAACTAGCTGTGCTATCAATTCAATGACAATGGAAGCAAGTGGCCTTGTGGGTCAAAAAGTATAGGCTGAACAGCAGCAGTCATCGCTTTATGCTTCCTGCTGTAGATGCAATGTAGCATCTGTCGCATGCCTCTGCAGCCATGCATACCACCGTGATAAACTATACTCAGACTGTGAGCACAGTAAGACCTTTCTCCCTTCATTTGTCAAGTATTTTGTCACAGCAACAATAAGAAAAAAACCCTGAAGTTCTTTGTAGTCTTAACTTTTCACCTCAGATTATTCAATTCTGTTTTATTTTTTGAAGACTATGTTTCCAAAAGAAGGGACATAGCATACCTAGATGAGCTAGAAGGATAAATCAGTAAGTCACACAAATTTAAAAAAATAAATAAAAGAAAATTCTACAATTTCATTTCTGGTGTGAGCTAGTATGTAGGTTACTAGAAACATAAAACTATGGCTCAATTTTAAAGTTTGGTATTTGGCTCAGTTCAAAAAACAAGCTAATCTTGATCTTTTGGGCTTGGGTTCAACATTTGTCAAGACCTTGCCTATAAAACTGGGCCAATAGCCTAGACAGACCTGAGTTCAGGACTTGCCTCTAACAACGGTTCCGATACCCAGTTTTCATGTCTGTAACATAAAGATGACACAGGTTGTAAGGATCAAACTAGATCATTACAAGGTCACAACTGAAGGAGTTATTTATGCCTTGCATTCTGCTCCATAGAGCTGCTTTACTGTCTATGGGCCAAACACAGTGGGTCTTAACTATATTCTTAGACAGTATCCGTCTTGGTCCCCCTGTAAGCCCAAATAATCATTTTAGCATATGTGTTGAGTCTATATGTATACCACATGGAAATGATAATTACAAGGCAAAGTGTGACCTTTCCCTCAAATTTTTGTTTTCCATCGAACACCACATGATTACTAACTACACCAAGGATGACATGATTTATGCTACCTCCTCTCACAAATCCTGGGAAACAGGCTCAAGATGATTTATTCTGAGTTGCCTGGAATCTCCTAGAGGCTCTCCACGCCCAGCCTTCATCTCTCTCAGCAGGCATTCACACTTGGGTCCCTGCCGCCTGTGCACAAGCTGGAGTTTTCTGTTTCACTCTTACCTTTGTAACAGCAGTCTGCCAACCCTGAAGAAACTCAGGTCTGTTTTTTTCTCTGGCTTCAGTCAGCAAATACTTTCTTATATTCTGGTTAAAAAGAAACCATAACACACATGTGTACCATTAGTTGGTGAAAGCATGGGAACTGCCCACACCTAAGCCAATATAAATAACATTTAATTGTACAGCTTTCAGTAACATGCCTGGACACCTACCAGATGAATCTGCCTTCACTGTTCCAGTTCAGGCTCATGCACATGAATTGTGCAGTGTGAATTTTAGAAGCAGTTCAGGAGGCCTTTCAAACTTCTGTTAGTGGGGATGGAGCTCAGTCAAGTGCTTCCCTAGCATGCACAAAGCTCTGGATTCAATTCCCAGCACCATATAACTCAGATGTGGTGACACACACATAACATTTCAGCACTTGGGTGGTAAGAACAGAGCCAGGAGTTCAAAGATATCTTTGGCTACATAGCAAGTTGAAGGCCAGCCTTGGGCTATATTAGATCTCGTCTCAACACCAAGCATAGTGTTGTATAATTATAATCCCAAGATTTAGGAGGCTGAGACCAGGGTGATAATATGTTTGATGCCAGCATGGGCTACACAGCAGACCTTCTCTGAATAAAAACAAAACAAAATCTTGAGGAACTGATGAGATGAAAATTGCTAGAAGTTTGTTTGGCGAAAATGGATCTCTTCAACACTAAATCTGCTTGCTTCTCGGATTTCCTCCATTAACTGAAGCTTTAACTTCTTCACCCTAAAGGCTTTGCACACTCCTCACTACAGTGCACCTGGATGATGGGCTCCAATACTTAGTAAGTAGAACCTGCTTCTTGTTGTTTTCCGAGACAGGGTTTCTCTGTGTAGCCCTGGCTGTCCTGGAACTCGCTCTGAAGATCAGGCTGACCTTGAACTTAAGAGATCTGCCTGCCTCTGCCTCCTGAGTGCTAGGATTAAAGTCGTGTGCCACTGGGTGGTAAGACTCTTCCACATGTCCTAAGCTCAATTCCCAGTAACTACATGGTGGCACACAACCATCTGTGGTGGGATCTGATGCCCTCTTCTGGAATAAATATGTACATGCAGATACAGTACTCATATACATAAAATTAATTAATTAAAAAAGGAGTCATGTGCCACCACCACCCAGCATCAGGCATACTTTTCTAACTGCTTCTTCATTATGTATAAACCCGGGAAGGCTGATTTTTGTGACCCTCCCCTACCATCTTGTTGCACTCTTATTGATATTAGCTGAACTCTACAGGGTGTGATGTTACACCCTGTAATTCCCATTTGGGAAGCAGAAGCAAAAACACCAAGGACTTCAAGGTCAGTTTTTGAGAACTGCCTAGGCTATGTAATATCATGTCTTTACCTGACTCTAATATTTTGTTCCAGAATAATAGTTAATTTGAAGATCTGAGATGATCTTAGCTCTAAAAGAAATTGTTTCTATCCACACTCAAGTATCCTAAGGAAACACAGGGAAAAAATGCAGTGTGTGAGTGTGTGTGTGTGTGTGTGTGTGTGTGTGTGTGTGTGTGTTTCCTTAAAATGCTGAATCCAGCCAGGCAGTGGTGGCGCCCATCTTTAATCCCAGCACTTGGGAGGCAGAGGCAAGCTAATCACTGTGAGTTCAAGGCCAGCTTGGTCTACAGAGTAAGTTCCAGGACAGTCACTGCTACACAGAGAAACTGTGTCTGGAAAAACAAAATAAGTAAATAAATAAAATGCTGAATCCAACACAAGCACATCTCTCCAAAGGGGCCGCAGATCTGACAACTCAGTCACGTGCCAGGACAGCTGTTCTCTCGTCACCTCAAAGCAGCTGCTGATGTCCACTGCTCTGTCTACAGCTATGACATGTCCTGGCCAATCACAGGTAAAAAGTAAAATAGAATAGTAACTTACCTCTACACAAAACTTAAAATGAATGCCTTGGGAATCATAAAATGAAATAATTCGATTGGAGAGTGTCACAGTAATGAGAGACCAGTGGACTTCCAGGTGGATAGGAATCAACAGAAGGCTCTTTTTAAACAAATCCACCTAATTAAGAGACAGAAAGGGAGCTATCACCATAGAACCAACAATATCATTCACCTACTGACCTTTCACCTACTAAAGATCATACAATGCGAAGTGGTAAAGCAGAATTTGAACCTATGTCTCATCTTAAAGCCCATGTTTGTAATCACTAAGTTAAAATACTTAATCTACAAAAACTAGTTTTGTCAGCCGGGCGTTGGTAGCGCACGCCTTTAATCCCAGCACTCGGGAGGCAGAACTCTGAGTTCGAGACCAGCCTGACATACAAGAGCTAGTTCCAGGACAGACTCCAAAGCCACAGAGAAACCCTGTCTCGAAAAACAAACAAACAAACAAACAAACAAAAGAACTAGTTTTGTCAACTGTCAGGTGTCTCTGATGTGTGAGTGTGCAGTATATGTGTATGTGTCTGAGGACAACTGTGTGGAGCTGGTTCTCTTCTTCCACCTTCTGCTTTTTGTTTTAAAACAGTGCTAGGGATCCTACTAGAGCTACTATTAATAGTACTAAAAAGGCAACAAAAGTTTAAAAAAATTAGCAGGGTGATAGTGGCATAAATCTTTATTTCCAGCACTTGGGAGGCAGAGACAGATCTCTCTGAGTTTGAGGCCAGCCTGACCTACAGAGTTCCAGGACAGGTTCCAAAGCTACAGAGAAATCCTGTCTTAAAAAACAAACCAAAAAGTAAAAAGTAAAGATCTTATAACCTCAAGCAAATCTACCTAAATTCAAATACTGGTTCTTTCCTTTTGCTTTGTCTTTTTTTTTTTTTCCGAGACAGGGTTTCTCTGTATTGTTTTGGAGGCTATCGGTCCAGCCCAGCCTTGAACTCAGAGATCTGCCTACCTCTGCCTCCGGAGTGCTGGGATTAAAGGCGTGTGCCACCACCACCTGGCGCTTTGTCTGTTTTATTTGCCCTTTTATGCCCTGATTTCATCAACTATAACATGTGGGAACTTATGCATGTAACCACCTTATGCAGTTCTAAAGAATGAGAGAAGAACATGACCACACACAGACGTGTGCTTCAGCACACTTGAACCCTGCAATCTCGTCTCCACTATTAAAATGGAGAAAGAAAAGATGCTTGATAATACTATACACCCTTTAGCTCAAATAAATCCTGAAAACCCTAACATAGTTGGGTAGTGGTGGCACAAACCTTTAGTCCCAGCACTTGGGAAGCAGAGGCAGACAGATCTGGGAGATTGGGGACAGTCTGATCTGTAGCACAAGTTCCAGGACAGGCAGGACTACACAGAGAAACTGTCTTGAAAAACAAAACCTGTCTTTTATAATCTATTCCACTCAAACTTCCAATGGATGGTTCAGTAGGTAAAGGCAACTGTCACCGAGCTGATGATCCAAGTTCAACCCAGAACCATCACTGTAGAAAGAGAACTGATTCCCACAAGCTGTCCTCTGACCTCCACTCCTGAGTCATGCCATGAGGGTACCCACACACTCACACATAATAAACAAATTGATGTAATTAAAAATCCAAAGGATAACAAAGTAGTAGGCACTCCAAAAACACCTATAAAAGGTGAGTTAGCTGGGCATCACCAAATCATGTAATCCCAGACTTTGGGAGGTGACAACTAGAGTTGCTCAAGGTCATCCTCTGATACAAGGAGAGTTCAGGAAAAAGAGACCCCATCTAAAAACAAATGAAATGTTGGGCACAGCGGCATGTGCCTAGAGTATACACACTCATGGCCTGCCTTTGTCTCAAAGGAAAAAGTTTGTGACCATTAAGATGGTGGGTGCAGCAGGTCAAGGTGCTTGCTGTGCCTGACAACTAATTCTGACCCTCAAAGTGGGAGAAGAGCCCCTAGTCCACAGAGCTGTCCTCTGACCTTTCCATGTGTGCCGTAGCATGCAGGCACCTGCATGCACGCCAACAAGCACACTACAACACACACAGAAACACAATTTTTATTTTTTTATTTTTTTTTGGTTTTTACGAGACAGGGTTTCTCTGTATTGTTTTGAAGGCTGTCAGTCCAGCCTGGCCTTGAACTCACAGAGATCTGCCTGCCTCTGCCTCCTGAGTGGTGCTGGGATTAAAGGCGTGCGCCACCACCGCCCGGCTGGAAGACAGATTTTTAAGTTTTAAAACTGTGTTTCTTGGGAGGCAGAGGCAGGTGGATCTCTGTGCGTTCGAGGCCAGGCTGGACCGATAGCCTCCAAAACAATACAGAGAAACCCTGTCTCATAAAAAAAAAAAAATCTGTCTTCCAGGTGGGCAGTGGTGGTTTACGCCTTTAATCCCAGCACTTGGGAGGCAGAGGCAGGCAATCTCTGTGAGTTCGAGGCCAGCCTGATCTTCAGAGTGAATTCCAGGATGGCGAGGGCTGTTAAACAGAGAAATCCTGTCTCGAAAAATAACAACAAAAATTTTCTTACATATTTTGTTATTATTTTGTTTCTTCTTTCTCTGCCTGTTCAAATTATCCATTAATTTATTTGTCTTTCTGGAACTGGATTTGGTGACTACATGATAATGAGATTTGAGGCCATTAGTTTTTTCTCTTCATGTGTTTGGGAAGAACCCACTGTGTAAATGAAGACAGCCATGAAGTCCTTCCTGTTTCCACCTGCTTAGCTAGGATGACAGGTGTGACCATGGTTCCTCCAGGAGATCTCAGTTGTGTTTTTAAAGTGTTCTGTCTACACACAGGAAGGGCTCAGCCATGAGGGCAGAGGGCCAACATCGCACGTCTATCTCATTGCTTGAGAGAGTTCTTACTGAGTCCAGGTCCTCATGTGACACCTTATTCTCTGCACGACTTCCCTGCACTACCTTGAGTTTTAGTTTTTCTTTAATATAAGCTTTAAAATTTTTCTTTGAAAAATATTTTTGCATGATATTTCTGGAGTGTCATGTGAAGGTTGAGGATCTTCTATGGTGTGGGTCTTAGGGACGAAATTCAGGTAGGGTTGGTGGCAGGGATCTCTGCCTGCTGAGCCATGTTCTCAGCCCTTATTTTCAGTTTGATTCATAATAAGAGAAGAATGTGTCTGCAACTGTCTAGTGTCCAAGTATATGATCAGCTCTTACAAATGTCTCTGGGGTACAAAATACATAAATAAATAAAAGTAGCTGGCTTGGATGGCCAGTTCAGGGCCAGCTTGGGTACACACATACTATAAATCTGTATGGGAAATGAAGGGGAACCAGAAGGGGAGCATAGGTTTGGTCATTAAAAATAATCTTTTTTTTTCACATTCTGTTTATTTTTGTTTTGATTTGATTTTTGAGACAGGGTTTCTCTGTGTGGCTCTGGCTGTCCTGAAACTCACTACATAGACTATGCTGGCCTCGTCCTCTGCTTGCTCCTGCCTCCCAGGTGCTAGGATTAAAGACGTGTTCTACCTGATTTTTTTTTTTTTTACATTTTAAAATTTACATTTGTGTGTGGACGGACAATGCATGTCACAGGTCATGTGTGGTCAGAGGTCATTTCAAGAGTGATTCCTCTGCTTCCACAATGTGGGTTCCAGGGATTGAACTCAGGTTGTCAGGCTTGGAGGTAGTCACCTTTCCTATGAGCCATCTCACTGGCCCACGTGTTCTTTTTTTTTTTTCTTTTTTTAAGATTTATTTATTTATTACGAATACAACACCCTGCCTCCATGTACATCTACACATCAGTAAAGGGCACCAGATCTCATTACAGATGGTTGTGAACCACCATGTGGTTGCTGGGAATTGAACGCATGACCTCTGGAAGAGCAGTCAGTGCCCTTACCCTCTGAGCCATCTCTCCAGCCCAGATGTTCTCTTTTTAAGGGGTATAATTATCCATGAACAATATACTTATGGAATTCTACTGAGTGTATTAAGTTTTGTGAGCGTACTTATTGTCTACGAGGTTAACTCAATGAGAAACATGTCCCACTAGCAATGTATTTTTATCAGTGTGTGTCTGAGTGTGTTGTATATACAAGCATGTGTGTGTCCTGGCATGTGAGCATAGGTGTCTGAGAACCCAGAAGGCACTATGTAGACAAGGCTATCCTCCAACTTGAAAAGGTCCACATGCCTCTCAGTATGAGTGCTGAGAGGTTTGGATTAAAGCCATGTACCACTACGCCAGATTCATTTGCTAGTTCATTCTGACTTGCTTTGCCCAGAATATCAGTTAAGTGTCAATTTATTTTCAAGAATACATTTTCATGTTATTTTCTTAATTTCTTAGCACTTAGTATATGGCTGGAATATTTTTTTAGTTACCCTAATTTGAGAATTCAGAGAATACAATAATTTATTTTCATTTAACAAAGTGATATTTATTTTGCAAATATTTCCTATGAACATGGCCAATGATCTCTAAGCAATCATGCCTACCTAATGACCTTAAAGATGGTAATGTTTGGGGAGCCAAACATTATATGTGCCAAAAAAGCACATGTCCTGTGATAAGAATTATCCACACACAAAAATATAAATTTTAAAATGTAAAAACCAAGCTAGGCGTGGTGGGCCACATCTTTAATCCCAGCATTCGGGAGGCAGAATATAAAGCCAGCCTAGCCTCCAGAGCGAGTTCAGGACAGCCAAGGTTACACAGAGAAGCCCTGTCTGAAAAAAACAAACAAAAACCAAAGTGACACTCCCCTTCTGTCTGTTCCACAGTCTCCACAGGCAAGCTGCATTAAGCACTCTCTCATTAGCTTTTATTTACTGGCTGATTTGTAAGTGCCATGAGATATAGAGAAAGAGCTTTATTTTCCTCATCTATGACTACTAGAAAAGTACTTGGCATTCCTCAGCTGGGGAAAGTGCTTGTCCCAGCACTGAGGAGACTGAAATAGTTACATCCCTAGAGTATGCTGGCCAAAGAGCTCAGTCTACTTGGCAAGATCCAGGACAGTAAGAGACTGTTTGAAAACACAAGGTGGGTTAGGAGCATGCTTATTAATCCTAGCACTGGGAGGTACAGGCAGGTGGATCTCTACATACTGAGTTCCAGACCATCCAAGGCTATATAGAGAGGCTGCCTCAAAAAACCAACCAACCAACCAACCAACCAACCAACAAAAAGGCAAGGTAGATGGTTCCCTAGAAGAACAATATCTAATTGTCATCAGGCCTCAACACATATGTGCACATACAAAAACCAAAAACCAATACTGGGTTTCACATTTCTTGAATTCCACAATGGTAAGAACAAAAAAACACTACTAGTATGCTAAGCACATAGGTCTTGCTTTTGGGTTGTTTTTGAGATAGGTTCCAAGAATCCTGACTGGCACTGAATTTACCACACTCTTGCTTCAGCCTTCTGCATGTTAGGGTTATAGACCCTTGGCCACCATACCCAGTCACCTAGAGTGTATTTCAAGTTCTTACCAGTACCTACCTTCACCTCATTCACTGCTCTGGTATTACTACATCAAACAAAGTCTGCCATGAAGTTTACCCCAGGAGAGAGAAAGGACAGTGAGTACATTCTACACACCATGTAGTGAAACATACTGGGAGGGAAAAGAAGAGTAAGAGGAATTAGGAGTGATGCCACAGTGATAGCACCTGTCATCCCAGCACTGGGGAGGCCAAGCCAAGAGAATGATGAGTGCAAGAGCAGCCTAAGTTATACACAAAGATCCTAGTTTGAGGGAAAAGAGAAAAAAGAGTGAGCCATATGTATATAAACACACACACACCAGAAAGTGAGAAGTCCTTGAAACTAAAATCAAGTGTGCACAGCTGCAGCCTGTGGCTAAGGAAAGAGGTAAAATGAGGTGTGATTTTAGTCTTTGGTTTTCAAGTTATCAATTGCAGAACTAGATATTGCCTTCTAACTGTGAAAGAAGGTAAGATATAGAAGTTGGGGACATGACTCAATGGTTCAATGGCTGGGGCACTCACTGCTTTTGTAGTGCCCATATGGTGGCTCCTAACCACCCTTAACACTGTTTCTGAGGCATCTTGGTTTTTACAGATTTATTTATTTTATTTCATGTGTTGAGTGTTTTGCCTGCATAATGTAAGTATACTTCATCGATGTCTGATGCCCACAGAGGCAAAAGAGGGTGCCAGATCCCCAGGAGACTGGAGCTACAGACAGTTGTAAGCCATCATGTGGATGTTGGGAGCCAAACCAAGGTCCTCTGCAACAACAGTCAGTGTTCTTAACCACTCAGCCATCTCTCCAGCCCCGTTAAAAATAATGGTAAAATTAAAATTAAAAACCTTTAAGAGTTAATGGCATGTCTTTAACTTCTGGCTTCGTTAACATTTTAATAGTTTAAAATATATTTACTGCCCAGTGGTGGTAGTGGCAAACATTTAATCCCCGCAGTTGGGAGCTAGAGACAGGCAGATCTCAGAGTTCAAGGCCAGCCTGATCTACAGAATGAGTGCCAGTACAATCAGGGCTACACAGAGAAACCCTGTTTGAAAAACACACCAAACAATATATATATATGTGACTAAAAACCATAAAGTTTACCAATGACTTAAGCTGGGGTATGAATTAATTTTAAAACTTTAATTTTACTAAAATTAGCAATTTCATAAGCATCTTTTTACAAATGTTTTTTTTCCAGATTTCTTTAAAATAAAGACCTAGTGATTGGATCATCAAAAAATTGAAATGAACATTTGGTGAGTTTCAATGTAAATCATGACAATTAGCATTTTACAATTATGTATTCTACAATGTGTTTAGTGGTTTGCTAAATATAATCTCACTTATTCTCCCAACAAAGTAAGTACCACAGTTGTTCTTATCCTACAGATGGGTTTGACTTTCAGAATATTTAAGCAAATGTACTTAAGTAACAGCTAACTAAGTCACCGAGCTGGCACATGAATTCTATCTCAGATTTGTATACTTCAGATATTGTACTTGATATAAAAGTATTTCCAAGTCTGGAGATCATCCTCGGTTATACAGCTTGGGATGTCTAAATGAAGAAATAAATCTTATATTCATCGACTTAAGAGTTATTCTTGGGTGGGTTGGTTGGTTGGTTGGTTGGTGACAGGCTCACTGTATAGACCACCTGGTGGGTGTGGAAGGTGCTATGTAGAAGTAGCCTTGAACTCACAGAAATCCATCTGCCTCTACCTCCTGACTGCTAAAATTGAAAACATGTGCCACCTTGCCTGGCTTCTTTTTAAAATAACAACAACAAAATAAGAGTTTCCCATAGTCCAGACTAGCCTCAAACTTCTGATCATTCTACCTCCACATAGGCTTACAGAGTCCAGCTAAGACTCACTTCATCTCTCCAGTCCTCCCAGTCAGCTTACAAATGAAAAGTAAACAAACAAAAGGACGGGCAGTGGTGGTGAACACCTTTAATCTCAGCACTCGGGAGGCAGAGGCAGGCAGATCGATCTCTGTGAATTTGAGGCCAGCAAGGTCTACAGAGCAAGTTCCAGGACAGGCTCCAAAGCCATACAGAGGAACCCTGTCTCAAAACAAACAAAACCAAAAAAGTGAAAAGTATGGTGGCATTCCTCTACCTAGTACTCAAGAGGCAGAGGCAAGATGATGAGAAGTTCAAGGCCAACTTTGGCTACGTATTGAGTCAGAGCAGCTTAAGCTACATGAGTTTGAGGCCTTCTGTAAAAAACAAAATTATTTCTGTATTATTTGAGTTTGAATTTATTAGTAAAATTCCAAAAATAGACTATAAAGAGGTTTCAAGTGTTTCCACTTAGGAATAGTGAAGAAACCTTGTAACTGACACTATGGAGGCTGAACCAGGAAGACTGGGAGTCGGAGACCAGCCTAAACTACATAGCACTCATAAAGTCAAGGCTAGAGTTGTAGCTCAGTGACAAAAGCACTTCTTAGCACATGAAAGGCCCTGGCTCGATCTCTAGCACCACCAGAAAAAAAGAAAACGTTGTGACAGAGTCACTGAAGGCACTGTAGATATTTTTAGCATCTTATTCTAAGTCAGCAGTCTAACATAGACAAGTTAAATGTCTTGTCCAGGGTGGCCAACGAGCTAACGGTAATGCTGCAGTGGTACTGGTACTCCCCGTACAGCACACTCTAACCCACAGACCAAGAGCTCACTAGTGTCCTAGTCCCAAACATTAAAGCATTACATGAGGTCCTGACACCACCTAGAGCAGCTTAGCCACTTCAGCTTCCGTATAAAAGGAAACAATACCTTTTTAGTCCATCTCTTAACTCCATTGTAGCCTTTGGTCACCAGCTGTCTATGAAAAAAGCTGTTGAAGAAGTGGACCTAGAACAGCAAACACAGTCAACCAGGTTACATGCCACGCCCAGGTTCAGCTTCACAAGAAAACAAACCAACAATTTGGAAACATAAAACGAACAAAAGAGGAATGAAAAATGTTTTTGTTTTTTTAAATTTGAGGGGCTGGAGAGATAGCTCAGAGGTTAAGAGCACACTGGCTGCTCTTCCTGAGGTCCTGAGTTCAATTCCCAGCAACCATATGGTGGCTCACAGCCATCTGTAATGGAATCTGGTGCCCTCTTCTGTCCTGCAGGCCATATGCAGACAGAATGCTGTATGCATAATAAATAAATAAATAAATCTTTAGAAAAAAAAAAAGAATTTTAGAAAAAAAAATTGAGATCGGGTTTCTCTATGTAGCTCCATCTGTCTTGGAACTCATTCTGTAGACCAGGCTGGCCTGGAACTCAGAGATCCACCTACCTCTGTCCCATCATTCCCCCCCTGACCTCCCCTCCCCCAGTGCTGGGATTAAAGGTGTGGGCCACCATGCCCAGGTTTTTTTGTTTTGTTTTGAACTTCTGATCTCCTGTTTCTACCTTCTAAATATTAGGATTTGAGGGCCAATCTGGGATACATAATGAACACTGTCTCAAAAACTAAATAAATAAAATAATGCTAGGATCCCAGCACTTGGAAGGCAGGAGAATCTCTTTGAATTCAACGTCAGCCTGGTCTACAGAGCTAGTTCCAGGACAGCTTGGGCTGTTACACAGAGAAACCCTGTCTTGAAAAAACAGAAAGTTTCATTTTGGTTCCTTTTTTTTTTTTTGAAACAGGGTCTTAAGTAGTCCATGCTGGTCTCAAATTTCCTATGATGCCATGATGATCTTGAACTTCTGATCCTTCTGCCTCCACCTCTCAAAATACTGGGATAAAAGGTTGTATACAACTGCACTCAGCTTAAGCAAAAACAATCTGATAGTAAATATGGCAGACTCTAATGCACAACCAAGACAATCTAACTCATTTAATCTAAAGAATATCAGATAATTACATATTGTTTAAAAGCAAAAACTTAATAGCATCTTACTATTAGTAACACAGGAACACTCATGAAGAGGGAGCGCCACTTACTTTGTCTGGGACTGCATCCATTATCAGCTCCCCATACATATTAATAACCTGTAAAATTAAAGCCCACTGATTAGTCCTATACAATTCAGAACGTCCCCAGGCATATGTTTTGTTAGCTAACCCCTGTGCAAGTTTCTACCCTGAAGACTCACGATGCACTAACCTGGTCATTCAACCAATTCTGACCATCCAAGGTGGCCAGATCATCCATATCCAGCATGTGCTTATTGTAGAAGATGCGGAAGTTGCACTTTTGATGTCTGGCCCGGTAGTTTGTTATTTCTCTATTGATAAATGGTTTTCTAAAACAGATTTTGAAAGAAAAGTTTTAAATAAAATGTATTTTTTCAACATAATAACGATTTCCTTACTCTTAAGGGAAAAGTTGTTTTCAGCCTTTAGGGCTTAACTTTTACATTACTGACATACCTATTAGAAAAGTCTTCATTAAAGACATCTTTTAATCTCCCAAGGACATCTTTTTCACTGAGTGGGACCAAACTTCCATACTTTTTCATAACCTCATCTAGGAATCCTTTTATAAAGGGAAAAGAAAAACATGGGAAATTTTTTTCAGCAAAGTTGTTCTCATAACACGAAATACATCTGTTACAGCATACAACCATAATCTGTAGAAATACAGTTACATTACTTTAAAAAAAATGTTTGGGCCTTCGCCATTGTAATTCACAAAGAGATGCTCGGAACTATCATTTCACATTGGATTTTTTTGTTGGTTCATTGTTGATCTTAGCCAAAAGCTAGACAAGCAATTGGGGATGGGGTGTCTTTTTTGAAGCCAGGGTTCATATACAGGATGGGTCTTGATCTCATCAACCTCCTTACATGATAGGGTTACAGGTGTGTGCCACCATGTGTAGTTCAGACTGTATTTTTAAATACAAACACACTTAGGGGCTAGTCAAGACATGTCCAAGCATAGTGATGCGCTCCTGTGGTTCCAGCTAGGGAGAGGCTGAGGTCAAGGAGCACTAGGGCACAGGAATTCTGGGACAGTCGGGTGTGTATTAGGAGGTGTGGCCTGTTGGAGGAAGTGTGTCACTGGACTGGGGGGTGGGTTTTGAAGTGTCTGACTGCCTGCAGATCAGGGAGATAGAATTCTTGACTACTTTTCCAGTACCACCGTGTCCACCAGAGTGCCACCATGTTCCCCGACATGGTAATGGACTAAACCTCTAAATGCTTTCTTTTTTTTCTCTTGGGTGAGACGGGTTTCTCTGTAGCTTTGGAACCTGTCCTGGAACACTCTCTATACACCAGGATGGCCTCAAACTCACAAAGATAAGCCTGTCTCTGCCTCCTGAATGCTGGGATTAAAGGTGTGTGCCACCACTGCCTTGCTAAATACTTTCTTTTATAAAGTACCTTTGTCATAGTCTCACTTCACAGCAATAGAACAGTGACTAAGACACCAGGGCAACATACCAAGACGTTCTCTTAGACACGAAGGGGAAGGGAGGGAGAGAGGATGAGAGCTAATCATCTGGTTAAATATGTCCTTCCCACCCCCAGTAGTTAAAAAAAAAAAGAGTAATTTCTTTTGAAAACTTTAAAATTGGTAAGATTGTCATCACTGTATTATTTCAATTTGATCATGTTAATGCAACCCTGAATTGGTCTCAATGGCATGTACCTGTAATCCCAACACTCAGGAGGCCAAGGTAGAAGGATCATGGCAAGTCTGACGGCAGCTTCATTCACACAGCAAACTCCAGACTACATGGTGAGACCTTGTCTCCAAACAAAGGGCAAACCCACTAACTACTTAGGACACTGAATAGCCCTGTGAGGGAAGCCTTACAGGGTAACAGTGAGCAAGGTTTTCTGTCTGTTATCTAGGCTGGTCTAAGACCTCCCAGCTAAGCTTCCACAGCAGCTGGGATTATAGACTAGGCCTAGCTCTACAGAGACCTGTTTTTTTTTTTTGTTTGTTTGTTTTTTTGTTTTTTTATGAGACAGGGTTTCTCTGTATTGTTTCGGAGGCTATCGGTCCAGCCTGGCCTCGAACGCACAAAGATCCGCCTGCCTCTGCCTCCCGAGTGCTGGGATTAAAGGTGTGCGCCACCACCGCCCGGCCAGAGACCTGTTTTAAACGGAATTTTAAAAACAGCTTTTATTATTTAGTTAGTTTCGGTGTAAGAGTTCTCCCAACAGAGCTACATCTACCCCAACGAAACAATTTCAAAAGGACCTTTCAGCCATTATAAAGCTGTCTTCCAGTCAATTCCTGTATATATTTATTTAATGGTTTCAATGATGATGACCACTGAGCAAAGTTCCCAGGAAATAAAACCCCAACATTACTTGAAGCAGGTAACAAAGAAGCTGAGGGAGGCTTAGGGGCTCACAAAGAACGCAGTTTTGGGGTTGGTGCTGAAAAGAAAGAGCAACAGCCTCTCACGCTGACAGTTAAATCTGGACTATGATGGGAAAGCTGTAACCAGCTCCTTCTGTGGCTCCTAACTGGTTTCTGCTAGGCTGTCGATTCAGAATGGAAGGGACTCCACTGCACAGAGAAACAAAGATGAAAATCCTGTTAATCTCCCACCAGAGTGGCTACCAACTTTTTGCAATGCTGGGAACCCAACATGCTAGACAGAGCACAGAATTGCACCCCCAGCCCTTCATTTCTTTATTTTTATTACACTCATTCATGGTGTTTGCGTGTGGACAGTAAGGTACACTGCCAACAGCATACAAACAGAGGTCAGAGGACAGCAAGTGCCTTTACCCTTTACCCAGTGAGCCATCTCCCCAGCCCAGCCCTAGGTTTTTTTAAATCATTACCTGATTCTCCACCCAAGTCTATTGGAGACTCTAAGAATAAAGTACATAATGTTTTAACATTTTCTATTCTCATTATCTTATATGATGGGTGCTTTTTTGTATATATGTCTGTGTACCACATGTATGCCTGATGCCCAAGGATGCCAGAAGAGTGTCAGGTCCCCTGGAAATGGAGTTACAGATGGTTATGAGCAATTATGTGGGTGCTAGGATTAGACCCTGGGTCTCTGCATGGTAAGCCAGGTCTGTTAACCACAGAGCTATTTCTCCAGCCCCAAGAGTATGTATGTTTGCTATATTCCCAGCCTCCCCAGCCTTTATATCTTAATAGCTATCTTGTTTTTACACAGGGGTCTTATCTTATTTCTACATGAAAGAATGGCTCACAGGAGTCAGGAAATCTTAACATTTGGAAAGACTACATTTAAGTGAAAATTATAAAGGTAGAAAGAGAATATTAACTCCACAACGCTGTCCTCTAACCACCCACACAGAAACATCATGTATGCACATAAAATAGTAAACTAAAAATAAAAATTTGAATTGCTTTAAAATGTCATAACGTTGGAAGGATAGCTCAGTGGTTAGGAGAATGTATTATTCTTCAGAGGACCACAGTTCAATTCTCAGCACCCTTACCGGGTGGCTCATAATCACCTGTGAATCCTCTGGCCTTCACTGGCACCTACACTTGCAAGTCATATACTTACACACACACAGACACACACACACACACACACACAATTAGAAATAAATTAAAATGTAGTAATGAAATTCATTACTTTGTATGCTAACTTACAGCATAAATATTTTAAATTACAAAATGAAACCATAAAAAATTATATCCCAAAGAAAAATGGAGTGGGAGGAGATGTCCCAAACAACAAAAATTAAATTTTAGGTTCTATAATCTTGATTGATATTCCTTAAATTAAAAAAAAAAAGCCGCTTTTTTACAGAGAAATCAGGCTGGAACTGACCTGACAGCTTCCTCCTACTGGCTAGCTTTCAGAGAGCTGTGCAGGCTGCAGGGGAAGAACAGACATCAGTGGTCTTGCCAGCACTTGACCCTGAACCCTGAGTGCTCCAATACTAACAGGCCAAGCAAGATGTGCCCACTGGTGAAGACTACGATGTAACCAACTTTCTGGCTGGATCTGATACCTACTCCACAGGAAGGCATCCATCCCTGATACTGAAAACCTGGTCAAAATCCCATGGGCTGGGAGGTTACAGGCTTAGTGGGGAACCTACTACTGTTTTGTTTTATTTTGTTTTTTACTAAATGGGCAACTGTCAAACTGCCTTCTAAATATTTATGTTTAGAACCATAGATTAGTACTTAACCTCAACCAGAAAAGACTCTTTTTGCAGTATACAGTGTTTAATGCAGAGACTTGTTACTGGTCAAAATGTTGAGACTAGGCAGGGCTGTGGTGGCTCATGCCTTTAATCCCAGCACTCAAGAGGCAGAAGCAGGTGGATCTCTGGGTAGGAGGCCAGCCTGGTCTACAGAGTGAGTTCCAGGACAGGCAGAGTTACACAGGGAGAAAAAAAAATGCTGAAAATCAGCGACTATTCAGTGCTCAGTCAGCCGTAACTGGGACATCTATGGCAACTCCTATAATGCGCAAGGACAGAGTGGGTGTTGTGAAATGCTGTCCTCTGGACATGTCATGACCATTGTTCTCGTGAGTTCACTGCAGCTATGGTCACCAGCACAACGTAAAGCCAACAAAATCAGTCAACATCCTAACAGGCAGCACCATCCAATTAGGACTCAGTGGGGACGGATGGAGGGAACAAAAAGGGAAGGGGGGATGTGTTGGGGGTGCTAGGGAGAGAAAGTTGGGGTTGCATGTAATTAAGATACGTTGCATAACACCAGACATGGTGGCACACATCTTTAGTCCCAGCACTTGGGAGGCAGAGGCAGGAGAAGCAATAACAAAAACTTTAAAATTTCTGTTAATGCAACAATAAACAATGTTGTGGTATTAAAGAATGTTGTATTTTGGGAGTGACAACTCTTGGCAATTACAATTAATTTAGCAGAACTAGACTGAATGGTAGTCAATGGAAGCAGAGATCAATGTATTCTGCTAGTTGCTATGTTCATAGAAACCAAAATACAATCCAAACAATCCAAAGAAAAAGTATGTACAATAAAATGCAGTTAGACACAAAAGTCATCAGGACAGAGCTCAGCTAATAGAATGTCTGCCTAGCAAGCATGAGGACCTGAATTCAATCCACAGCCCCACATAAATCATGTATGGTGACAACATACCTGTAATTCCAGCACCTGACAGGATCACAAGTTCACAGTCATCCTTGACTATGTTTAAAGCCAACCTAGGCTACCTAAGATTCTGTCTAAAAACAAAGACACCCAATCTTTTAAAATTCTCATGTGTAGTCTGTAAGACTGACTGGTGAAACAAGTTTAAAAGGTAATTTGGCCATCCTTTTAAAATGTTTAAGTACCAATATTCTTTCACCAGCAATTTGAATGGCAATTTAACTTACAGAAACAAGTGTATAAGAGAGTTCATTGAACCCTTATAGCAAAATCAATACAAGTGTCCATCAACAAACCGGAAGTGAGCTAAGCAACATCTCCATAATGGAGTAGCATAAAAAGCATCACGAACATCGATGGCTTAAAGGGAAAGCCATGTGTGGGAGGTAAACCAGGACTCTCTGGAAAGGATAACAGACAGCAAGTGTGGGCCAGCGGCTGGAGGACAACAAAGAACAGGGCATACCAGAGAGGCAGGTGGAGAGCTGCTCGTCATCCACTGGAGAAGCCTTCTGACTGCTCTGACCACCTGCCGTTTGGCTTTCTCCTTTGAGCTCACTGCACACCAAGGGAGCATCCAGAGGACTTTTACAGTAAGGGTGGTCCAGCAGCTTAGAACTCAGAATGTTCTGCTTGACAGACCCATCCTCCTCCATCTGGAAGTTCTCATTCTGAGCAGGCTCTTCAGACACATGCCCATCTCCACTACTCACAGATGTGTCTGCTCCGGACACCGACAGTCTCTCTCTGTCGTCACTCACAGCACTTGTCCCGCCTTCCTGACTCAGAGCCAGAACTGCTCTTTCCGTTTCGGAAGTGAATGTGTTACCAGAAGGATGCTCTGTTAGAGGGACCTCATGGATTTGCTCAGTACACTCCCACTTAGGAGAAGAGGGTGACTGGTCCCAGGCATATGTGGCACTGCCATTCTGTTGGTCAGAGGATGCTTCATCTAAACTATGCTCCTTGTCCAAGAAAGGGCTTTCTTCACTGTGGCCATCAGGCATATGAGAGTTTTTTCCCTTCACCGCAACACTGCTGTCCATGTCTGACAAGTATGGCTGACACCGACAAGGGTCTTTAGGTTCCGGGGAAGGGACTGGGCTGCAATTGCCACTCTCAGTGTTATCCCCAAGGTTCTCTTGATGGTCCCCAGTGACCTTCTGCACCCAGCTTCGCTGGGCTTTTCTTAGCTTGCAAACTCTGTTTTTCGTTCTGAAGTGCTGGGATCTGAAAATCCTGTACCGAAATCTAATCATGGATAATTTCTCATACATCATAAGAGACACTTTGACTCTTCGATGTTGGTTGAGTTGGAACTTTTTTGGAATCAAGGGTTTCCCATTCCTGTGGTGCTCTAGCCCTTGGTAGCAGCCATAACAAATGCGCTTTCTATGTCTGTTCAAGACCACAATCTTGCCACTCTCACCTGGACTTTGGCTCTCCCCATTGAACTTCATGGGAAAGTCTGGAGCCTGTGGGCCTGTCCTAGTTTTGTGACCACTGGCCTTACCTAAAACAGTATTTGCTGACAAGCCAGTAACTGCCTTCAGGACACTTTTCTCTCTGCAGTATTCATGGTCCAAGTTCTTTGCTGATGACAGTAACTTATCTGCTTGGAGTTTCAGGAGACTCCTTGAGGAAGAAATGAAGTGCTTAGTGTCCTTTCTTTTCACTTTGGCATACAAAGTGCTAACATTCTGAGTAGCCACTCCAGACTTCACCTTTGCACAAAGAGGTACATCCTGAATCCATGATTTCTGAATGTGAAGAGCCTTCTTACTACACTGGAAATGCTTCAACTGTCGACCCCAAACAACTGGCCTTCCCAGCCTAGCTTTCAGAAAGCATACGTTCTGAGGAAAATAGAACTTCTTAAAGCTTCTAAACCCAGTATTCCATTTCTCAGTAAAGGCTAAGTGAATTCCTTTTTTCCATAGAATTCTCTTCTGTTTTTTCATTTTTCTGATGCATAATGAGAACTGATGTACCTAAACAGAAAAAAAAAGCAAAGTTAAATTTCAATGTAAATATAACATAAAGACATATAGAAGTTAAGATCAAAGAAATGAAAAAGAACATACATATTCCAAGTTATTCTCTCAGCCATAAAGAAATCCTACTTGGCCGGGCGTTGGTGGTGCACGCCTTTAATCCCAGCACTCGGGAGGCAGAGGCAGGCGGATCTCTGTGAGTTCCAGACCAGCCTGGTATACAAGAGCTAGTTCCAGGACAGCCTCCAAAGTCACAGAGAAACCCTGTCTCGAAAAACCAAAAAAAAGAAAGAAAGAAAGAAATCCTACCTGATGGAGGTTCCCACTGCAAGAGCTGGGAAGAAGACATGAGTATTGAACGTTTTCTCTAAGCCTGCCTCTGAGGGGGATGCTTCAAGAATTGGGGAAGCTGAGGCCAGGTGGACCTCAATCTCTGAGTTTAAGACCAGCCTCTTTTACATAGTGAGTTCTAGGTTCTAGGTCAGCCAAGGCTGTATAGTGACACCTTGTAACAAAACAAAACAAAAAACCAAACCCAAAAGTTGTCAGGCAGTGGTAGTTAACGCCTTTAATTCTAGCACTCAGGAAGCAGAGGCAGACAGATCTCTATGAGTTCAAGGCCAGCCTGGTCTACAGAGTTAGTGCCAGGACAGCCAGGACTACACAAAGAAACCCTATCACAAAAAAAAAAAAAAAAAAAAAAACAAAGCAACCAAAACTTCTCAGTATATACCAGTTTCTGTTTCTGTGATTTCTTTTTATTTCATGTGCAGGAGTACTATCCTGAAGGCATGCAGGTGCACCACGTACAGGCCTACTGGCTGAGGAGTTCAGAAGAGGACTGTAGGATCCCTGGAACTGTAATTATAGATGGTTGTGAGCATGTGGGTGCTGGGAATTGAACCTGAGTCCTCTGCAAAAGCGACAAGTGTTCTTAACTGCTGAGCTGTCTCTTCAGCCCACTGCATCAGTTTCTAATGGGACATGTAAGGCAAAGGCTCAGAAGAGAATTTCTGGGTTTTTAGTACTTGAGCCACTTACCAGCCACAGAAGTTCTTGTACTGACTCTGTTTCTTATTAGCTAAACAGAAGAGGGACCAAATACCACTTCAGATTTCATATCTACTTATTTATAACTTGCCCACAACTTTCCCTGGCAATTTTTTTAAAAGGGCAAGTATCTTTGGTCCACACAGCCATCAGCCTTAAGGAGACCAGGCTCCACCTACAAGTCAGAGTCTAAGTGTCTATAAAGAACAAGACTTCACCAGCAGCTCTCATCCAGTTATACTGGCTCTCCAGTAAATGTAAGGACCACAGACAAACACAAACACACACAGAATTTCAGGAACAGAGGTGAAGGGTGAGAAGGAATAAACGAAAATCAGACATAAATCCAGAACAGTCAGTGCCAGCCTAGCATGCACAAGGCCCTGAGTTCAATGCCCCAAATCAATAAACAAGACACGGTGGGGCTGGAGATAGAGTACTTGCTTAGCATCACAAAGCCCTGGGTTCAGTCCACAGTATCACCTGAAGCCAGTCATGAAGGCACACACACATAATCAGCTCTAACACTCAGGGAATGAGCTAGACAGAGCAGTTCAAGGTCAGTAGGAGAAGGGTCATCAGTCTGACACAGCTATGAACCCTGCAAGCTACAACCTACCAGAAAGATGGGCCTACTGGAGCAACACTGGCAGAAAAGCCATGAGGGCACCAACCAATTTTCAGCGAGACTGAGGCTGGCCCCCACAGATGGTCATTCACGCCTGGTCCTACAAACCTGGTCAGAACCCCATGACTAGGGTCCTACAAGTAGCAGAGCTCTGACTAGAACATGGTATCACACTGCCTTCTCGCTGTTTATGTCTATACCCACAGACTAGAGCTGTGGGTCAGAGAAGCTTCTGTATGCAGCCATGCTCAGCTCTAACAGGGATATCTGTATCATATTCCCCAAGGCTCAGGGAACAAGGAGCGGAAAGAATGGGGGGGGGGACGTTGGTGGCACACGCCTTTAATCCCAGCACTCGGGAGGCAGAGGCAGGTGGATCTCTGTGAGTTCGAGGCCAGTCTGTCTACAGAGTGAGTTCCAGGACAGGCTCCAAAGCTACACAGAGAAACCCTGTCTCGAAAACCAAAAAAGAATGTAAGCGGGCAAGATAAAGTACTATGGAACGCTGTTTTCTGGATGTAGCATGGCTGTTGCACCCATGAAGTCACAGCAGTGATGGTTATCATGGATGGAGGAAGGGCTCATTCTCTCTTCCTTGAGGAGCTATACACAATGAAAGGCTACTGGGGGAGGGGAGTCATATTATTCAGTAGTGTAGCACTGGTTAAGTTATTCTGTCTTAAGTAATAACCTCTCAACTCCTCACCCATGCTCCTTCATGCAACTCTAGTTAAATTTAGTGGGACACCATAAAAAGGAGGGGGGGGCTGGGTGGTGGTAGCACACACCTTAAATCCCAGCACTCAGAGGCAGAGGCAGAAGGATCTCTATGAGTTCAAGGCCAGACTGATCTACAGAGCAAGTTCCAAGACAGACAGGGCTACCAGAGAAACCCTGTCTCAAAAAATGAGAGTGGGGGAGGAGAGACAGAAGAGAGGGAAGGAGGGAGAGATCGAGCACTAGCTATGATGGTTTGCAGAAAGAGTCTGGTTTTTGGTTTTTTTGTTTTGTTTTGTTTTTTTGGTTTTTTCGAGACAGGGTTTCTCTGTATTGTTTTGGAGGCTATCGGTCTAGCCTGGCCTCGAACTCACAGAGATCCGCCTGCCTCTGCCTCCCGAGTGCTGGGATTAAAGTCGTGCACCACCACCACCGCCCGGCTTGCAGAAAGACTTTAAAAAGACAAAAGCCCACCAGGTGCAAAAAGCAGAGGCAAGAGACCACAAATTAAAGATCAACTTTGGTGCTATATAATGAGACCCTGTGAAACATGAATCAATGAATGAATGAATGAGCAAAGGCCCCCCAAGGACAAAGATAATGAAAGAGGAGATAAGACAATAAAATTTCTAAAAGCAACAGTCACACTTGGTGGAATACACCTTTAATTTCAGCAGAGGCTGGAGGATCTCTGAGTTCAAATCTCTAATGAGTTCAAGGCCAGCCTGGTCTACACAGCAAGTTCCACGTCAGTTAAGGTCACACACAGTGAGACCTTGTTTCAAAACATAAAAAGCAGATGAATGAGTAACACACTCAGGTCAAAAAAAGGCAATGCAATGAAGTAAGCTACATGACCTCAGAAAGGCCCCAAATTAGAGGTAATAAATACCTATGGAAGTTAGGAGTGTGGATGGAGCTGAAGAAGGAAGGTCTCGGGAAGTCTGAAGAGGAAGTTCCACCCCAGATCCTGCCTCCTACCCGGAGAGAGAAGATGAGTCAGGAGAGTCACGCCAGTAAGGACACAGGGCAGAACAAGCTGAGCTAATGGAGCTCAGGCTGTGACCTTGCCCTCCTCATAAGTCATACTGCTGATGAGGAGAAATGGTCGTAGATATTTAATGCTCCCCCAAAAGGCCGAACAATTATTCTTCAGTGCATTCTGACGTCAAAGAAATGTATGAGGCTCTAGATCCTAATTACCATGCCCTTTCTTCCCCAAGAGTAGAAGTTCACTCATCAGAAAGGGTAAAACAGATGTCCTATAAGGACAACCTGAAGGAGAGTGACACAATCAATGAGACACCTTTCAACTCATCCTCAGATTGTGGCAATCCTCCAGAAAATCCATAAATCAACACATAGATATTCCTCCAAGTCGGAGCCCACAGAGTCCCTGCATTAACTGTCCAGGATGTGATGTGAAGTTTCTTCTAGTAAACACTAGTCGTCGCACTGGTTCCTTCCTCACTAACACACTAACAAACATACACTGATAACCAGCACAAAGATTAAATAAATGTTATCAATGAAAAATTCTATAAAAAGCTTAACAAAGAGTCAGGTGGTGGTGGCCCATGCCTTTAATCCCAGCACTTGGGAGGGGGAGGCAGGCAGACCTCTGAGTTCAAGGCTAGCCTGGTCTACAGAGAAAACAAAAACAAAAAACTCACCGAAAGAAAGGCAAAAAACCCAAAGTCACGATATATAGAGTGTTAATAATAGTCCTAATGCATAAAGAACTCATAAATTAATAAAAAGCCAGACAGTGGTTAACACACATCTTTAATCCTAGCACTCAGGAGGCAGAGACAGGCTGTGAGTTAGAAGCCAGCCTGGTCTACTGAGTGAGTTCCAGGACAGTTTCCTAAGCTACAGAGAAACCCTGTCTCGAAAAACAAGCAAAAAATAAATAAATCTTGATAACCTAATGAAAAAAATACATAAGCAAGCAATCACAAATAAAGATTTCTAAATAGCCCTTAAACATAAAAATATGTTCAACTTCACTCATAAGGAAAGTTGTCACTCATATATGGATTTTAGACATACAGCAAAGGAATACCAGCCTACAATCCACACCACCAGAGAAGCTAGGAAACAGAGAGGACCCTAAGAGAGACATACATGGTCCCCTGGAGAAGGGGAAAGGGACAAGATCTCCTGGGCTAACTGGGAGCATGGGGGAGGTGAGAGGAAGTTAGGAGACAGAGAAGGGGAGAAGAGAAGGGGAGAGGAGGTCATGAGGGAGCAGTTAGATTGAGGTGGGGGGGTAATAGAGGAGAGCAAGAAAAGAGATGCCATAAAGAGAAATCTGGCACCAGGGAAATGTCCAGAGATCTACAAGGATGACCCCAACTAACAATCTAAGCAATAGTGGAGAGGCTACCTTAAATGCCCTTCCCTATAATGAGGTTGATAACTACCTTATATGCCATCCTAGAGCCTTCATCCAGTAGTTGATGGAAGCAGAAGCAGACACCCACAGCTAAACACTGAGCTGAATTCCTGGAATTCAGTTGCAAAGAGGGAGGAGTGATGAGCAAAGGGGTCAAGACCAGGCTGGGGGAACCCACAGAAAGAGCTGACCTGAACAAGGGGGAGCTCATGGACCCCAGACCAATAGCTGAGAAACCAGTATAGGACTGATTCAAACCCCCTGAATGTGGGTGTCAGTTAGGAGGCCTGAGCAATCTATGGGGCCACTGGTAGTGGATCAGTATTTATCCCTAGTATACTAGTATACAAATGGACTTTGGGAGCCCATTCCACATAGAGGAATACTCTCTCAGCCCAGACACACAGGGAGGGCCTAGGCCCTACTCCAAATGATGAGAGACTTTGAAGACCCCCCCCCAACATGGAAAGCATCATCCTCCCTGAGGAGCAGAAAGGGGATGGGATATGGGGTCGGTGAGGGGCAGGGGAGGAAGGGAGAGGGAACTGGGATTGACATGTAAAACAAGCTTGTTTACAATTTAAATTTTAAAAAAAGAGAAAAAAAGTCACAATAAAGAAAAAAAAAGAGGTCATGGTCAGGGCTATGCTCAAAGATAGTGTTAGCTCACATATGTCAATGTGTCAGCACTAATAGGCACAGAAAAACTGTAACACAGTCTCCTTCAGAAGATAAGTTACTTTCTTTACAGCAGACCATCTCTCCAGCCAAAAGATACTTTGTTTTGAAGGTATCACCTCTGTAGCCCAGATCTACCTCAAATATGCAATCCTCCTGACTCTGCCACCTGACAAAAAAAAGGCATTTTCAAATTTTGCTGATGGAATTCCATACTGACATAATCATTCTAGAAAAGAATTTGGTAAGACTTGATAAAAACCACAAAAGTACTCATTTTTCAATCTGACAACCTTACTTGAAGCAATTTGAACAGAAGACGCTGCTATGATAATAATGACAAGGCTACTTACTTGTTGCAATATTGTTTATAATAGCAAATAGTCAACCAATGCCTTCAGCAAGAGCATGGTTGAAAAAAACTAGTCTATCTACATGATGAATGAAGCTTCATCAGGGCAAGCATTCTTTAGGAACCAGTATGCAATGATTTACAGCATCCATTCTTAGATGAAGAAGGCAAAGTTCAGATGAGTTCAAAGGTGGGAGGTAGAAGAATGAAGAGGGAAGGGCTAGTCCTCTGTATGTTTTTCCTGCTGGTCTGGCTTCAGGACATATTTAAAGATGCACATCTTAAATGAACCTAGCTTGCTTGCTTTTCCTCTCTGCAGTACTGCAGATTAAACTAGGGCCTCATAAATGCCCAGCAAGTGTTCCCCCAATGAGCTGTATCTCTTAGCCCCTTTACTTCAAATGTCTAATACAACCACACCACAAAAGGAGAAAACTGACAACTTTAGACAACAATATTCTGACTACATGCTCAAGAGCTAAAGACAGAGTGTATACAGATACTGCATAATGCATAGCAAATCTGCTTTTCCATAGAAGTAAGAGTCAACTCTGATATTATCAGTATTCTAAAGTTGAGCAAATAAGTAAAACATGCTGTGGATAATTAAAGCTAGACTTTCCATCACTAGAGAAACAATGAATCATGAAATGAGACAAAACTGGAGGTAGAACTCAGTGTCTGAAGCAGGGCGTTGGTGGCGCACGCCTTTAATCCCAGCACTTGGGAAGTAGAGGCAGGCGGATCTCTGTGAGTTCGAGACCAGCCTGGACTACCAAGTGAGTTCCAGGACAGCCTCCAAAGCCACAGAGGAACCCTGTCTCGAAAAACCAAAAAAGAACTCAGTGTCTGATATAGACATAGATATGGATGTGTATATACACAGACAATATATTTCTTGACTGTCAATGTAGAACACAATTCAGTAAACAATGAGCATCCTAACCACCAGATCCTGGTTTCTAAATATACTCCTCTACTCAAAGAAACGGCAGCATGGTGACTCAAGCTTGAAATCCCAGCACTCTGGAAGTTGAGACAGGAGCATAAGGAAACCAACATCATCACTAGTTATATAGCCTATTGGAAGGCCAGCCTGAACTACAGGAGACCCTATTAAAAAAAAATCAGAACTGAGCAGAGAAAGAAAAATATGAATCTGAAATGTCACTGTAGTGCCAGAACATACACAGGGGCTCAAAAAATAATGCCATGTCAAAAAGATATACCAACACAGTCTCATGATGCCCAAAAATGCACCTAGCAACCAAATCATGATAGTTAGAACCCAAGAATATAATAAATACCCTGTGTAAAAGAGAAATAGAGAGAGACAGGGTTTCACTATGAAGCTTTGGCTGGTCTGAAAGTTGCTGTATAGATCATGCTAAACCTTGAACTTATAGAGATTGCTTGCTTCTGCCTCTGGAGTGCTGGAATTAAAGGCATGCATTACTATGCTCTGTATAATTTTAAAGTGAAACAAAAAAGGTACAAGGGACATCTTCCTCATACATAATTTCCAATAAAAAAAAATACAGAATGAGCTGGGCATGGTGGCACATACCTTTAATCCCAGCAAGGGGTAGGGGGTATAGAAGCAGGGGATCTCTGTGAGTTCGAGGCCAGCCTGGTCTACAAAGTGAGTTCCAGGACAGCTAAAACTGTTACACAGAGAAACCTTGTCTCAAAAAACAAAACACAAAAACAGAATGAATGAAAGAAATGGAAAAAATAAGATCTGCAATCTCTCTAAGAAGTAATTGACTCAGCCAGGTGTAGCTACACTCCTATAACCCTATAACTCAAGAAGCTAAGGCAGACAGATCTCAAGATCAGCTAAGCAGTCAGACTCTGTGGCAGAGGGGGGAGGGAAAGAGAGGAGGGGGAGAGGGTGGAGAGACAGAGAGGAGAGAGAGAAAGAGAGGGGGAGGGAGAGAGAGAGAGAGAGAGAGAGAGAGAGAGAGAGGAAGGGAGGGAGGGAGGGAGGGAGGGAAGGAGGGAGGGGGGAGGGGGGGAGGGAGGGAGGAGGAGAAAAGGTGAAGTGGTAGAGACTAGGAGATGCCTCAGTAGGAAAAATGCTTGCAACACAAACATGAAGACCTGATTTTGGGTCCCCAGGACCCACATAAAAGCTGAACACAACAAAACATTACTATAATCCCAGACCTGGATAGTAACAGAAGACAGATCCTAGGGTTTGATGGTCAAACAGTCAGCCAAATGGGTGAGTTCCACGTTTAATGAGAGATCCTGTCTCAATAAATAAGAGTTGTAGAAGCAATTCAGGAACCACCCACACACAGCCTAGAGCACCCCACCCCCATGTGACTAGAAACTAGAAAACTATGGAGAAATGTTTTCCAAGTTCTGTGGGAAAATTGTTTAACAAGAGATTTTGGGCCCACCTAAGAACTAAAGACTGAAAACAGAAAAAGGTTTTCAGACTGGTGACGTACCAAAGTATGCATCACCCATATGCCTTTCTCAAAGGGCTACAAGAAGTACCATGATAAAATAAGGGAGCAAGTCAAGAAGACATGGGAACTAGGGGCTGGAGAACCAGGCTCAGTGCTTGCTTAGCATGTGCAATGCCTTGGGTTCACTCTAATAATAATAATAACATAAATTAAAGTGAGGGAGAAAGACAAAAAAAAAAACAAAAGAAAGGCAAGGGACTGGCTACCATGGAAACCAACGTGGGAAAGCAGGTAGATGGCTCAGGGCTTAAGAGCACTTGTTCTATTCCTAGCACCCACACGGTGCCTCCCAACCATTCATTACACCAGTTCCAGGAAATCCAACACCCTCATAGGCAACAAACAAACATATGGTGCACATACATGCAGGAAAATATGCATGTACATTTTTAATATAAAAGATGGTGGGGGCAGAAGTGAGAGCAGGAGAGAAAAGATGTGCAAACTGGACTTGTAATCCCAACATTGGGAGGCTGAGACAGGGACCACTGCAAGTTCAAGGCCAGCATAATCTACACAGCAAACTGCCTCCCAACCTGAGCATACATGAAATGTTTTAGGAGCAGAGTATCAGGAATCTGAGATATATGTGCAAAGGACTCCTAAATGAAGTCAAGCATCTCCCACGCCTTTTCTAAAGGTCTAGCACACAAATGAAATGCTGTCTCACAATGAGAGAAACTGGTGAGTTATCCTTCTTATACCAGTGTTTTAGAGATAAGCACAAGGCATTTGAGTGACTAGGTTTCTTGGATGCTGCACACTCAAAGCACAGATTGCAGTTAAGTTCCAACCACACAAGATCCTGGTATTTCTCTTGGCACCCTTCTCAATACTAAGCTTAATCTGGACAAAAGACAAAAGCATAATTAGAACATGTACCATGTGTCCTGAATATTCTTTTGTCGTTGTTGTTTTGTTTTGAGACAGGGTTTCTCTGTATTGCTTTGGAGCCTGGCATGGAACTCACTCTGTAAACCAGGCTGGCTTCGAATTCACAGAGATCCGCCTGCCCCTGCCTCCAGAGTGCTGGGATTAAAGGCGTGTGCCACCGACGCCCGATCTGAATATTCTTAAATGGCCTTTTAACCAGAACCTCGAAAATTTTCATTCAATTAATCCAAGTAATTTGTATAGGTGTAAGAACATGCCTACATTCAGGGGGGTGAATTAAAAAAACAATACCAAATGGCAGGCTAGAGCTTCAATTCAGCTTCTCCGGACTCTTAAGTACAAACTTTCATGACCTTCCTGCATCCCACTTCCCCCAACAGAATGGTCCTGCAGTGGATCGGGGTTAATACTGTCCAGCACAGATAAAATAAAAAAGTTGCCTCCCACCAACCTAAAGCCCAAGAATACCAAGCTTAAGCATGGTGGGAAGGAACCAAAGCAAGGAGCAAGCAAAGCTGTCCGATCAACTCAAAGCCCTGGACTTCGATTCGGCAAGAGCTGAGAGCCAGCCTGACAGCTAAGCTTCAGCGAAGCTTCCCGTGGCTTCCGGAGGAGCGGCCCGAGAAGCGGGTTCTCTCTCTTTCTGTCTGTCTGCCTGTCTGTCTGTCTCTCAAGGCTCGTGCTGCAAGGTAGAAAGGAGGGCCGCGGTCCCCGGAGACCAGCGCCCACTAGGCGGCCTGCAGCGCGGCCGTGGGGAAGCGTGCGGGCCTCGGGCGGCGCTGAGCTGGCGTGGGGAAGGGCTGGTCAGCAGCGCTGCGGACGCCGGGACGGCCCCGCTCCCACTTACCTACGATCTTTGCTCCCGGCACCTAACGCGCCGGCTGGACGAACGCGGCAGCGGCCGGGACCGCTAACTCGCCCACGCCCACACCCACACCCGGAGAAGCCCGGCCAGCGACCGGGACTCCGGCCTGCTCGCGGCCGGCGGGGCTGCCGAGCTTCCTCCCAGCCGCTGAGCGAAACCGGCGCCTGCTTTTCGCGTCACCTCCTCCTCCTTCCTTGCCCTTCCGCCAGAAGCTCCGCCCACGCCTAGTGCGAAGGGCGTGGCTAGAGGCGCCTGCTTCTAGAGGCCAGGTGTGCTCGTGCTCCTGAAGGCCTGTGTCTGCTACGGAGGATTTGGAGGAACTGCAGTCTACAGTTGGCCCAGGCGCCACAAGGCAGGTTTCCGACTTCCGCTCATCAGCTCCCTTTAGGCTTTTGCCGTCAGAAAGGCTAAAACAAGCCGGGCAGTGGTGGCGCACACCTTTAATCTCAGCACTTGGGGAGGTAGAGGCAGGGGAAACTCAGTGAGTTCCAGGGCAGCCTGGTCTAAAAAGCGAGTTCCAGGACAGCTAGGGCTGTTACATAGAGAAGCCCTGTCTCGAAAAACCAAAAAAGGGGACTGGAGAGATAACTCAGAGGTTAAGAGCACTGGCTGCTCTTCCAGAGGTCCTGAGTTCAATTCCCAGCACCCACATGGTGGTTCACAGCATCTGTAATGAGACCTGGTGCCCCCTTCTGACTTGCAAGCATATGTGCAGGCAGAACACTGGAAGTTGTTCTCTACAGCCGAGGAACGATCCACTGAGCCCCCCACTACTGCTCTGGACTGGCCCGGGCGTCCCCATTCTATTTTCCCTCGTTTATTTTTACCCCTTACTAATGTAACCGACTTCTTTTAACGTTTCCCAGGAGGAAAGGACCTCCAGTTCTGTGGTAATTGGCCTACCAGAACTCAGGAAGTTCACAATAGAATTTCTCTTTCTGGTACGGTGCTTCAGCATTCACCCAAAGGACTGTTTCCTTTTTTTTTTTTTTTTTTTTTTTTTTGGTTTTTCGAGACAGGGTTTCTCTGTATTGTTTTGGAGGCTGTCCTGGAACTAGCTCTGTAGACCAGGCTGGCCTCGAACTCACAGAGATCCGCCTGCCTCTGCCTCCCGAGTGCTGGCATTAAAGGCGTGCGCCACCAACGCCCGGCAGGACTGTTTCCTTAAAGATAGAGTTTCACTATGCAGCACTGACCAGCCTGGATCCTCCTGCCTCGGCCTCCTAAGTGCTGGGATTGATTACAGGTGTGCACCACCCCATGCAACTCAATAAAATTGTTGTGGAAATCCTTCTAGAATAAGCACTCCAATACCAATGAGAGAGGAAGAGATGGAGGTTTCCCAGTAAACCTAAGCCAGCACTGCTCTGGAAAGGCTTCGACCCCAGGTCCATCCAGTTTGTATACTCACTTTATACTCCAGAACACAAGGTGGAGCAGTCAGACAGGCAAGGCACGTGAGAGTACATAGCAGTCAGCAGGTTGTTAGGAGCAACAGCCCATTGTGTTCATTAGCAAGTGAAGTCATGCTTGGCAAATAAGCAGTACAAACAGTAAATCACTAAATCAATCAACAAGTCAGTACCTAATAATTGGCCTTTTTACCTTATTCTACTTCAAAACTACTTTTCATTTTTAAGTCGAGCATGGTAGCACATAACTGTAATCTCATAGTCAGAGGGTGGGTGAGGTAGGAGGATTGCCATGAATTTGAGGGCCAGCCTGGTCTACCCAGTGAGACTGGGATGATTAAATTCAATTGTGAACTTGATGGGATTATTAAACATCTAGGAAGGAGTGGTGCTATGTGCCTATAGCACTCAAGAGGAGACAGATGGATCTCTGGCTCCTGGACAGTCTACAGAGTGAGGTCCAGGCCAGCCTGGAAATATTTTTGAAAGAATCAGAAAATTTCCCAGAGTTAAGAAACAAGATGCTTAGCCAGGCGTTGGTGGCGCACGCCTTTAATGCCAGCACTCGGGAGGCAGAGGCAGGTGGATCTCTGTGAGTTCGAGGCCAGCCTGGTCTACAGAGCGAGTTCCAGGACAGTCTCCAAAGCTACAGAGAAACCCTGTCTCGAAAAACCAAAAAAAAAAAAAAAAAAAAAAAAAGCCCATGTATGTTTTTTGTGTTCTGTTTTCAGTTACCTGGTAGGAGATGAGTTGTTTGTGGTGATGGAGTACCTTGCTGGAGGATCACTCACTGATGTGGTAACGGAAACCTGCATGGACCAAGCACAGATTGGTTTCTTTTTCTTGTTTTTGTTTTGTTTTGTTTTGTTTTCAAGACAGGGTTTCTCTGTATTGTTTTGGAGGCTGTCCTAGAACTCGCACTGTAGACCAGGCTGGCCTCGACTCACAGAGATCCACCTGCCTCTGCCTCCCGAGTGCTGGCATTAAAGGGGTGCGCCACCAATGCCCAGCCCCAGCCAAGACAGGGTTTCTTATGTAGTCCTAGCTGGCCTTGATCTTACTCACAGAGATCTGCCTGCTCCAAAAGTGTGTGCCACCACTACCCAGCTTAAAAAAAAAATCTTTAAAGAGTCTTAAGGACTAAGACTAGACCAGCCCTGTGATACTGAACATGATTGGATATGCAGGCTATTGCTTAGATTTGCAGGCCACTGTTTGGATATATAGATATTACTTGAGGTGTCTCTCCGTAGAACTAAGGAAACTAAGACTGGGTTATGAGAAGATTGCAAAAACAGGATGAAGGATTTAGAGGGGTCTAAAATCTTTACTGCTGTAGCAGTTGGAAGAGCCCCTTTGACCTTGGGAACTGAGGATTAGGCTAGAAGGGTCCAGAGGTTCTGTGAGGACCACGAGTAGCTTAGTAATGAGGTTTGGCTAAGACTTCCAGGTTAGGAATCCAGCTCCAAAGCCTGGGATGGAGACAAGGTACTGTTCAGATTGGTTGGTTTGGGGAGAGTAGATAGATCCTGGGTTACAGCTTCGCAGCATTGAGATATGCCATGGGAAGAGGGGGAGGAGACCAAGGTTCGCTGTGTAGGAGATGCTATCAGGACCTTAGGAGGAACACCAAGTATCCCCGGTCAGCCAGAGAACACAGGATATTGGAGGTGAGTTGTAGAAGCAGTTCAAAGAAGAGGTGCTCTGCACATTGGAGGAGAGTGCTGGGCACAGGGTTGAGGTTTTCCAGGTCGCCAGCAAGAGCCTGGTTAAAGAAAAGAGGGCTCCAGGGAAACCCCTGGGGAAGGACTGTCCAAGACATCTGGATGTCAGGCTCTGGCTAAATAAATGTGAAAAGGTCATGACCCAGAACTGAAGTGAGAGGTTAAAGGAGGAAGGAGGGATGAGGAGGTGGAAGATTGGCAGGCCACTGGGCCAATAGGAATTGCAAAGTTTGGTCAAGCAGGTATAAGTCTCCAGCTAAGTGGGGGAAGCTGTCTGGCTTCCAGATGACCAAATGGGAGTGTTGTGTGGAGAGTTCGTAGGCCATGGGATGTAGACTTGAGGAGTCTGATAATTATAGGTTCAAATTCAGAGTCCATACAGAGTGAGAGGATAGTGGACTTGAAGAAATGCAGAGGGACCCTGCCTTTGATTAGTGTAAAGGTATGGTGGCTAGAGACTGGGGGAGGGGAGGTGTCCCAGACCCACGGATAAATGGAGGGTAAGAGAGCTATGCGAGGGTCCTGCGAGGAGAAAGGCTGAACAGCAGAGGAGAAGGGAAGTCGTGTCGTGGAGTTTGATGACTAAAAGATGATAGAGGCTTGGGACTTTTCCAGAATGTTCCATCCCAGGAGAGGGCCAGACAATTGGGAATGATGAAGAAGACTGCACAGTAACGGACCAGTCTGTTTCATCTGGGACGAGGGACCCTCTATTGAGAACTGCTTCTCTCAGGCAAGTCTGTGGGCCTTTTCTTGATTCTTAATAATTTGTGCAAAAGTCCCAGTCCAAGGTGGACAGTGCTTATCCCTGGGCAAGTGCACATGGCTTGTTTAAAAAAAAAAAAAAAAGGAAGAAGAGAAGCAGCGCTTAGCTGCATGGAGGTGGCACACACCTTTAATCCCAGCACTCAGGAAATCAGAGACGAGAGGATCTCTGTGAGTTTGGGGGGGGGCAAGCCCGTGAGCTACTGACAACACTGTCGTGAGCAGCGGCCTCCAAAGCCCGTGAGCTACTAACAACACTGTAGTGAGCAGCCCCCTCCGTGGCCTCCGCTTCAGCTCCTGCTCCAGGCTCCTGCCTGACTTCCCTCAGTGACGGATTGGAAGCTGTGAGATGAAGTAAACCCTTTCCTCCCCCAAGTTGCTTTTGATCACTATGTTTATCAATGAAGCAGAAAGCTAACTAGGGCAGAGGGGTTGACTTGGAGGCTGGTGGGGATTTTCATGGAGAAACTGAAAGACCTGTATTACCAGACAAGAGGTGGGATAGAGACAAACAAAGGTTGGAAAATCAGCAGCCTCAGCCGTTTTCCACTGTAGAACATTTTCATTCACCTCCTCTGACCAGCAGTGGCCATTGTCAAGAATGTACTGTGACCAGGAAGTGTTAAAGTAGAACTTGAGATATTTTGACACAATAGAGCCTATGAGGCCCAGGGTGGAGAATTCTGTGAAGAGACACACCAAAGGACGGTGCCTAAGCATACCATCGGGACTTTTGTCTGTGGCTATGAAGAGAGTTAGAAAGGAAATGTTTCCTGGCAGGAGGTGGGCCCAAGAGGAGGACATTCTCACAAGTTAGACACTCTGCTCTCTGAGATGCCCACGGAGAGGAAGAGGGCCGTGTCCACTGGTCTCCATGAGGAGCATCTTGGTGAGGAAGTTCTGTCTGGCACCAAGTGAAGGGTTTAAACTTTCCCACTTTTTTTTTTTTTTTGATTTTTCGAGACAGGGTTTCTCTGTAGCTTTGGAGGCTGTCCTGGAACTCACTTTGTAGACCAGGCTGGCCTCGAACTCACAGAGATCCGCCTGCCTCTGCCTCCCGAGTGCTGGGATTAAAGGTGTGCGCCACCAATGCCCGGCAAACTTTCCCACTTTTACAACTGAATTTAGGTTTCAGTTCTCCGAGAGGGACAAACAGGTGTCTCTTTGAACAAAGGGCCATTTATCAACAAATTACATTCAGGGATGAGGGAGTAAACAGAAACAAGGTCTGAATCAGCCCCACAATGTCTCAAGGACAGTTCTTGCAACCCCCTTAAAAACGTATCCAAGTATGTCCAAAGATAAAACCTCAGCCAATAAAAGTATACTAATGTAACTGCTGCTTGCTTAACCAGTCATGTTTGGGATGACCTAATCGCTCCTGAAATTCCCTTAGCTGCCCTTAAAAGGAGCCTGCACGCTCTCAGGGTCATCCCCATCTTGTACAGGCGAACAGCCCCACATGTATGCCAGAATATTAATAAACATACTATTTGAGTCTGGAATCTTCCTTCAGCATTTCTCAGACCCTGCCCAAGGATTCTGAGAAGTCTACCTGGTGGATGATGGGAATGTAAGTTCTCAGAGAAGAGAGAAATCTCAAAACTGGCCCAGTGTCGAATCAGCCAGAGGTGGAAGCCTGACTACAATGGTGACAGCCAGTGCTGGGGCTGCCTGAGGAGCAGGGCATGTGAGGAGCCAGGATAGGGTGGGAGGGAGGGAGTGGAGAACAGGAGGTCCCACATCCTGGTGCCTCATGTGAGCCACCACAAGCAATGTGAAGGGAAAGAACGACAGATGAGAGACAGCCCCAAGGGCAGCAGCGTCTTGACTCAGGAAAAAGACCCACACACTGGGCCTCTGGTGTGTCACAGGGCAGAGAAGCAGAAGTGGGAAGAGGACTAAGATTTTCTTCTTTTGGCCCATGATTGGTCGTTGCTAGGGGTATCTAGGGAAACAAGATGAGCAGCAGGTTAAAGAATGTCAAGTGATAGACAAACATCTCTGGGAAGCCATTACCGGGGGAAGAATCTAGACAAACGAGTTACTTTAGTTTTGGGAACTGTCATTGTTTAACCAAAAAGGAGACACTTTACAAAATGGCATTGTCATGGTTAACACACACACACACACAGACACACAGACACACACACACACACACACAGATTAAATTTTCTTTGTTAATGATTTGTCAGCCATTTTGTCATGGGGGTAGGGGGTAGGGGGTAGAGCTGGGGGGATCAGGGTCCTGAAACAGACATTTACAAGCATTTGCCAAACAGCATCGGTTACTCACTTGTGCCAAAAACTTAACTAAAAGTTGGAGTAAAGCTTGCCATCTTCTGCCTTCATTTTGATCTGTACTCTGCTGTGCTCTGGTGGGAGGCACAGTGACAAGTTTCTTCTTGAATTTTTAAAAAATAATTTATTTAACCTTATTTTATGTGCATTGGGGTGAAGGTATCACATCCCCTGGAACTAGAGTTACAGTTGCGAGCTACCATGTAGGTGCTGGGAATTGAACTGAGGTCTTCTGGAAGAAGATTCAGTGCTCTTAACTGCTGAGCCATCTCTCCAGCCCTCTTCTTGAATCTTAATTCTGTGAGGATAAAGCCTTACAGAACAGGGCTCTCTGCCATCCCCAGATGAAGACAGTGGTTCTCAACCCTCCCAAGGTTTTAACCCTTTAATACAGTTTCTCATGTTGTAGTGACCATGAGTCTCTTGGTTCGTGGAGCCTGTAATTTAAACAAAGGAACACCCACCTCCCCAAAGGGTTCATGACTCACAGCTTGAGAACCACTGATCTATGGAGTTAGCACCACCCCCTCTCCAATTGACAATTTAATGATGTATCAGAACCGGAGCTAACAGCAACTCTGGGATGGGGTGGACACCATCTTAACCCGGACTGTTTAATTATGCATACCACTTGCTTTCTATTTAAACCTAGCCCTCATGTCAGAACCTGGAATATGGACGCTGGACTCTTAAACACAGATGTGGGGTCACTGGGCCCCATTCACTCCTCATCGTGACCACATTGAGTAAGTGTCCTCTCTGCTTCTCACCACAAGTCTCTGTAGTTGCTGTCCACCAGACAGGAGGCAGAGCCTAGCTTCAAGGGGCTGCTCAGGCAAAATTTTGCCCTAAAAAACTCCAGGCTAAGTCTCTTACAAGACTTTTGTAGACTAAAGATAGCCAGAAGGAAACTCAGGAAGGACAATTTTATTGGAGTTTAAGGAAGAAAACAGCCTTTTGGGTGATGGTGGCACAGGTCTTTAATCCTAGCACTTGGGAGGCGGAAGCAGGCAGATCCCTGAGTTTGAGGCCAGCCTGGTCTACAGAGCGAGTTCGAGGACAGCCAGGGCTACACAAAGAAGCCCTGTTTCAAAAAAGAAAAGAACAAAGAAAACAACCAAGCATTATGATGCACACCTATAATCCCACCCTTGGGAGCCAGATGGAAGCAGCAAGATGTGGAGTTTAAGGCTAGCCTAGGCTACATAAGACCCTCTGAAAAGAGAGAGAGAGAAGGAGAGAACAAGAGCAACAGTAAAGAATGAGTTCATGAGTTTTACTGGGGTTCTTACAGGAGTGAGGGTGAGGGATCACTTACAGGAGTTGAAATGACCCAAAGACAGCTGCATCACCAAAGCCCACCCAGAAGGAATGGTAGCTCACAAGAGTGGGAACCTGAGGCGGCTCTCAACAGTCCTCCATACTTACATAAGCTCAGGGAGCATGGGGGCTAACTTGAGTTAGACTTGGGTAGTAGCCTTACTTCGGTCTGTCCATGGTTATCTATCTGCAGGGAGTGTATGTTTCTTCACATCTCTCTAGAAGTACAGTCACACAACACATGTGTGCACATACACACACTGTTCATAGTTATCTATCTGCAGGGAGAACATTTGTTCACATCTCCCTGGAAATACTATCACACAACGCACGCATTTGCGTGAGCGCGTGCGCCACACACACACACACACACACACACACACACACACACACACACTGTCCTGATTAGCGTTATAAGTTGACACAGATTAGTGCCATTGAAAAGAAGCCTCAATTGAGGAATTACCTCGATCAGATTCACCTGTAGGGATGTCTTTGGGGACTCTCTGTGGCACCATCCCTTAGCTAGTGGTCCTGGGCTGCATAACAGCACTAGCAGAGCATGAGTGAGCCAGAAAGCAAGGTTACTGAATAGTTTCTATTGTACTTCCCTGGATGTGAGTTCCTTGGTCAGAGGTAATGCTGAATAGAACTGTGATCGATCCTGCCTTCAGCCGCTTTGAGTTCCTGCCTTAACCTCCTTCAGTGACAGACTGTGACCTGGTGCAACAGGAAGTAAACCCTCTTCCTTCCATAAGCCACTTTTGGTTAGTGTTTTATCACAGCAACAGAAAGAACTAGAACACACACGTACACAAATACATGTAATTTTTTTTTTGCTTGTTTGTGATACAAGGTTTCAGTGTGTAGCTATAGTTGTCCTGGAACTCACTATGTAGCCCAGGCTGGCTTTGAACTCAGAGATCGACCTGCCTCTGTTTTGGTTGGAGGGCTGGGATTAAAAGCATGTGTCACTATGCCTGACAATACATGTAATTTTTAAATTGTTGTTTTGAGACAGGGTTTCTCTGTGTAGCCCCGGCTGTCTGGAAACTCACTCTGTAGACCAGACTGGCCTCAAACTCACAGAGATCCTCCTGCCTCTGCCTCCCAAGTGCTGGGATTTCCTGCTTTGATGAGAAGTTTGCTAGACACTCTAGGCCTATGGGCTGAAGATGGATGTCCCAACATTAAAAGAAGAACTTTGGGTGATTGTCCAGACAGTGAGATGTCTCTGTTAATTCTAGAGTTTATATGTTATCCTTCTGAGGTCTTTGATGGAGTTGAAGACAGATAGTTATGGTTTTCCTTAATTATGATAAAAGATAAGTTATACATACAACTTTAGGCTAAGCTGGGCAGTATTGGTGTGAGCCTTTAATCCCAGCACTCGGGAGGCAGAGGCAGGCAGATCTCTGTGAGTTTGAGGCCAGCCTGGTCTACAGAACAAGTTTCAGGACAGCCTCCACAGTTACAGAGAAACCCTGTCTCAAAATGCCTCCACCCAAAAAACAAAAAAACTTTAGATCACAAAGATAGGATGATAGAATATTTTCATTAATTTTTGCCAAATGTTAATGGACTAAATATTGTTATAGTTCTTACTTGATAACTGTTTTGTTATATATATTTTATTATGTTAAAGTTTAAATCTTTCCTTTTATTTAGACAGAAAAGAGGTGATCATGGGGGAATGTCCTTCTGTAAATATGTTTCTCTTATTGGTTGATGAATAAAAAACACTGATTGGCCAGTAGCCGAGGTATAGGTGGGGCTACCAGACAAGGAGAATGCTAGGGAGAGGATGCAGAGAGAGAAAGGCCTCAGGAGAGACGCCATGTAGATGTTGGGAGGATAGGATGCCGGACACTCTCTGATAAGATAAAACCATGTAGGAAAGATAGATTAGTAGTTATGGGTTAATAATTAAGAAAGAGCTAGTTAGTAAGGAGCCTGAGCCATTGGCCAAAACAGTTTACAATTAATATAGGTCTTTGTGTGTTTATTTGGGGCTAATCAGCTGTGGGACCAGGCAGAACAGAAACTCCGTTCACATGAGTGACCTTGGAAATCTGGCCCTCCAGCCTCCATTTTCTTTTTCCTCCTTTCTCTTTCTTTCTTTCTTTCTTTCTTTCTTTCTTTCTTTCTTTCTTTCTTTCTTTCTTCCTTCCTTTCTTTTTCTCTCTCTCTCTCTCTTTCTTTCTTTCTTTTTCCGAGACAGGGTATCTCTGTATTGTTTTGGAGGCTGTCCTGGAACTCGCTTTGTAGACCAGGCTGGTCTCGAACTCACAGAGATCCACCTGCCTCTGCCTCCTGAGTGCTGGCATTAAAGGTGTGTGCCACCAATGCCCAGCCCTGCCTCCGTTTTCTAAGTGGTAGGATTGTAGGTATGAGCCACTACCTCATCACATTTAGGAGGTACTGGAATCAAACTCAAGATTTCATGCATGCTAGGAATTCTCACCAGCTGAACTGCATCCTTTTTCTTTCCTTTCTGTTTTAAAATTTTTATTATTTTTAGCTTTTTAACATTTATTTATTTCTGTGGGCAGGTGGGTGTGTATGCAGTGTGGTACATGTGTGTGGAGGTCAGAGGACACTTTGCAAGAATTGGTTCTCTCCTGGCCCTGCCCCTTGCTGCTGATTACTGCATAGGGCAAGCTAGCCTGGGTGGCGCTGGAGAGCTCACCCTGGTGTTGAGGATGGGGAAGAGGTGGGCTGACCAACATAGCAACCACTCTGGCCCAGAACTAGGGCTATGAGTTGGCCCATCCCAACATCCACCCCATCTATGATCTGCTGGAGCACATGAAGGGGCCAGTTCTTCAGACCATAACTATAAGATCTCCATGGCACCAGACAACAGCATATCCAAGAGGAGTCCCAGTGCGGGCCCAGTTCTGATAGTGTAGGAAGGAACAGAGGCCTCAATTAGATTTCATTTTCTTCTAATTTTATTTTGTTTTATCTTGGTGGGTGGTTGCAAGGGCAGAGGGCAGATGGGAAGGGTCAGGGAGATGAGTGGGATCCAGATGCATGATGTGCAATCCACAAAAAAGTTGGATTAGAATGAAGCATTTACACTGCTTAAGAAAAAGGAAATTGTTTCTCTTCTTCTACCATGTAGGTCCCAAGTGCCTTCCCTGCTGGGACGTATGCCCTTATACTCTTTTTGGAGACAGGCTTTCATGTGGTCCAAGCTCATCTCAAACTCTTGGTGTAGCTGAACTTGGCCTCAAATCCTGATTCTCCGCTCTCTGTCATGAGTGCTGAGAAAACAGGTGTATCACTGCATCCAGGTTACTACTTGAATTTATTATAATCTGACAGCAAGGCTGTTTAATTCACAGAACCTTTTAGAGAAAGAATCCAAGCATGCCTGCCTTGGTGGCACAGGCCTGTGATTCTAGGCCAGGCAGCAAGATCACACGTCCAAGGGCTGTCTATGCTACAGTGAATCGTAGGCCAGCTTGGAACATACCAGGACTGTCTCAAAATAAAAAGTAAAGAAAAAAGGGCCGGGTGTTGGTGGCGCACGCCTTTAATCCCAGCACTTGGGAGGCAGAGGCAGGCGGATCTCTGTGAGTTCGAGGCCAGCCTGGTCTACAAGAGCCAGTTTCAGGACAGCCTCCAAAGCCACAGAGAAACCCTGTCTCGAAAAACCAAAAAAAAAAAAAAGAAAAAAGAAAAAAAGTAAAGAAAAAGTGAATAAAAAAAAACCAAAAACCAACCAACCAACCAAACAAACAAACAAAAAGCCAGGTGTTGGTGGCACTCACCTTAATCCCAGCACTGGGGAGGCAGAGGCAGGTGGAGCTCTGTGAGTTCAAAGCCAGCCTGATATACTGGAGTTCCAGGACAGGCTCCAAAGCAATAGTGAAACCCTTTCTCGAAAACAAACAAACAAACCCCAACCCCCCCCCAAAAAAAAACAAAACAAAAAGTAAAGATGCTGAGACTATAGCTTAGGGGTAGAGTACTTGCCTAGCATGTGTGAGTCCCTAGGCTCACCACACAGGAATGGGAACCTAAGCATGAACAAACTGAGTGCAAACCGTAGCTTACTTTCCTCTTCCTGCATCGTCTGCAGTCTCAAAAGTGGCTGTGAGGGCCAGTGATATGGCACAGTATTCAAGAGTTTGTTGCTAAGCCTGAAGACCCCAGTTCAATCCCCGGAATTCATAGTATGCTCCAAGTTCCCAGCTTTGTGATCAATCACTCGTGCTGGCTGAGCTTTGGTGTTGCAGCTGCCTTTGAGTAATTTATGTTCTTGTAAGTAACCCTCACCCATATTCCTGTAAATAACTCCAACAAAACTCATTGGTTCAGGGCTGGAGAGATGACTTAGCAGCTCTGAGCCACCAAGTGGGTGCTGAGACTTGAACCCAGGTCTTCTGGAAGAGCATCCAGTGCTCTTAGCTGCTGAGTCAATTCTCCAGCCTAAGTGTTACACATTTTGTTTTGTTAGTTATTTCTAGATGATTCATATTTTTGGTCTGTTACAGAATTTTTGAGACACAATCCTCCTGCTTCAGTCTCTTAAGTAAGGTGTATCTGCCTCCTGAGTGTATGACTACAGCTCTTTCTTCCACATACCCGGGATTGAGGCCAGGGCCTCAAACAAACTAGGCACAATTACTATATGCAGTGTTCTCTTCCCCCTCCCCCTTTCTAAGGCAGCGTCTCATTCTAAAACTGACGCTAACCTAGACTTGCTCTGTAGCCCAAGCTGTCATGGGGTTTGCTATCCTTCTGTCTCAGCATCCTAAGTAGCAGGGATTACGACCTGTACCACCATGCTACTTACAATTCTTTTTTTGTTGCTGTTTTGTTTTGTTTTACGAGACAGGGTTTCTCTGTATTGTTTTGGACCTCTGTGAGGTCCAGCCCGGCCTTGAACTCACATTGATCCTCCTGCCTCTGCCTCCCAAGTGCTGGGATTAAAGGTGTGCGCTACCACCAGCCAGCTGCTACTTACAAATTCTAACTGTAGTCTTTGTTGTTTATAGAGTCACTTCATCATGTAAATAATGTTGACTCCAGTTTTCTTTTTCTTTTCTTTTTTTTTTTTTTTTTTTTTTTTTGGTTTTTTGAGATAGGGTTTCTCTGTGGCTTTGGAGGCTGTCCTGAAACTCGCTTGGTAGTCCAGGCTGGTCTCGAACTCACAGAGATCCGCCTGCCTCTGCCTGCCAAGTTCTGGGATTAAAGGCGTGCGCCACCAACGCCCGGCTGACTCCAGTTTTCTTAAGTATGTATTTTAAGTTGTAACTGAGTTTGAATCTACTAGCATGAATTTTTTAAAATGTCAGTAACTTTGCACAACCCTGCTTCACTCAGGATATCCCATACTATCTAACAGATCACTAGAACTGGCTCATTAGGGATCTGCTGCTGGGAGCAGTTGCCTGCATGGCTTTGCTCATTACAGAATTTGGGGTGGGTTTTTTTTTTGTTGTTGTTGTTTTTTCTCCCTGTATTCTGAACTAGTTTGGTAGGACTGTAATGAATTTTCCTTTGGATATTTGTATAACTTGATAGTAAAACTGCTTGACCTTTTGCTCCAAATTTAATTCAAGGAATGAGAAAACAGTCAGGGGCTGGAGAGATGGCTCAGAAGTTAAGAGCACTGGCTGCTCTTCCAGAGGTTATAGTTCAGTTCCCAGCAAACACATGATGGCTCACAACCATCTGTAATGAGATCTGGTGCCCTCTTACAGCACACAGGCGTACATGCAGGCAGAACACTGCATACATAATAATTTTTTTTAAAAGAAGAAAACAGTGTCCCACAGCTTGAACAGAGCAGAGGCAAATAAAAAGGGGCTGTCCTTGTCACTCCACACAGCTGGTCAACATGCAGAGGTAGGTGAGGCTCCAAATGTGTTAACCTGGGTTGTCCTTTCCTCTTGCTTCAGGGTTAGTGGGTCTTTTCCGCACAGCTGACTCTTCTGTTGTATTGGTTACTTGTATTGTTTGGTCTCCACATTCTGATTCCTGCCCCAACTCCCTCTCCTTTCCTCTTCCTTCCTTCCCATCCCCACTGACTTTTTTTTTTTGACAGGGTTTCATTGTGTAGCTTTGGAGCCTGTCCTGGAACTATCTCTTCTAGACCAGGATGGTGTCAAACTCAAAGACATCCACTGGCCTTTGCCTTCCAAGTGCTGGGACTAAAGGTGTGTGCCACCACTGCCAGGCTCTCTTTAAAAATTTTTATTTATTTTAGCCGGGTAGTGGTGGCTGACACTCATGCCTTTAATCCCAGTGTTCCGGAGACACTCTGTAGGCCAAGCCTACACAGAGAAACCGGCTCCAAAGCTACACAGAGAAACCCTGTCTTGAAGAAAAAAAAAAGTCTTAATGTGTATGGGCTACATGCATGCCTGGTACCTGGAAAAGCCAGAGAGGGTGTCAGGTCCTGAGACTGGAGTTGTCGGCAGCTAGGAGCTGCCATGTGGGCGCTGTAAGAGCAGTCAGTGCTCTTGGTCACTGAGCCATCTCTCTGGCCCGGAGCTAGAACTCTTTTCTTCTTCCTCCTCCCCCTCCTTTTTCTTTAAGACAGGGTTTCTCTGTAGCCCTGGCTGTCCTGGAACTCAATCTGTAGACCAGGCTGGCCTCGAACTCACAGAGATCCGCCTGCGTCTGCCTCCCGAGTGCTGGGATTAAAGGCGTGCGCCACCACCGCCCGGCGACCCCAGAACTCTTGATCTGCCTTTTACTTCCCATATGCTATGCATATACGTATGTACCACCACGACCAACTAGGCAACCCTTATTCTTATCACCCACATGGTTTTGTTTGGGGTGTGAAGGTGATTTGTCTTTCTCTGGTCTCAATCTGTAGTCCAGGATGGCCTCAAATTTGTAGCAATCCACTATGCCTGTAAGTAGTTTTTGAAAAGGGTGCACTTTTGTTTTTAAATATAAGAGGAAGTGAAGTCATTGAAGAAATTGAGTCAGCAAGATATCTCAGTGTGTTGAAGAACTTGTCGACTAGAGGGCTTTGAGTTTAATTCCTACAGCCCATATGATGGAAGGAGAGAACAGACTCCCAGAAGTTATCCTGTGATCTCCACATGCGTGCTGTGGCACAGTCATGTTTATGCAAGCACACAAATGTAAAAGTGAACAAGGAGATTGGGAAAGACTGCAATGGGGGCTTATGCCTATCATTTCATCACTCAGGAGCCTGAAACAGGAGGGTTGCTGAGTTTGAGGCCAGTCTAGCTACACAGAGGCCAGGCATAACAGCAACGCCTTTAATCCCAGCACTCCAGAGCAGTGGATCTCTTTGAGTTTGCTTGGTCTAGTTCCAGGGTAGCTAGGACTACATAGAGAGGCCCTGTTTCAAAAACAAATGAACCCACTCCCTTTTTGGTATTTTTTTCTTTCTTGAGACAACCTTACTCTACTGGTAATGCCCTGCTGGACTGGAACTCATTGTGTAGACTAGGCTGGTTTTGGACTCAGCGCATCTGTCTACCTCTGCTTTCATGATTCTGGGATTAAAGGCCTGTGCTACCCCACAAAGCTGGTAATGCATTTTTTTTTTTTCCGGAGACAGGGTTTCTCTGTGTTGTTTTGGAGGCTGTCCTGGAACTCGCTCTGTAGACCAGGCTGGCCTCGAACTCACAGAGATCCGCCTGCCTCTGCCTCCTGAGTGCTGGGATTAAAGGCGTGTGCCACCAACTCCCGGCGGTAATTCATTTTTATTTATTTTATTTTATTTTTTTTGGTTTTTCGAGACAGGGTTTCCCTGTGGCTTTGGAGGCTGTCCTGGAACTCGCTTGGTAGACCAGGCTGGTCTCGAACTCACAGTGATCCGCCTGCCTCTGCCTCCCGAGTGCTGGGATTAAAGGCGTGCGCCACCAACGCCCGGCGGTAATTCATTTTTAAACTGAAGTTTTATTCAGAGAGAAAGGAGGGGAAACATGGATGCATGTGTCTGAGAGCAAGCAAGCGTATCCACTGGCGAGCAGTTCTTTCTGCTGTAGATTTAGGGAACTGAATCCAGGTCTTTGCCAGCCTGTTTTTGTTTTTTTTAGGTTTATTATGTATACAGTGTTCTGCCTACATGCTAGAAGAGGGCACCAGATCCCATTACAAATGGTTGTGAGCCGCCATGTGGGTGCTGGGAATTGAACTCAGGACCTCTGGAAGGGCAGCCAGTGCTCTTAACCTCTGAGCCTTCTCTCCAGCCCTGAATTCAGGTCTTTAGGCTAGCATGTGCCTTAGTTTGCTTTCTCCTGCTGTGATGAACACTATGGCTAAAGCAGCTTGGGGAAGAAGGGTCTATTTCACCTCACAGCTTACAGTCCATCATGACTGAAGTCAGGGGACAGAGGCCACGGATGGATGCTGATTACTGGCTCCCTCCCTGTGACTTTCTCAGTTTGCTTTATACAGCACAGGACCACCTGCCCAGGAGAGGCCTTGCCCCCAGTAGACTGGGCCTTCTCACACCAGTCGTTAATCAAGAAAAAGGCCCAGTCTTGCCCACACACTAATCTGATGGAGCATTTCTCAATTGCAGTTTCCTCTTCCCTGCTGACTCTAGCAACTTGACAAAAACAAATCATCACATGGCATTTTTTTTTTAGCCCACTGAGCACTATCTTGCTGGCAAAGCAATGCTTTTTTAAAAAGTTAAATATTTTATGTGTCTGTGTTGTTTGTTATGATTGTGCAGGTAGCTGTCTTCAGAGGCCAGAAGAGGACATCAGATCCCTGAAGCTGGAGTTAAAGGTGGCTGGCTGTGAGCTACAACAGGTGGATGCTTAGAACTGCTCTGGGTTCTCCGAAAAGCCATCTCCCCAGCTCCGGTAATACACTCACACTGTATCTCGGCACAAATCTAATTCCAACATCCGGAGGCAGGTGGCTCTTAAGTTGAGGCCAGCATAGTGAGCCCCTATCTCAAAAGCAAAACCAAATCTAAGTATGAAGACAAGTGTGCATGACATGCTTTCTGTTTGGATTTTTAGAAGGCAGCAAAGCAGGAGACGTCTTAACCTGCTGTGGACCATGACACAGTGACAGCAGGTGACATAACAGGCAGTGTTGGAGAACAGGTTAAGCAGCCCTAATCAGAATCCAAAATGGCCCAAATCCAAGTATTTTGAGCACTGACATGGCGCCACAAAACCTCACACTTGGATCTCATGTGACATGTCACAGACACAGCTGTACTAAAAATACATAAAAATCTCTTCAGGCTATGTGTGTAAGGTATATACGCCTGTCTACATATGAGTTTGGGGCCAGCAAGGGCTATGTAGATAATGTTTCAAAACCACAAAAAAGGAAATTATATGTATGCATGAATGTTTTCAAAGTAACCATCCTTACTTCACAGAGAAAACCTGTCTCAAAAAAACAAAGGGGAACCCCAAAATAACCATTCTTTTGTGTTACAAGTTTATATAAGTACTATTTTGATTTGCTGGACAAATTTTGTTTTCTAGAAATGCAACATTTTACTTATTTTTCTTCCTTTTTTTCAGAGACAGGGTTTCTCTGTGGCTTTGGAGGCTGTCCTGGAACTAGCTCTTGTAGACCAGGCTGGTCTTGAACTCACAGAGATCCGCCTGCCTCTGCCTCCCCAGTGCTGGGATTAAAGGCGTGCACCACCAATGCCCAGCCAACATTTTACTCTTCTAACCAAACTAAGACCCATACAGCAAGGAGCTACACAAGGGTTACTTAAAGATAAATACCTGCTATAAAAATTGCCAAGCCTGGGGGCTGGAGAGATGGCTCAGAGGTTAAGAGCACTGACTGCTCTTCCAGAGGTCCTGAGTTCAATTCCCAGTAGCCACATGTTGGTTCATAACCATCTGTAATGAGAGCAAGTGCCCTCTTCTGGTCTGCAGGCATACACACAGGTGGAACACTATGCATAATAAATCTTTTACAAAAATTGCCAAGCCTGACACCTGAGCTCTTTCCCAGAATCCACAGTGGAAAGAGAACCCACTCCCAAACAATTTGTGCGTGTATACCACGTGTGCTGTGTGTTGAGTAGTTATGTGTAAACATGGGCTTTACTGTGAGCAGGTGGAGGTCAGAGGTAACATCAGGTGTTGATCATCTACCTTGAGACAGTCTTTTTCCAAAGAAAACAAAAACTTGTCAAGCATGGTGGCATACACGTTTAGTTCCTGCACTCGGAAGCCAGAGGCCTGGTCTACACAATAAGTCCTGGGACAGCCAGAGCTACCCAGAGAAGCCCTGTCTCAAAACCAACCAACCAACTTTACTTGAGACAGGGTCTCTCTCTTTCTGCTGTGTACATCAGACCAACAAGCCCCATTAGCTTCCAGGGATTATTCTGTCTTTACCTGTTACCTGCCCATGGCATGCTGAGACTACAAATGCTTACACAGTCAAGTTTTTTTTTGGTATTTGTTTTTGGTTTTTTTTGAGAGGGTTCTTTGTGTAGCCCAGGCTGTCTTAGAACTCACAGATCTGCCTGCCTCTGCTCCCAAGTGCAGTGGGCATGCATTAGCTGGCTATACAGCTTTTATGTGGGCTCTGGGTATTTGAACTCAAACCTTGCTCACAACAAGCACTTCAACTCACTGGACCATCTCTCCCAAACAGCAACAGCATTTTTATTTCATTCATTTTGAGTTAGTTAGCTATGATCAGTGTGACTGAAGTCATTCAGAACCCACAGTGAAGGAGAGACGGGACTCCTGCAAGTTGTTCTCTGACTTCCTTGTGACCAGTGTTCCTGCAGAACTCTGCAGCTGGCTTGGACCTGCCTTTGTGTTGGGTACCTTCTGTTTGAAGTATGTAAATCATATCTGAGAGTTTCCTGGAGGTTCAAAGCCTATGTAAAATCTGGTTATAGGAGGACTCATCAAACTGAGATGTCCTGTAGCTAGAAACTGCTTTGGCATTGTCTCTTTGAGCTTCGCACAAGAGGTTTTGGTATACAGAAATTGGCTTTAGCTAAAGGGTATGAAATTGCATAATAAATGAGCCCTAGACTAAGCTACAGTAGTTCGCCAGAGGCTGATTCCGCTATGCCTCTGTTTCTTCATTCCACAGACCTGCATGAACCCACACCACATGCACTTCCTGATGGCACACGAGCACACGCATGCACAGACCCACACAAAAATAAAGAGCTGGTAAGCTTAATCAGGAAGTCACTGGTGATGTTGGCAAGTGTGGTTTTGCTTCAATCAGAGGGGAAATGTCAGAGACATCAAGGAGAAGCGCACAGTAAGTCACAGAAATAGTTGCTATCAGCCATTGAGGCACTTCTCAACCGTCCCTAGGCAAATGCTTTGAGAGATGTAAAAAGTTAGAAGCCAGTATGGTAGTTTGTGTTCATGGTCCTGGCTATTTGGGAAGCTGAGGTAAGGGGGCTGCTTGATTCGAAGAGCTTAAGGCCAGTCTGGGGAGCAGAAAAGACTGTGCTGAAAGAAAAGTGATTAAAACAAAATTATGTATGTACTCATGAATGTACGTAAATGTGGCTCATTAGCACCCCACCTCCAGAACTTGGAGGCAGACATTTTCTTCATGGTTAGCCACTGGTAAGGTAAGCAACCCTAATTATGTTCATTAGGGTCTCCCCATTCCCCCAAATAAAACCAAACCTCTCTCAAATCTTGGTGGCTAGGTTTGGCAGACAACACCCTTAACCACTGCTTGATGGCCTCAGAACATTTTTCACAGTTTACTGATTACAGATCTCAGTATGCTTCAGACATTTTCATATTCAAAATCCTATGCAAACTGTCTTTCAATTCTAACCATGGTCTGAGAAGGTTTAAAAGCATTCTGTAGGCGGGCGTTGGTGGAGCACGCCTTTAATCCCAGCACTCGGGAGGCAGAGGCAGGCGGATCTCTGTGAGTTCGAGGCCAGCCTGGTCTACAGAGAGAGTTCCAGGACAGCCTCTAAAACAATACAGAGAAACCCTGTCTCGAAAAAACCAAAAAAATAAAAAAATAAATAAAAAGCATTCTGTAAGAACACAGTGTATACACATGAGTCCATGAAGAAATACTTCTAGGCAGCTTAAAGTTGCCTGTCAAAAAGGCAAAGCATGTTTAGAACTGGTCACTAGATACATTTCACACAGCTGAATATTTTACGTTGAAGGGACCAGGACTCCTAGTTTGTTCCAGGAACTCGGCAAATGAAGGCAGAGCTGTGCTGCTGGTCATGGTGTAGAACACTGCAGTCACTTTTACTATTCTAGGTAGGGTAAGTGTTCTCTAAAAGCAGCAAAAGGACAAGAGAAGATATCTTTGGGACTACCACAAAGTAAGATAATAAACAAGAGGGGTCAGTGCCTAACAACACCAGAGGACTACTAACATAGGTTCAATGACGGAAGGAGTACAGAAGGCAATTATTAAAAAAAAAAAAAAAAGAATCTCAATTCATACAATTGTCTTTCAACAGAATCTCAACATTTTAATTTAAAATTAACTAATAAATCACAATTCTATATTGCTTTAAAGATTATTTTGTTTAAAAATGACACATCTCAAAATGAACCATTACTATTAACTATTACAGGTTAGTTTGTCCAGGTCAGGAGAGAATAAACACAGTGCAGCCCCCTTAACCTCGGAGTCAGGTTTGAATGACAAAGTCCGTCGCCAGCAATGGACATGCAAATAACCATCCAAGAAATTGTAAATACAAACCCCAAACTGCTTCTGTTGAGGGAAAGCCCTTGTGGAGTCACGGCACAGAGCGGGACACTGGCATGCGTCCCAGTGGTCTCCATGGGGCACCTTCTTGAGCAATCATGAGACAGACCACCAGTTCCAGTCCCATCAGCGTGCTGGCTTCCCACTTTGTTGGCAGCATCACCATCATAATGTATCCATAAAACTGTTTACAAACAATGCTCACATCTGGAGCTCAAGAGGCACCACAGCTTCCCACCAAAAATAAACCAGTTCGTTTTTGCAGTTGTAGAAAGCCAAATATAGTTCAGAGAAAAATGAACTCATATGGAAAACGGGTCAATAAGTGCTCTAGATGTTGAGTTTCATTGAAAACCTTTCTGTTATGAAAACTCCAGAGACCTTATCTTATCCTGTATCTTAATAGGTACAACAGGAAATGAAACTATGACCCTTTCCCCAAATACCCCAAAGAGCAAACATATTCATTCATGATTTGTACTGTGCAGAACGGCAAGCATGTGTCAAGTTCTTTGAAAGGGGATGGTAGGGACAGGTGTCTGAAGCAGACCATAGAGCTTTCTCTTCTGTGACCCCAGGAACGTAGAATGGACAATTCCTCCTCCATAAGCAAAACAACAAAGCAATGAGAAGCAGGGAGGAAAGATAGGAGGGGGCGGGCAGGCTAACAGCTAATGCTATAGGTCGCAGACCTTTCATTAAATCTTTAAAATAAAAAGTATTACTATCAATATGCACATTGCAGTTTTCTTTCTCCAGTTTTTTACATGAATACTCTATTCGCTTGGAAAAACAAAAACTTAAGTACCCCCAACACCTCAAATGATCCACCACGTACTTTGCTATTTCATCTCTCACAGTAAAACATTGATAATGGGTTGGGAACACTGTAAACCAGATGAATCTTTATAGTTTACTACCATGAACTTCATCTCTATAATATTGACATTTCATTATTACAACTAGCCTAGAACTTACCAACGTTCACATCTCTCTTGGTTTCTGCTACACCCAAATATTTTTCCTTTTAAATAGAAAAAAGTTCTTAACTTTTAAATTCTGAAAATTCAATGGTTATTACTTGCCCTAGAGGGTGGAGGGGTGGATGCAAAATAGGGTTGATTCTAACAAAAACCAACACCTAAAATTGCAGCATATACAGACACTTGTTTCCAAGGGAACAGAAGGGAAAGGAGCGGCCGGCACTAAAGGCAGAAAGCCTGAGCGGAAGAAGAACAAATTACTTTGGTTCCTAAAGCCAAATCTGAGGAGAAACAGGCAGAAGAGAAGACAAAAATGGTAAGAACATACAGTCAGTGGGATTCTTGCTCTGTATCAATGATTTAGTTATAAATATAGATTATTAGTCCTCTTTCTATACATGTAACAAATGTCAAACTCACTACCATGAATTTCTAAAGTTGACTCTTTCACATTTGTTAAAAAAGGTAAAAATCACATACTTTCCCCTTTCAGTTTAAACTGAAATACTACATGTACAACAGCTGGTCCTAACTTCTATAAAAAGTTAAAACATGTCAAGCTCCTTTGCCAATATAAAGAGCTACATAATTCCTATCACACTTGCCTTGAATTTAGGCACAAGAAGAACTCAAAGAAACAATTCAGAAGGAACGGGTCAGGGGAAAGGAAGGCTACAAAAGAGAGAGAAGACCAGAAGACAAAATACTCAGAAAAACTCGAATCTGACATTCAAGTATGGAAATACCCCAAAGGAGACAACCAACAGGATCTACTGTAGTGACAGTCATCACAACAGCATGCACACGTCAAGCGCTGTCTGCGGGAAATGTAAGGCTAGCGATGCAGTCCACGACTCCTTTTGGACCCTAAAGCAGGGGCTCATCTGGAAGTCATAATCCTCTTACTGCAATTTCTCTTGGTCATCTTTAGTAAATAGTAGTTTGCTTGTTTTTCTCCATGTGATGCAGACCGTCTCTTTATACCCCTCAGAGTAACAATTTCATGTTTAAAAAAATTCTTTTAGAAAATGGATAAAAGATACGAGGCCTCAGTGGTGTTAGCGGTTGCTCTTCATTGCTTCTTTAGCTGCTAGGATCAGTGGCGTCAAGCTAGATAATGGTTTGGCCAGTTTCAGGAAGGGATGCTGCCAAATGGAGGGGAGAAAGGAAGTATAGAAATGTTACTCATTTAGAAGCTAAACTTCCCAAATAGATCATTATTTAATAAACTAAACAAGTACTTTTGATTCCTAAAACTCTCACACTCAGTATATCACTTTAACAGCTCCAAGGGAGTTGGTTTGTGTGTAGTGCGTGAGCTTGTTTGTGTCTATACATTGTTTTCATATTGTGTGCATGTGTGGAGGCCGGAGGTCACTGTCAGGAGCTCTCCCCTCTATCACTTTTCCCTGTGTCTTTCACTAACCTTGGTGTCCACTGATTGGCTACTCTGGCCAACAAGTTCCAGGTTCTGTTTCCCCAGCACTGGGGTTTGTAGACACATACAGTACATAGACACATATAGCCACATCTAGCTTCTTTTTTTTTTTTTTTTTTCGAGACAGGGTTTCTCTGTGGCTTTGGAGGCTGTCCTGGAGCTCACTTTGTAGACCAGGCTGGCCTTGAACTCACAGAGATCCGCCTGCCTCTGCCTCCCGAGTGCTGGGATTAAAGGCGTGTGCCACCAACGCCCGGCTCACATCTAGCTTCTTATATGGATGCCAGGAATCCAGACTCAAGTCCTGAAGCTCAATTGAGACATCTCCCCAGCCCCCACTTATCCTAGCCTTGAACTCACAGCAATCTTTGTCTACTACCTAAGAAGTTAATCTTCTATCTTCTCTTTTCAGCTTTTAGAGACAAGGCTTCTCTCTGTAGCCCTGGCTGTCCTCTAATTTAGAGATACACTTAGTGCTGGGATTAAGGTGTGTACTATCATGCCTAGCTCCTTCTTTCCCCTTAAATTACATTTAGTTAGTGACTCGGTGTGTGTGTGTGTGTGTGTGTGTGTGTGTGTGTGTAGATGAACTTAGGTATTCAGGCTTAGTGGCAAGTACTTTCACCCAGAGAGCCATTTCACCAACCCCCCAATAAGTTTTCCTAATTGCATAACGTCTACAGATTTAAGAGGCCAGGAGTATTGCTGAGACAGCAGAGTGCCTGTACAGGCAGATGGTGGTGCATATCTGTAATCTCAGTTCTCAGGAGGCTCAAGATCACTCTCCATCTTCAAACCATATTGGTGAGCTGTAGGCCAGCCTGGGGAACATTTAACAAATGATTAAAGAAATAAAATAGTTTTAGGGTTAAGACTCATAAATATACTCAGGACAGCATTGAACGGGTCCATGATTTATTAATTACAGACACTTACTACTGTGATTAAAATTTTATGCAATTAAAAATTGTTTTTTAAGGGTTGAAGAGATGGTTTAGGTAAAGGCACTTGTTGGCAAGTCAGATGTGATGATGTATATCCCAACTCTGAGACCTACTTAGTGGAAGGAGAGAACCAACTATTTTAAGTTTCCTCTGACCTCCATAAATGTGTGTCTACACATACATACACAGCTAAATGTTTTGTTTGTCGAGACAGGGTTTCTTTGTATAGTGTTGGCTATCTCAGAACTTGGTCTGTAGACCAGGCTGGCCTCAAACTCAGAGCTCCTCCTGCCTCTACCTCCTGAGTCCTAGGAGTAAAGGTGTGCGCCATCACTGTCTTGCCACCACCATTAAGGAGGTTTTTTTTTTGTTGTTGTTTTTTGAGACAGGGTTTCTCTGTGGCTTTGGAGGCTGTTCTGGATCTAGCTCTTGTAGACCAGGCTGGTCGCGAACTCATAGAGGTCCACCTGCTTCTGCCTCCCGAGTGCTGGGATTAAAGGTGCGCACCACCAACACCCGGCTCACCATTAAGTTTTTTACAAAAACTTTATTGCCAGAAATAAAAGCCTAAAATGCAGCAGCTGCCAGATTTGTGGCAAGTGAATAGGGAAACATCACTACAAAGCTTGTCCCCCAAAAGTTACCTTCACCAAATTTACCTGTAACAGTTCTTTGGCTGAACCCCTTTTCTCCACATCCATCTCCAAACACCGATTTAAGAAATCCCTAAATATTGGAGAAAGTTTTTCTGGATTCTGTAGTTCAGGAGTTCCATTTGTTGCTATCAGGTACAAAGCCTAAAAATAGAGCATTTTGACATATTAAGGGCACTCACCAAATGCCAGTGTATCAAGCTTCTTCACACCCTGGTTTGTCCCTGTACTCTCCAGTGGCAACTCTCTTCTTTCCCACAACTCAGGGACTATAGAGGCCTCTCTCCCAGGTCTCTCGGCTCCTGGCTGCTCTGAGACCTTCACTGCCCACCTCTTAGCTCGTATGGCTTTGTTTCAACACCCAGGGACTCCACGCAACAACTCACGTCTTTACCACAGCTCTTTAAACCGCCATCTCTAACGTTACTCCTGTCCTAATCTGTGGTGACTTCAGTAGCCACAGAGAAGCATGCAACATTCCCTGGTCTTTTGTCTCCCGACACTTCCTCAGATGTATGCTTATGGGCACATGCCCTCTCTTCAACAGAACTAGTAACTAAAGTAACTACCTACTCTACAGATCATCTTTTTCACTCTTAGTACTCCAATGCCAGCAATTCTGTGACAACACTGAGTCCCAGATCCCTCTGATCTTTCCAGTATCCATCATTTCCTTTTGTGTGTGTGGGGTGCATAATGGGGACAGAACCCAGGACCTCAAGCTGTTAGAAAGTACTTTGCTGTCAAGGTCAGCCTGGTCTTTGGTGATAACCTTCTTGCTAAACCCAGGATACCTAAATGTGTAGGAAAAGGCACCTGATGGGCTGGGTTTGTGGCTCAATTGATAAAGTGTGCATAGCATACATGATGCCACCGGTTCAGTTCTCAGCACCACATAAAACTGGGGGGTTGTGGCCAGCTGTGGTGTTGCATGCCAGCAGGATTTGCCGAAGGACTTGGAGGCAGGAAGATCATGAGTTCCAGGCTGAGGCCAGTCTGGGCCACACATTTTAAGCCGGGAAGTGGTGGCGCACACCTTTAATCCTAGCATTTGGGAGGCAGAGGCAGGTGGGTCTCTGTAAGTTCAAGACTAGTCTGGTCTACAGAGTAAGTTCCAGGACAGCCAGGACTGTTTCACAGAGAAACCCTGTCTTGAAAATCCCAAAACCAAAAGTCAAAAAACAAAAAACTCACAAAAACCAAACCAAATAAAAAAAATTAGGTGATTATGGTACACATTTCCATGTCCAGTGCTTGGGAGGTAGAGGTAGGAAAATGATAAATTCACGGTCATCTTCAGCTACATATACAACAAAGAAAAAAAAAAACCCAAACAACTGTCTAGGGTACCTCAACTCTGTAGAACAGCAATTACATTTACATACACAAAACTGTTATGACTCACCACCCCAAACCTACAACTTTCTACTCTGTAACTCAGAGGAATGTAGTTTTTGGATACAGACAAGGAGCTCAGACCTCACCAACCACATTCTAAATTCTTGTGCAATGGTTGACACAAGCAAGTATTTCTTCCTGGGCCTGACTGATGGCTCCAGGGAAAGATAGTGGCTGTCAAGTCAGACAGCCTGAGTAAGGGGAGAAGCCACCCCCACATGTGCTATGGCACACATATGCCCCTCCACTCAAACAAACAAAAGCAAAACCAGTTAAAAGTGTTTTCTTACAGTAAAGCTAGTGTTTCACTGGTCTTACCCGCAGAGGATTTTCATTGAGGTATGGAGGCTCTCCTTCAACCATCTCGATAGCCATGATGCCTAGGGACCATATGTCAACTTTGGGGCCATAGGCTTTCCGTGTAACCACCTCTGGTGCCATCCAATATGGTGTTCCAACCATAGTACTGCGTTTGCTCTGCTCAGGGGTGATCTGGGCACAGAAGCCAAAGTCAGCTACAGAAGAAAGAAAAGCACCAGGGTTAATGGTTTCATGTCTGCTTCAGCAGACATAGCTACACTCTGATCATCCACTCTCTTCTTTGGAAAGAATTTGAAAATAATGCAAAGCAGAGTAAATTTAAAACTTTCTGAGAATGTTATTTACTAATAACTTTCACTGACAGCACACACATTAACAGGTCTTTCTTCTGAATAACTAATTCTAGTCTAAAGAGTTAAAATTGAGCCAGGTGGTGGTGGCGCAACACCCTTAATCCCAGCACTCAGAAGGCAGAGGCAGGCAGATCTCTGAGTTCGAGAGCAGCCTGGTCTACAAGAGCTAGTTCCAGGACAGCCTCCAAAGCCACAGAGAAACCCTGTCTCGAAAAACAAACATACAAACAAAAAAAGAAAGAAAAGTTTAAATTGAAAGAGGTAAAAAAATTATTCAAGGTTAATAATAAAACTAAATTCAGTGAGCTGGGTGGTGGTGGCACATGTCTTTTCACCTAGCACCTGGGAGGCAAAGGCAGTGGGATCTCTGAGTTTATGGCCAGCCTGGTCTACACATAGAAAAACCTGGCAATGTTCAGGACAAGGAAACTACATTTCTTCCTCCTTCTCCTAGACAGGATTTCTCTATGCAATAGTTCTGGTTGTCCTGGCATCTGCTTTGTAGACCAGGCTAGCCTAGAACTCACAGAGACCTACCTGCCTATAAATGAGAATATTAAAAGGTACTAGGTAAAATAGTATTTATAGCGAAAATGAGTACAATAAGCCAGGGACATTCCAAGTAATCTTAGAAAATTATCTAGTATGTTCAGGGGAGAACACATGTATGTTATATATGTATGTATGCATGTATTAATTGTATATATACAATCTTGAGGCCAGATGAGATACATGATATCATCTCAAAAACATCAGGGTAGGGAGAGAAGGCACAGTTTGGCACTCTGGGTTTGATCCCTAAACTGCATAAAGCTGGGTGTGGTGGCACACCTGTGACCTCAGCACTTGGGAGACAAAAGGTAGAACCTGCTGCTGCAGGTTATCAGTCAGCCTGGGCTATGTAGTGAGCTTAGCGCCAGCCCAGGCTACACAGCAAGCCCCCCAGTAAAATAACCAATGCTTTGACCATTTGATTATCTCATAACATTGTAGAGAATGCAGCTGAGGAGAGGGTGGGAGAGGGAGGTCCCTCTAGCAGATCAGATTTAAAAAATAAAAAGCTCTTGGTTCTTGAGTCAAGATAATCTTTGTTTTTTGAAAGTGGAGAAATCTTAGGTCCCGTGGAGTCCTCCAGACGATATAGTTGGGACTGTGGCCTCGGGAAAAATCTGACTGTTTCATGACTTCCTGTGTCTGACAGATACGGTCTTTGGAAAGGAGACTATTCTTTGTTACCCTGAGGTCAAGGTCATGGGAGATCTTCCTATGATGAGGCTGTCTCCAAAGCTTCTATGAGGTTGAAGGGGCAGGCTGAGAAAATACTCCAAACAATCACATCCACTCACATTTCCTATAAAGCAGAGTCCTATCAGGGTAGCACAGACACCAGTCCTCTGTGTATCATTTTGTTTTATTTTAATCTCCAAAACTAATTCCCAACATTAGTATTTTCCTTTTTGTTCATATTAAAAAAAGAACATCAAGTAACTTGTTCAAATCCTCATCAAGTTGTAAGATCTGCTATGAACACAAGTTGCTGGGTTCACAACACACATTTAACAAGCCACCACCCTTCACACACAGTCAACCACAGATACCACAGATACATTAAAATGTCACTTCGTTGTTACTCACTAAGTTTAACTGAGCCTTCCATTCCCAAAAGCACGTTGTCACTTTTGATGTCTCTGTGGATCACTTGATTAGCATGTAAGAACTCCAAGGCCTGTAAACACTGAACAGAGAAAACACCTATCAACAAAACAACCCAACAAGTCCAAGGGAGGTCACAGACAGAGCAATAGGTGAGTACTGCTCCGCCCAGCAGGAGGACCTCCAAGAGATAACATTTGGAAAGAAAAGACATCCTTTCACCTGCAAAGTGAAGAAAAACAAACAAAAGCTACTACTCTGTTTGGACACAATGCGTGAACACGCCTGTGACTTCAGCAGTGGAAGGCTGAGGGAGAAGAATGGAGAGCTCCAGGATAGCCAAAGTTTGGCCACAGAAAGCATCACTGGTTAATAAAAAAAAAGCAGGCAGGCCAAGGTGGCCCATGCCTTTAATCCCAGCACTCAGGAAGCAGAGGCAGATGGAGCCTATGAGATTAAGGCATCAGATCTCTGAGTTTTGAGTCTAGCATGGTTTACAGAGAGTTCCAGGACAGCCAGGGGCTACACAGAGAAACTGTGTCTGTGATAAACAAATAAGTAAAACATTCTCAAAAAGCAAGACTTTCTTCTACTGTCTGCCCTTGAACTCTGCCGTGCAGCAAAGGAGGAACAGAACTCTTGATCCTCCTGCCTCTACTTCCATAGCGCTGGGATTACAGGGATGGCCTTTTTATGTTTTTTGAAACAGAGCTGTGTAGCCCTGGAAGTTCTGGTACTAGCTGTGTAGACTTAGCTGGTTTCACACTCAGAGAGCTGCCTGTCTCTGCCTCCTGAATGCTGGGATTAAAGGTGGCCCCACTGATTTTCGAAACCTAGTTTTCAGTTTCACTTACACAATGATGACTGGGCCTACTTAACTTCTAGGCCTTTTCAGGCTTAAATGCCAGAAGCTACAATGCACTTGATAAGCATACACCGGATTCTGAAAAATAATCAACCTCAAGTGGGCTTGTGACCAGGCATAGGCATGGGGGTGTGCACCTTTAACCCTAGCACTTAGGAGGCAAAGGAAGGAGGATTTTTATGAGGCTAGGCAGAGCTATATAGTAAGACCTACACACACACACACACACACACACACACACACACACACACACACACACACGGTGAATCTGTGACTATTTCCACTAGAACCTGAGTGACCTCAAAGTCTTCATTGCTATTTATTTGTTTATGAAGATATATTTATTATGTATGCTTACATGCCAGGAAAGGGTACCAGATCTCATTACAGATGGTCTGTGAGCCACAGTGTGGTTGCTGGGAATTGAACTCAGGACCTCTGAAAGAGCAGCCAGCGCTCTTAACCTCTGAGCCATCTCTCCAGCCCAGATCTCAAAGTCTTAACTAATGTAAGACAGAAAAAGTAAGTAAGATTTGGGTAGTTTGGCTCTGTTCAGGGCTTCAATTCGGTCTATGCTGACGTCCTTGTGCTTTCATGGTAGAGTTCCTATCAAACCACACCCACAGCCTGAAGAAAGGGAGGTGGGGGTAGGGATCAGTGGCATAGCACTAGCATGCACGAGGCTCTGGGGTTCAATGCCAGCACCACAAAAACAAAATAAAGAATCCTTAGTATAAAAGAGCAACTTTTGGGCTGGAGAGACTCAGGTTCAATTCCCAGCCCCCAAATGGCAGCTCACAACCGTCTGTATCACCTTCATACAGATATAAATGCAGGTAAAATACCAATGAACACAAAGCATAAATAAACAAACAAACAAAAGAGTAACTTTCTTCTGATGCCTCACACCAGAAAGCATTGAGTAAAAAAACAAAACTTAAGTGTCTTCTTCCTTCCTTAAACAGAAAATGAGATTTTCAGGGGATTTGAGAGAGGCTCAGTCACTAAGCATTGGCTGCTTTCCCAGAGAACATGGGTTCACAGTAGCTCACAACTGTAACTCCAATCCCAGGGGATCCAATGCCCTCTCCTGGCCTCCTCAGGTACTGCATGCATACAGTATACAGACAAAAAACAAAAAACACCTATAACACAAAATAAAATACATAAAATTTCAAACAAAACAAAACTTTGGTCCAGTGTTCTTCAATATAAAGAGAGACTGTAAATTGTAAATCTGAGAAAAGTCAGTTGTAACTTTTATTATTCCCATTCCCATCATAGTAAAACAAAAATTTGTATACCATTTATAACAACTAAAAATCTTATTCCAAATATTCAACTACTCTTCTGTTTGTTTGTTTTAGGTCTCGTTTCTCTGTGTAGCCCTGCTACACATGCTCTGTAGACCATGCTGACTTTGAACTTAAAAATCTGCCTGCTTCTGCCTCCTGAGTGCTGGGATTAGCTATCAACTGCTCATTTAAGGTGGGGAAAAATATATCTATCTCAGTATACCTAACCAAGTTCTTGGAAAGGATAAAAAGTGGGAAAATATTTATATAAATTTGTCATAGTTTCTAGAATTCTGGCACATAAAGAAAATCAAAGTAACTGGATGTTGGTGGCACACACCTTTAATCCCAGCCCTCGGGAGCCAGAGGCAAGTGGATCTCTGTGAGTTATAGGCCAGCCTGGTTTACAAAACTACACAGAGAAACCCTGTCTCAAAAAAAAAAAAACAAAAAACAAAAAAAACCACACACACACACACACACACACACACACACACACACACACACACACACACACACACAAAAACAAAGTGAAGGGATAACAACTTCAAAAACTGTTAGACCTGAAAAGAACTGCTAAAAACAAAACAAAAACACCAAAACAGTGAAACACAAATCTTTCAATTTCAGCCAGCTTTTAAGTGACCAAACATATTCTTTCAGGGCTGTATGCTATTTGGAACTATTAAAGAACTCAGTTGGTAGATTCTGGTCTAGAATGCATGAACTCGTGAGTAGATCTCTGGCACTGTGACCCAGGGCAGAGGGGGGCAGGCCTGTAATTCTAGTACTCAGGAGGATCACAATGAGGTCATCCTCCTGCATGTTGTTTGAGGCCAGCCAGGACCACATGGGGCCCTATCTTAACACAGCAGCCAGTTGGTATTTTATAAGAGTCGTGTTTTAAGTACCTAAAAAAGGAAGACCTCCTACATGCAGTCTTTCCAGTTCACACGTATTACTCTAGAGTTGCTGAAGGTTAAAGCCAAACCACAGAGAGCACAATATAGTCCTCTGAACTTAGCACAAACTCCCACAAGTTGTCTTCTGACTTCAATATATGTGTCATGGTAAGCACATGCCCACATACATGCATACACATACAAGGAAAAGTAATAAAAATTTACATATAGATTCTTCACCTTGAGTGATCTTACTAAAGCCAAGGGCAATGCACAGATATTTAAGCATATACACCCCCCTTTTTTTCTTTGTTTTTTTCAGGACAGGGTTTCTCTGTGTAGCTTTGTAGACCAGGCTGGCCTTGAACTCACAGAGATCCACCTGCCTCTGCCTCCCAAGTGCTGGGAATAAAGGCATGTGCCACCACTGCCCAGCTAAGCATATATACATTGTTTGTCACATTGGTTCTATTTTCTACTGCTGAGTCACTTTTTTAATGGTACATCCCATTTTCCTCTGGAAAGTGTCTTTTTGGATGATAAACTGCTAAAGTTTGCCTGTGACTTCTATACCTCACAGGATCATGTCTTGTTCCCAAATTATCTTCCACAGGAAGGAAAGGGTTAAAGTTCTTTTTGTTTCTACAGGGTCTTACTAGGAAGTCCTGGCTGGCCTCAAATTTATAGAGATCCCCTTATGCAACCCCATGGCCAGCAGGACTGAAGTTCTTGTCTGGGATGAAATAATAGAGGAAAAACTTGCAAAAATAAATTAAAAAACTATACAGAGGAAAAAGTCTCTACACACAGAAGTCCTTTCTTTTTTCACGCTTGCTAAGGTCACACCCTAGGCCTATAGGAAGCAACCCACCTCTCTGCACACGGCTGCAATCTGTGCTTCGTCCATGCAGGTTTCCGTTACCACATCAGTGAGCGACCCTCCAGCAAGGTACTCCATCACCACAAACAACTCATCTCCTACCAGGTAACTGAAAACAGATCACACAAAACATACATGGGCTTTTATTTTTCCTAAAAACATGGCTCTCTGCACTGAAGAATTAAAATGCCAAGCCCAATTCCAGAGCCAACCATTTTGGAACTAGGAAGAGCACTTAGCCAGGCACAACTGCACAAAGCAAGATGTTCTCACTGGGTGCAGTGGTGCACACCTTTAATCCCAGTAATTTGGATGTCTGGGTTTGAGGCTACCCTGGTCTACATGGTGAGTTTCTGAACAGCCAGAGCTACATAGTGAGACCCCATCTGAAAAAAAACAAACAAACAAATCAAGATGTTATCAACTGGGTGGGGTAGCAGACATCTACAATCCCATACTCAGGAAGCAGTTAGGAAGAGGGCCCTGAACTAGAGTCTAGAAGGGCTATAAAGACAATGCTGCAAACAAAACAAAACAAACGGAAGCCAGGAAACTATAGTTTGACCTTTGGCCACATTGAGTGTATGAATACGTTATTGCAATTAGAGTCCAACAGAAAAATTATTTAGAGAGAGAGAGAGAGAGAGAGAGAGAGAGAGAGAGAGAGAGAGAGAGAGAGAGAGAGAGAGAGAGAGAGAATTATTTCATTGGGGCAAGCTAAGCATGGTAGCCACTGAGGTAGGAAGTTCAAAAACAAAACAAGAAAAAACAAGACTCCCTTCCCTGCACACATGCACGCACGCACACACGTGTGCATGTGTGTGCTGAACAAAGTGGGATATTTGGAAATGTTCAGTAACTTATCCAAGGTCACACAGATAGAAATTGACAACAGCAGAATACTAAGCCAAGCAAAGCAATGAGCCAAAAGTCTTGGGTTTGTCTAAGTTTTCATGCTATGCTGATGTGAAATAATATTTTATTTAAAAAAAAATTATGGGCTGGAGAGATGGCTGAGGTTAAGAACACTGGCTGTTCTTCCAGAGGACCAGGGTTCAATTCCCAGCACCCACATAGCAGCTCACAACTGTCTGTAGCTCTAGTTCCAGGGGATCTGAAATCTTCACACCAATGCACATAAAATAAATAAAAAATAAAAAAATTCCCTCACTTCCCTTATTTAAAAATAAGACAAAATTAATTTATGCATATGGATGTTTTGCCTGTATGTGTGTCTGTGCACCAATGCACAAGCCTAGAGGCAAAAAGATGGTACATGTGAACCACCATGTGGGTGCTTAGAATTGAACCCAGGTCCTCTGGAAGAGCTCCTAGCCACTGAGGTCTCTCCATCCCTGGGTGGCTGGAGAGTGTTCGGAGAAACCTTTCCAGAGGGCAGGAATTTGGCCCCAGCACCCACAGCACAGATGGATGCATGCACCTGCGCGCGCGCACACACACACACAGACAGACACCCTCATAACTACTCTACTCCAGTTCTAGGTTCTAACATTCTTCTGGCCTCTCCAGACACCATCATGCAAAGCAGTGCACACAGACAAGCAGGTGTACACATACGCATAAGTAAAAAATTCTTAGAAGGAGAAGGGGTAAGTGATATAATAATATAATTTTAAAAACATAAAAAGGTTTCAAAAAGCATACAAGGAAATGGACCTGAAAATTTTGTTCCTTTGAATATAGTCCTTACAAATAAGGACTATACTTACATTTATTTGCCCTCTAAGCAAATATAAAAATAGAAGGACAGTCATGTACACTCTATTATATCTAATACAACCACTGCTATTATTACCAAAGTAATTTATCTAATACAGTTGTCATTCACTAAATAATTATTATCTAATACAATCTATGTTGTCATTCACTCAAGTAAATGTGATTCCTTTTTTTAAAAAACCAGTTGTAGCCGGGCATTGGTGGCTCACGCCTTTAATCCCAGCACTCGGGAAGCAGAGGCAGGCAGATCTCTATGAGTTCGAGACCAGCCTGGTCTACAGAGTGAGTTCCAGGACAGCCTCCAAAGCCACAGAGAAACCCTGTCTCGAAACACCCCCCCCCAAAAAAAACCCAGTTGTAATATATAGTTTTATATTCTGCCTTTTATCTATTGTTTAACACAATACCTAAGCTCGCAGACCTTTTGATAGCAACCTGAAAGGGAAACATGAAAAGTAACACCTGTAATAAAAACTGTCTGTCCATGGTGACACATGCTCCAAGCCCAGCTTCCTGAGACCAAAGCAGGCGCAGAGTGAGCTTGGTGCTTTTCTGGGATAAAAAAAACTAATCTCACAGTTTAAAAACTGTGTGGCTAGTCATCTCTGAGATCACAGCCAGCCATTCCTTATGTCTCTGCTCTGTCCTTTCCACCGGCAATCACGTGTCATCTCAGCTGTCAATGAGATGCTGGCAGAAAAGGCCCTACACTGCAGTGCAGTTTCACCCTCCCTCCCCTCCTCCCTTTGGCTTACTTTTCAGCATTGGTATCTCAATCTAAAATGCTATGCCTGCACCAAAGAATGAGATTATAAATTTCAGGGGTTGGTGTTTTTTTTTTTTTTGGAAGATTGTTAAGTACTAATTGTTAAGTTTATTTTGTGTGTCTTGCTTACGTGTTGGTATCTGTACAGAGACCAGAAGAGGGAGCTAGATGCCCTAGAACCAGAGTCATAGGTGGGTATAACCATTACGTGGGTACTGGAAACCAACCATGAGTCCTCTAAAAAGCAGCAAGGGCTCTTAATTGTTTAGTCACCTCTCTAGTCCCAAATGTCCACATTTTTATCCAATGTATATGTTTCTTTTCTCATTAATTTTTTGTTTTAAGATTTATGTAATTTATATGCATGTCTGCCTCACTGAGCTTATGTGTACTTTATGAGTGCTAGCAGAGGCCAAAGGCTCCTCTGGAAGCAGAGTTACAGGCAGTGGCAAACTGCCCCATGGTGCTGGTCTTCCCCAAGAGCAGTGTGTGCTCATCACGAGCACCAGTTATTTCTCCAGCTTCCCTCTCTCGCTTTTTACATCTTCTCATTCATTCTCATTTTTAAAGACAGGGCCTCAGGAGGCTCGCCCTGAATTCTTTCTTCATCTTCCTGTATCAACCTTTACTCCTGGAACTAGTCATGAATCACTACCCCAAGTTGATCTCAATTTTAAAGAAAATATTCATATTTACCTGTCCAAGAAGTTAACTATGTTGGGATTCTTTAATTCCTTCATCACCAGAATTTCATTAATGATCAATTCCTTCTTTGGTTGTTTTTGTAAATTAATCTGCTTAATAGCAACCTACAATGGAAACATATTTGAAACATCAAAACAGCATTCCTGACAATTACAAGTACCAATTAGCTAGTCATTTAATATGTAGACCTCACACACTGAGATTCTAACTTACTAATGCATGATTTTACATGAATATTGCCTATGTGCAATGTCGTGACATAGATTCTAAATTACATTTGAATTTGTATTTAAACATTTTAAAAATGACATTTTGCTGTTTTATGTGTGGGTAGGCATGTGCTATGGTTGCACACTCTGAGTAAGACCAGAAGGAATGAACTCAGGTTGGTGAGTGACTACCTGCTGAACCATCTCACTGACCCTAGATTTATCTTAGTTTACTAACCAAACCCTGACTTGCTGATACATATTTATAGATCCAGTGCTTGGGAAGTTCACATAGGCAGATACCCTGGTTCCCTGGTCAGCCAGCCTCACATATTTGGCTACTACACATTTATACACATGCATACCCCTGTGCCCACACCATGGTTCCATTCACATCCCTTCTCCTACAAAGAGCTAACATGCAGACTTGAACAGTAGCTACCTCCTGTCCCAGTGCCACATCAGTTGCAGTAAAAACTGTACCAGAAGCCCTGAAAGAAAAAAGAATACAACTAAGTTACACCATTTACACTATTCAACCACTTCAGGTTTTGAACAACTGAAAAAAGATTTAACATCTTATACGCAACACTTCTAAAACAAAAAGAGGGGAAAAACAAAAATGCAATCCTAGTGGCCAAAACTTACACATGCAATATTTCAGACCTATAAAAAAATATACAAAGAAAGAGAGGTCTGGGCAGTGGTGGCACACAACTTTAATCCCAGCACTTGGGAGGCATAGGCAGCCTGGTCTACAAGAGCTAGTTCCAGGACAGCCTCCAAAGCCACCGAGAAACCCTGTCTTGAAAAACAAAACAAAACAAAAAAATAAAAAGGAAGGATGGGGAAGTCCTGTGTATATGTCAATAAAGCACTGTTGGCCAATAGGGAAGCAAGATAGGTGGGACTAGGAGTTGAGGAGGATTCTGGGAAAGAGACATGGCAGAGACAATGTAGCCCGCCAGAGAAGTAAGAGGTCTGGACCCTTTTCTCCAGTAAGAGAAATACTTAGATTAACAATTATGGGTTAGCCAGTAAGAAACAAGCAAACGGCCAACAGCTTCATAATTAATATAGCCTCCTGTGTGTTATTTGGGGACTGCAACTGTGGCAGAGCCCAAGCGGCTGGTGGAAGAAAACTACACATTACGAAGGAAGGAAGGAAGGAAGGAAGGAAGGAAGGAAGGAAGGAAGGAAGGAAGGAAGGAAGGAAGGAAGGAAGGAAGGAAGGAAGGAAGGAAACAGCACACAAATCTACTTCTATTCTTAAGAAACAAAGACGTGGAAGGGCGTGGTGGCACATACCATTAATGTCAGCATGCAGGAAGCAGAGAGATAGATCTCTGTGAATTTGAGGCTAGTCTAGTCTACATAGTGAGTTCCTGGACAGCCAGAGCTAGGTAGAGTGACCCTGTCACACAAAATCTAAAACAAAACAAACAACTAAACAACCAAACAAAAAATACACCAAAAAGTGAAAAACAACAAACAACAGCTCCCCTAAATGAAGAAGAAAGCCAGGGTATACATGTCTATGAGCCCCCTACTCGGGAGTTTAAGACACAAGGGTGATGCTCGCTCAATGCTAGTCTGGGCTTCAGAGAGTTTGTCTCAGGGAGCAAAACTTAAACTAAACAACAAATCAAACAATGAACTATAACAAAACTTGAAGGCTGCCTCTCTACCCTTTGTGACAGGACCTTCTGGCACGTTCCAAGTGTATTCTAGATTTGATGTTTGTCACCCCTAAACATTTCTCTGAACTTCTTTTTTTTGGGGGGGGTCCGAGACAGGGTTTCTCTGTGGCTTCGGAGGCTGTTATGGAACTAGCTCTTGTAGAACTTCTAATTACAAAAAGACAGACATATTTTTCAAGAAAATATATTTGACTTCATTTTTAAATTTCACAAAGTTTTGTTTCATGAATTTCTTTGCAATTTGAACACTGGATTTATGATTGTCATAAGCATTATTTTTGTTCATCCATCATTATTACTATGTAACTTATCTATTATTATGCAAATACAAAAGTAAAAAGGCTGGGGATGTAGCTGGCAGGCAGAAGGCTCTAGATCTTTAGCACTGAAAACAAAGGGTAACTTTCAATTTTTTGTTATTGTTATTAAAATCAGTGCTAAGTTAAGATTGCAAGAGGAGGGGGCTGGAGAGATGGCTCAGTGATTGAGAGCACTGGCTGATCTTCCAGAGGACCCAGGTTCAATCCCCAGCACCACATGGCAGTTCAAAATCTGTCTGTAACTCCAGTTCCAGGGGATCTGACACCCTCACACAGACATGTGTGCAGGTAAGACACCAACACACATTTAAAAAAATGATTAGAAGAGGAAACAGAACAAAAAGCCAAAAACCCAATACAGGATTTAAAGATTTTTAACTGTCAATAGCCTGCAAAAATTCTTTGTCTTTAAAATGCATTATATGTGTGATTTTCTACCTATTTGATCCCTCACCACCTATGGGAAAGGATATGTAAGAAAAAGCCATGAAAGCCACATATGGTGACACAGACCTTTAGTTCTAGCACCAGGAAAGCTAAGGATGGAGGATCACTAAGACTTGGATTATATAGTGACTATGGGGCCAGCCTGGGCTACTTAGGGAAACCTTGAAGAAGATGATGGTGGTAGAAGAAGTGAAGGGGAGAACAGGGTCAGGGAAAGGTGGAGGGAGGACACACAATGTAAAGTCACTTTTAACCAGTGCTTCATTATTTTGATTTTTGAGACAGGGTCTTACCATGGTACAGGCAATCCTACAAGCAATCCTGCCCAGCACCTCAAGTGATACGGTCACAAGTGTGCATCATTATACCCAACTCAGAAGTACAGTTTTGCTTTGACAGTCTCTACATTCAACTGTGTTATGTATTTACATAATCTCCTAAGGTACCATAACTCAGAACAGTTAACGTGCTCAGCCAGAGGGAAGGCTGTATATACCAAGGAATACTCAGTATGACATAAATAACCTCAAACTTACCCTTGTCCAATTTTTTCATATCTTGTGTATTTTTTCTTAGGGTCACCTATGCTCACAATAGTTCCTATTTTAAACAAACAAAAATTAGAAGTCAATCAAGCAAATAATTGCAAATGAAATTTGATAGCTGTTCCTTTTAATAGCCTGCACTGATTATAAAAGCGCTTTTCCACACACCAAGTTTCAAAAATAATCTGCTTAAACAACCAACACTAAAGAAAAATAACCAGGGGCTGGAGAAATGCCTCAATAGTTAAAGTCACAGGCCCTGGGTTCAGTTCCCAAAACCTACACAGTGGCTTACATCCACCCGTAACTCCAACATCCACTTCTGACCTCTGCTGGCACCAGGCATGCACATGGTATATATATATATCCACATAGGCAAAATATTTAACAGACACAAAATTTTAAAGTTGAAAAGAAATTAATAAAAATAAGCGATAAAAAGTGGTGGCACACTTCTCCAAGGAGCTATACTTTTTTTTTTTTTTTTTTTTGCTTTTCGAGAAAGGTTTCTCTGCGTAGCTCTGGCTATCCTGGAACTAGCTCTGTAGATCAGGCCAGCCTTGAACTCAGAGACCTGACTGACTGCCTTTGCCTCCTAAGTGCTGGGATTAAAGGTGTGTATAACCATTGCCTGGCTCCATTTTCCACCTTTGAAAAAACTTCAATATACTAAAAAATAAATATTAAACTCAGGAAATTGGAAAAATATTAATTTAAACTCATATTTACTATTAAGTTAAAACAGGAAAAATGACTCAGCATTAACAATTGCTCAAGGTAAGACATGAACATATCAAGCGAAGTAATAATCTATCTAAGTACTCCACCTCAAATCAACCACTCAAAGCTATAACACACAAAGTCATGACAGTGAAATCTGAAAAAAGAACTGTAGCAAAAGAGGGTACAGATGATTAGAGATCAGGACTAAATGGTGGCAACCATTGTTCTGACTTATTGTTTGAAAGTAGCAGCTTTCCTAAGAGAATGGACATTGTATATTTCTACAAAATGCCAGGGTAAAAGCAGGTTCATACTTGAAAGTACTGAGGACTAAACGCAATAACCAGAGCACACCCATGATTTAAACACTATCTAAATGGGATCTTTCCTTAACTCCTAGACCACTGCTCTTTGAAGCCTCTGTAGATTTTGCCAACATATACTATTGTTACCTTTTAATGCTTGACCTAAACCGACAATGTTGGATTAAAAGGAAAGAAAAAGAACCCACTTCCTATATACTTTATGCTGACACAAAATACAAAAGGTCATGTTCTTTAGGAACATTTTTTAACATCTTTTTTTTTTTCTGAGACTGGGTTTCTCTGGGTGTAGCTAGCCCTGGCTGTTCTGGAGCTCCAACTGTAGACCACACTGCCCTTGAACTCACAGAGGTCCTCCTGCCTCAAACTTGCAAGTGCTGGGATTAAAGGTGTGCACCACCACTGCCCGCTTTTAAATCTGTTTTTGTTTAGTGTGTATGTGTTGGTGCATACACGTTTCCACACATGGCGGTCAGAAAACTTTGGGAGTCGGTTCTCTCCTTTCTCTATGTGGATCCTAGGGAATCGAACTCAGGACACCAGGTATGGTGGCAGGTGCCCTTTCCCACTGAACCATCTTGCCAGTCTATAAGGGGCATTTTTATAGGTTTGTATCGAGAAGTTATATTTAAGCCCTGTTGGGGGAAGTCCTGTGCATTTGTCAATAAAGCACTGCTGGCCAATAGGGAATCAAGATAGGTGGGACTAGGAGTCCAGGAGGACTCTGGGTAGGAGAAACACAGAGAGTTGAGATGTAACGCCATGGGGTAGGAAGCCCAGAACTATTCTCCGGTAAGAGAAATACTTAGATTAACAATTATGGGGTAATTACTTAAGTCAGAGCTAGCCAGTAAGAAACAAGCAAGGCCAACAGCTTCATAATTAATACAGCTTCTTGTGTGTTTATTTGGGGACTGGCAACTGGCAGGGGATAAACCAAAGCGGCTAGCAAGGAAAAGCTTCCCTTTACAAAGCCCCTTTGATAGCGTTTCAAACTATGTCCTTTAGATGTGACTGGCAGGGCTGGGTGTTCGTGGTGCATGCCTTTAATCCCAGCACTCGGGAGGTAGAGGCAGGTGGATCTCTGTGAGTTCGAGGACAGCGTGGTCTACAAAGTGAGTTCCAAGACAGCCTCCAAAACAATACAGAAACCCTGTCTCGAAAAACCAAAAGAAAAAATGGCTAGCAGGGACCACGGGTTTTGCACACACTAAGCAAGTGTTTCTTACTGGGCAGCAACTATCTCCAGCTCTGGGCCAAATGTTTTAAAGAAAGAAAATAAAGTATAGACTGCATACTTAATTTCTCCATAATCTCTTCATCTGTCATCTTGGCTTTCTTTTTCTGTTTGTCTGAAGACTTGGCACCACCATCAACATTTGAATCACCAACTGGAGCAGGAATAGGGTCAATGACAGACCGTGTGTAAATCTGCAAAGACACAATTCGTTGTTGAGACTTGAGAAAAGGCATTTTCAGATGGTCTTTTTTGTTTGTTTGTTTGTTTCGAGACAGGGTTTCTCTGTATTGTTTTGGAGGCTGTCCTGGAACTAGCTCTTTTAGACCAGGCTGGCCTCGAACTCACAGAGATCCGCCTGCCTCTGCCTCCCAAGTGCTGGGATTAAAGGTGTGCGCCAACAACACCCGGCTCAGATAGTCTTAGTAGCAGAAAATGTATTCTGATTTTTTTAAATTTTAAATCAAACTAAGTTATCTTTCCCACTGCTTTAAGAATGGGACAGTATATTCACACAAGAAACACATTAACTGCCAAGCACAGTGGTGCCTGTCTGTAAGCCTAGCACTGTGGAGGCAGATACAGCAAGGACAGCCTAGGCTACAATAAGACCCTGTTTCAAACACTCTCACCTCCCCAAAACATGTAACCAGGAAAATAATGCATAACTTTTATTTTTTTGACACAGCATGTATGCATTTTGAAAATACCTAGCAAAAGAGGTCTATGAAATTCCTTCCAGTGTGACTACATCTAAAGTACTAAGAACAATATAATGAAAAGAAACACACTATTGAGGTTGGAAAGATGGCTGAATGGTTAAGAGCACGTGTTACTTTTCCAAAGTCCCAAGTTCAATTCCCAGCACCCACATGGCTGCTCATAACTATCCCTAACTCAGTTCCAGATGATCTGATGTCCTTTTCTGACCTCCACAGGCAACAGGTGCAACATGCTGCACAATATACACCCAGACAAAACACCCACACACATAAAGTAAAAATAAATTTAAAAAAGCACTCCTGCAGCCAGGCACAGGGCACACACCTATACGTGGGTGCCTAAGAAGCAGATGCAGGAGGATCAGGAATTCCAGGCCAGCCTCAGCTACATAGTGAGACTGAAGCCAGCCTAGACTACACGAGACCCTGGTTCACAACAAAAACAAAATGAACCTAACACAGCTTAGTAATAGAAAAGAGTAGGAGTGTTGATGTTGAGATAACTATAACCACCTCCCACTGTAAGTTTTACACAGTGATCATTTCCTTTCAGCCAGTCCTAAGTCATAAAGAAAACTGCAGCCTCCACCCCTGCACCAGCCTCAGCTCTGTCTGCTGAGTGGAGCAGAGCCCCGGGGCAGCCTTACATCCCACTTATCCCCGTGGGAAGGGCACTACTGGAGCCGTCTCTTACTGCCTGGCATTAAGGCCCTTACTCTTAAAATTCTCTTAATGCTAAGTAATTTCATTCTTAAACGTCTCTTCAATAAACGTACAGCCTTTGAAAGCAAGGTAAAATACATAATTCAGGAAACAGCAGTGAGTTTATCTAGGTCTTAGTATGTAGCTCTAGTTGGCCTGGAACTCACTAAACTGTGGCCTCTTAACTCAGAAAGATTCACCTACCATACTCGATTAAAGATGGGCATCACCATGCTACTCAAGATATTACTTTTTAAAGTAGATATTATTAATTTTAATTTACTTATTGTGTGCATGTGTGTGCACACCCACCATCCTGTGCATGAGGAGGTCAGAGGACAACTTAGAGGAGTCAGATCTCTCTCTCTACCATGTGGGTCTGGGGGATTGAACGCAAGCTGTCAGGCTTGGCGGAAAGCACCTTTACCTGCTGAGTCAGCACCAAAAAGTAGGCTTTGATAAGTAACCAAGTCTCTACATACTACAGTATTTTAAGCTTGAGGGCCTTTAAACATTTTGACTGCAAGTCAAATGCAGACCAATGGTTTCAAAAACACACAGTGTAAGTCACCAGTCAGTCACTCACTGATTTCGTATGGTCTGGCCGAGGGGCAATGACAGGAGGAGCAGCGTCTTCATCATCATCGTCTTCCTCTGTTACTACTGCTGACGTTTCTGATCCCTTAGTATTCAACTGCACTCATCACAGGAGCAAAAAAGGAAGATGAACCAGCAAGGTTAAAAGGTTAAAATGTGACTACCCTTTAAAAATATTTCTAAATTTATTTCTTTAACAGCTCATTTAAAAACAACCAAACTTCACTGGTTCTGATATAACCAATTAAAAAGTAAATGAATTCATATACGGCGAGTATCATTTTTAGTGAGGAGGCTCTGCTAAGGACTGAACCCGGCCTGTGTATGGTGAAACTGCTCTACCACTGAGCTACATCCATAGCTCTTAGATAAGCAATCTATTTCACTGGACCAAAGCAAAGGCCCTCTGGATCTAGGTACACCAGTTAATAAAACAAGAAAAAGGAGCTGACATGTGTAAATTACTTATAATGTGCCCCAGTTTACCATACCCAGAAAAGTACTGGAAGGAGGTTTGGGGAAGAGAGAATATGCCAACCAGTTCACCATATTCAAGTTTAATATGGCAGCACCAGAGAAGTAGCTAAATTGCTCTGGAGTTCAACCAATCAAGTAGGTAACTTAAGAAAAAACAAAACAAAACAACTATGTAACTATTTGTCTGAAGGATAATTTTATTTTACTTTTGGTTTTTTGAGACATGGTCTTGCTAGCCACCCAGTCCTTCAAAATTCACAGTGAGTTCATTACCTTGGTCTTGAGTGATGCAGTTAGAGACATGGGCTATCACATCCGTTTTTATATTTTAGCATGCAAAATATGTCTAGGTAACCTACATTAGAACAGAAACTATAACAAATGAATTATTAACTTACTGCTGGTGTTCCAGAAGGGAAGCCATCTTTCTCTAAATGTGAAACAGAAAAGATATTATTAATTTGAGAGAGAAAGTAGGAATATAACATGTGTAAACTATTTAGAATGTGCCTCAGTTTACCATACTGGGAACATTTAAAACTCAGATTCATCATTAAAAAGTGAGAGCTGATAAAGCAAGAAAGACAGACATTTCCACTGTTTGGTTTAGTATATTTCCATAGTCTGTTGGGCAGAAAAATCACAACACCAGCATTTACACAAGCAAATTTACTCTATGTATATTAAAACTTAATAAAAATTAAATTTTAATTAAACTACTTTGTTACTCTGTATTGTTAAAGCAAAATTTATTGTTTATATTAGATACCTTTCCAGGAAATTGCCCACCAAGAAATGTAAAGCTATCATTCAAAAAATGCCAAAACTTAATGTTTCTTTTTTCTTTTAAAATGTCTGTAGATTTTAATACATTTTCTTAACATTTTCTCGTCAAATATAGTTTTTAGGATAAATTACTAATGAATACAGACTGATTACTATATTTACCCTACATTCTGATCTTTTCTCTTTTCTTTCCTTTTGGTTTTTCGAGACAGGGTTTCTCTTTGTAGCTTTGGAATCTATCCTGGCACTCACTCTGTAGACCATGCAAGCCTCAAACTCACAGAGATCCGCCTGCCCCTGCCTCCTGAGTGCTGGGATTAAAGGCATGTACCCCCACCTCCAGGCTGGTATGGAGGGCACTCTATAGACCATAGTGACCTTGAACTCACAGAGATATGCGTCTCCCATGTGATGGGATTCAGGGTGTTTTCCAGCACACCCAGCTGAGTAGGACAGCATTTTTCATTTCAAAGCCTGCCATTTATTTACATTAAATGATCATCTCCATTTTATCCCACTAACAATAACCATCTCTAGCATGAGCTTGTTAGACCCTTTGCCTTCTATTGCTGGCAGTCATTTAAAAACATCAAAGAGGAAAAGATTAAAAGAACAGAGCCAAAACTTCCACCACCTCCATTTCTGGCACAATGATGAGGTTAATATGACCTCCAGACACCCTGTTCACTACCTGGGCCAACCCTATCACTCTCTAAAGGCAGATTTATGCAGGAGAGCCTTCATTGTCCCAGAAGGGATCTTTTTATCCGGCAGGGCGTTGGCACTTTCCATTCCATCCAGCGCTCACCACTGTCTGGTCTTACCAGGAGGAGTGAAGCTCAGGTACTTCTGCTTCACAGTGTTAGAGTCATAGAACTTCAAGACATCCAGCACAGCCTGAGGGTTCTTCTTCTGCTCTAGTTTGGTAATGTTGGAGGTCTGCAACAGCCTCGCCCACTGTTCTGGCATGCCCTAACAAGAAGAAATTCATAAGTCAGTTATGATTTGAGTTGCTCTAATAAAGAACATTTTCATAGACCAATGACAACCAACTAATACACATAAATTTTAGGTTTTGCTAAAAAAGTTTTTCTAAAATATGTATTATTATTATTATCATTATCATCATCATCATCATCATTAGTTTATGTATGAATGTTTTGCCCACATACATGTCTGTCTATATAGCACGTGTTGTGGATGGTTTTGAGCTGCTATGTGGGTGCTAGGAATTGAAACCAGGTCCTCTGCAAGAACAAGTGCTTTTAACTATTGAGTCATCTCTACAGCCCCCCTATTTATTTAGTTTTGAAACCAAGTTTTAACTATATAGCTCAGCCTGGCCTGGAATTTACAACACTTCCTCAGGTGCCTTAGTATTGGAATGACAAAAGCATACAATTTTTTGTTTGTTTTTTTTTCCCGAGACAGTGTTTCTCTGTGTAATCCTAGCTGTGCTGGAACGCACTCTGTACAACAGGCTGGCCTCAAGTTCAGAGCAATTCCTGCAACCCTTCAGCACTGTTTTACTGTCATAAACAAACCTCAATTAGGTAAACTTACGGTGAACTCTCCAGTGACAGCATCAAAGCCAACATGGATGGTATGTTCAAAATCAGATGGAGGAGAAATCTCTGGCCGTTCTTTTTCTTTCTTTTTACTTCCTAGAAGGCACAGGGGTGGGGAGAGAAAACAATCTCTTTAAACAAGGCTAATTGTGGCATTTATTATCATGTTTGTATTTTTCCTGAAACTGATTAGAAATGAAGTTATTACAGAAGACTCTTCCGCTGGGAACACACAGCATGTATCCAGATGGAGGGTGCCTCCAAAGACATCTTAGGAGGCCGCTTAAGCAAGCTGAGTTCTTCCTAGTTTCCCTCCCTGCTCCTCCAACTTGTTTTTCTGGGACAGGGATCTCATTCTCCAGCCTACACAGGCCTCAAATTCACGGTAATTCTTCTGTATCAACCCATGGATAATACTGTTGCATGAGCCACCAAACCTGGCTTATACTTTCGTTTTTATAAGTTTGTAAATGTTACATCTTTAAATTGCCCAACTTTCTTATGATTACACTGTAAAAAATTTTTTTTGCAAAATTCTTGCAGCATCAGTACCATTCTTTGCAAATTCAAACACACCAATTCCTCCTCCCCCCGAGTCCTCCTCCTTTAATCTGTAGCTCCTAAACCCATGGATCTATTTCTGGATGCTCTGCTCTCTTGAAATCATCTATCATTATGCCAACCCTGTCTACCTTGATTACTGTCATCTTTATACAAACATTGAAAGTACAGTCTAAGCCCTTTTTTTTTTTTAACTTTTTTTCAAATCAGCTGAGATTATTTCAGGTCCTCTACAATACTATATGAAATTAAGAATATTTTAAATTTCTACAAGAAGCCTTCTTGTAGAAATCACTTTAGAGTTTATTGACACCTTGCCTTCTAATCCAGGACCAACAGCAAATCTCTATTAGTTAGGTCTTTAATTTCTCTCAGCAATGATTGCTAGAACTGGGAGAATACAGATACTGCCACTACTTTCATCATACTTGTGCACAAGATTACTTACTAATTTTTGATGCTACTAAGAATGGCAGCTTTGGGGTTGGGGAAGTAACTCTGAGGTAGCTTGCTTACCTAGCATGCTTGCAGTCTTGGATCTATCCCGCCAGAAAATACAATATAAAATTAACTCTTCAGGACTGATCTTACATCCAAAAACTCTCTTCTACGTACTTTCAAAATTTTGAGGGTTTCATAGGATATTCTATAAAGTAATATGCTGTGGTAAACTAAGGAAAAGTTTGCATGTTCTTTTTTAATCTGAATTATGTATTTACTTACTTACCTGCTTACTATTTAACCTTATTGAACTGGCTAGTCCCTAGTTACAACATAATTCAATAAAGGTGTTAACAGGAATTTTTGTGTTTTACTGATCCAGAGAGTTAAAACAGCTAGTGTTTTTTTATTTTATTTAGTTTTATATTTTTTGGTTTTTTGGGACAGGGTTTCTCTGTGTAGCCTTGGCTGGGATTAAAGCCACGTGCCACCACTGCCCAGCTATTTCTTAGTTTAATATCAACAGTCAATGTTTCTAGCTTGTCCTTATCAAATTTGGTATTTCAATTTCAAATTTGCGCAATTATATTAGAAATGAACATTGGACTATGTCAAATGTCTTTTCTATATCTACTTAAATGATCATTATGGCTTACCCTATATTACTCTGATTTTCAAATGTTTAATGAGCCTTGCAGTCCTGAAACAAACTCTATTTGGCCCTGATTTTTGTCTTTTTAATACACTGTTGGATTACTTACCACTGTTAAAACTTTACCAAGATTGTTCATCTATGTTCAAGAAATGTATAGCTCTCTCTCTCTTGTAATGTTTTTGGTTTGAAGTATCCAGGTAACTCAAAGCTCATTAAATGTGTTGGGAAACATTACCGCATATTCAATTTTCTTGAAATTGTATACAACTGGTAATAAATTCTTCCTTAAATATTTCACTGATTCACTAAAGAAACCAGGCAGGTCATAAATTTTCTTTGTGGAGTTTTAGCTATAAACTAAATCCAGTCTTCTTTAATCTTTTTTTTTTTTTTTTTAGTAAACTTTGGAGATCTGTATCTTTGTTTTGTTTTTAAGACTGTGTAGCTTTGGAGCCTATTCTGGCACTCGTTCTGTAGACCAGACTGTCTTCAAACTTGCAGAGATCCGCCTGCCTCTTCCTCCCGAGTGCTGGGATTAAAGGTGTGTCTCAGAGCCACCACCACTCAGCAGAAATCTGTATCTTTTAAGAAAAATTTTTTAGCAGGGCAGTGTCGGTGTATATTTTTAATTCCAGCACTTAAGAAGCAGAGGCAGGTGGATTTCTGTGGGTTCAAGGTCAGCCTAGTCTACAGTACATTTCCTAGAGGCTGTATTTTTGGCTGCTTTATTGATCATTTTTACAATCGTTTGAATGTTTTATTATTCTCTTTCATTTCCTGTGTTATGTTTACCTGTTTAAACTGTACAATCCAATGAATTTTTGTATATTCAGAATTTCTAAAACATTATTACCATGTAACTAGCATACTTTCACCATTTCCTAAAGAAACCCTGTATCCATTAGCAATTACTCCTTACTCTACTCTTGCCTTACTGTAGTCCTTCATCAAATAATAATACTTATATTTATGTGTATGTGTATATGCCTGCTTGAGAATACGTGACTGCTTGTGTGCAGGTGCCCTCAAAGGCCAGAGGAATCCACCAGGCGTCCTGAAATTAGATTCCAGGGAGCACTGAGCTGCTTGATGTGAGTGCTGGGGACCAAACCTGGGTCCTCTGCAACAGCAGCAGTACTCAGTGCTCCTAACTGCTGGCTCATCTCTGATCCTCATTTTTAAAAAAGTAAAATTGTTGTTTTTCTTAATGTGTATTAGTATTTCACACCTTATGTATATAAGTGTACTACTTATGTGAAGTACCCATGGAGCTTAGAAAATAGCATCAGATCCCTACAACTGGAGTTTCAGATGGTTGTGAACCATCCTGTGGGTACTAGGAATGAAACCCAGGTCTTTGCAGGAGCAGCAAACTCTCTTAAACACTAAGCCACGTCTCCATTTCCTGGGTCTTTTGTTTTTTTCATGTATATTTTAAAAATTTCCCTCATTCTATTTTATTTGCCCATTATTTGCAACATATAACTTTTCTTTTACAATTCCTATCTGGGTGTTTTTTGTTATTGTTGGTTTTTTTTTTTTTAACTCTGGGAGATTTTTCTTGATTATCCTCTCACGCCCCTATTGGTATCACATTTGTTCTATTAATTTTAAATAATGGTTTTCCAAGAATTATTTCTCATCATTCTACAATCATTTTTGTTTCCTCTGAAAATCCTTTTCTTATCTCCTGAATTTGTCATCCTTCCTCAAAGATCATGCTGTATACATGCACATGTCAGCTGGACTTTATGGCTTGTTGGTTTTTTCCTGAAGTGGAATGCTTTTTCTAAACTTGTTTAACAAAGTGACCTGATTTTTGGAGTCAGGTCTTGTTATCTGGCCATGGCCAGCCTTGACTGCACTTAGTAATCCAGGCAGGCCTCACAGGCATGTGCTATCTGGTGCTGCCCGCGGCTCTGGGTTCTAACGTCTGAACATGTTCTTCAGATGTTTGGTGACCCTTTGCTGTCCACTCTTAAGAGAAAAACATTACACAACTAACTGGGAGACAATCTAGATCAAAGATGAGGACAGGGCTCAGGGTATCTAAAGTATGTTCCACCAGAACACTCTGTTTATCCAGAGAAAAGCCTCCCAGTGTCTAGTGAGGGCCAGGACAGGCAGAGGAAAGGAGTGTTTACTCTCAACTTATCAGGGTTTGCAATGAGAATATATGTATGGCTGGCTATAGGGAGTGAAGCAGTGTGACTGCTGGGTAAATTCCTATGCAGATTTCAGCGGCTCCTCTCTTTTACCCTCCCTGTATTCTCTGAATCCTGAGTCACACGCTCCATTGTGCAATCACTCTCTACCCACTTGGGCAGGTAAGTTCTTTCCAGGCAATCTTCTCAGTGTGCTGAGTTCTTGGACACTGCCACCTTTCCCTCCCTTCACCCTTACAGTGACTTTGAACAGATGACTTTAAACTGACATTTTGGTTGGGTTTTGGGTTTGGCATATACTCGTGTTCCAAGTACACACAGTGTAAATATTTTTTAAAAATTGCAGTATCTTAAAACCCAAACCTGAAAACAATACAGAGAAACCCTGTCTTGTAAAAAAAAAAAAAAAAACCAAAACCCAAACCTGTTTAATTCTACTTGCTTTTCACAAGTACTTGCTGTATTTTAGTAGTCTCAGGGGGAAGAGCAAAGTGTTTTTTAAACAGAATCTGAATAATTGAAATGTAGTCAATACTGTCATGTTAACCAAAGACTCTACTGTGCTGCTGTTTGATAAATCTGCACATAGGTATGCTAGCAATGCTTTCCTTTGCTCACAAAGATGCTACTAATCTAGCACTCACAGGAAACAATGCCATTTTTTGACTAATAATGACACATTTCTGCAAAATGTCCATGCTTCTTCAAGATTCTCCAGGTACACACATATACCAACAGGATATGTGACAAGAAGGCAGGTCTCACCAATTGTGGAAGGGAGCAGAGGGAAAGGCAATTATTAAGCTTGCACAAAATTTTGTTGTCTTTACTATGACTCACAATTACATCTACCATAAGCAACCTTTCATCTTCTACCAGAATGACTTGAGTACTCTGAGGTCAGGACCTCTAGTCTTCTTTCTGTCCCTAAGCTTCTAACTCATTATACTGCAAACAGGAGAAAGTATTTGTTGGCTAAGAACTAACAGTTTAGTTTGTATACTAACAATTTAATTTTTGTAGAGATGACAGAAAAACAAAAGCATGTGTATTAAAAAAATATCTGTTTCTTCTTTTTAAAAAGTCTGTTGCAGAGGCTTTTCTCCTGTTACTGAAGGAACTTCATCATTTCCTAATGGGTACAACTGGGAAAAATGCCATTTTCTTATATGACCTTCATCCCAGACACCTAACCCAAAGTGGACATCAACTTCAGGCCACATGAGCCCTAGTCCCAACCTAACATCCCGGCCAACTGCTCCACAGGGTGACTGAGCTATGCAGAGTGAGTGAGTGAGCAGATTAGAGGGCCAGCTGGTACTGAAGGCTGGAAGGAAGAAGTCCCAGCTACACCAGAAAGAATATTTCATGAATGTTAGTGATGTAGAATAGTCTAGAGAGAAGCCTAGAAATATTAGTCCACTCAAAGGAAAATGGTGGGAACCAGGTGGCTCCATGGTGAAGCCGTCTGACAACCTGAGCTCACTCTCATGGACACACATTGTGGAAGCAGACAGACAGTTCTTACAAGGTGTCCTCCAACCCGACACATGCACCACAGTTGGCAGGCACATGCATGCACATATCCACAATAAATAAAAATCTTTGCTGTTTGTTTTTTGAGACAGTGTCTTCTGTCTGTCTCTTTCTCTATCTCTATATAAATACACATATATAGCGCTAGCTAGCTCTGGCTGACCTCAAACTCACAAAGATCTACCTGCCTCTGCCTCCTAAGTGTTAGAATTAAAAGACGTGTCACTTGGCCTAATAATAACAATATATTTTTTACAAAGTGTTTCTCTGTGTAGTTCTGGCTGTCCCAGAAGTCACTATGTAGAGCAGGTTGGCCTTGAACTCACAGAGGTTCACCTGTCTCTGCCTCCTGAGTGCTGGGATTAAAGGCATGTACCATGTATCCTTTTGTGTTTATTTTTTTTAATTAAAAAAAGTGTTACAATATCCTAAAACTAAAATCTGTTTAATTCCACTTAAATTTCACACATACTGGCCATATTTTAGTAGCCCCTGGATGAGGATCGAGGCTTTAGAAACAGCATCTGAGACAAAGATCTGAAAGCAAGCTTTAGAGTGAACATGTGCTAGACAGACCTGCTCTAGAGATCAGCTGCAACTCTAGATGCCAACACTGGGCAAAATAAATAATTATGCAAGACACCTAGTTTTGGAGAAGAAATCTGTTCATGTTTAAATATAAGTCAACTTCCCACTTTTGCCTGTCAAACATAACAATCTATAAGATACAAACAACAGGTCACTTGATGAGAAATAATGGACCACAGAAATTTGTTTGAATCACCTCTGAAACCTAGTATATAACAAAACAGGAGCAGCGGGGGGCGGGTGCTTGAGCCACATGCTGACATGGAATCTTAAGGCCACTGTCTTTTTCTACATTTGACCCAGCTGGAGTCACAGTTAACAGCCTCATGTGGGGCTAGGCTTGGGGGCTCATGCCTACAATTCCAGCACTTGACAGAATGAGGCACAAGACGGCTGTGCATTCCAGAACAGAGAAGAGGAAAAAAGAATACTTAAATGGAAGACTCCTCAGTTTCTAGTCTAACAATCAGTGATGACATCTCCAAATTAGTGAAACTACACTTGCTCCATCACATAGAAGAGTTATTTATTCTAAAGGAAGTAGGTCAAGTATAGCTAGCATTAGTATTAATTCTGGATTTCTGGACAAGAAAGGATGCTTACATGTATCTTCATAACTGATATGAAAAGTGCACACAGGATGAATTATCGGGTCTAATTGCCTCCATTGATGAGCAATCAACTCAACACTAGCTGTCTGACTAGAGCCCATAATAAACCAAGACAAGGGCTCATTGCCATTTCATTATTAAAACCACTAAACTGGCTAAAGCTCCTGCAAAAGCCTGACAGTTTCCAAGGTAGTTTTAGATCTCCAACAAAACCTCATTTTTATATGGCTACAAGTCTCCTGTACCTCAAGTAGAAATGTGGCCAGCTCTTGCCCTGGTTTAAATTCTGCAATGGTTCCTCAGGAAACAGGAAAAATCCAAGTTCTATAGCACAGAATACAAGGCCCTTTGTGACCAGATCTTTCCCCACTTTCCCCATTTCTGCTGTGTGCAGTTCCATGTGGATATCACACATGCCTGTAATTATCATGTGCCCTCTGTTTCTAAATCACATTGGCCTGCATTCAGCCCCATGAGTGTGTGGCCAGGTATGGATGATTCTTTTCTAGGCATAGAAAACACTGTTTTTTTTGTTGTTGTTGTTTTTTGTTTTTCGGGACAGGGTTTCTCTGTGGCTTTAGAGGTTGTCCTGGAACTCACTCTGTAGACCAGGTTGGCCTTGAACTCACAGAGATCCGCCTGCCTCTGCCTCTGCCTCTGCCTCTGCCTCCCGAGTGCTGGGTTTAAAGGAGTATGCCACCACTGCCCCAGCTTGTTTTGTTTTCTGAAACAGGGTCTCATTCTGCAGCTCTGGCTGGCTGGCCTGGAACTCACAGAGACTTGCTTGTCTCTGCCTAAGTGCTGGCACTAGGGACTAAAGGTGTCGCCACTACTTCCAGCCCTGACAGACCCTTCTTAAAAGAAGACATGTTGAGGCTGTATCAGTTCCTTCTGACTATGACAGAACATAGGACAAAAAGTTACATTACCACTGAAAAATAAGAAAGATTTTAATTTCAAATCATAACTGAGTAAGGATTTCAGAGGAATGTATCCTCCTACGTTGTCAACCTTTTCTCTATGTATGTGAGCATACTTTGGAGACCAGAGGCTTACACTGTCTTTATCATCCTCTTCCTTATTTTCTGAGATAGTCTCTCATTGGACCTGGAAGCTCATCAGTTGGCTAGACTGGCTGGCCAGAACCCTTGGGATATGACTGTCGTCCTCCCTCCTAATGCTGGGGTTACCGGTACACACTGCACATCTGGCTTTCATATAGGTATTGACCTTCACTCTTGCAGAACAAGCACTTTACCCTCCGAATCCCATCCCATATTGCCTCTTTTTTTTTTTAATGTGTGCACGTGGTGTGTGTTTAAATAAAAGGACCATTTGTGGGAGTTTGTTCTACTTCATTATGTGGGTGCTGGCACCTGAACTCAGGCTTCTACATTACCATTCTTATACCAGCAGTATCTTAGTTTTATGTTCTCTTACTGTCATGTTGCACCCACAACCAGCAACCAAAAAAGACGAGTGCTTCCTTAGGCTCAGCTCCCCTTTCCCACTTATATAGTCCAGGATTCCAGCCAGGGAACAGTGCCACCCACAGTGGGCAGGTGCTCCCTCCCATCTTGCTTCTAGATCAAGCTGACAATTGAGACTAACCATCATGAGGATGTACCTCAATATCACTGCTATAGTTTAGAAATGGCTTATTCTCTAATGGTTCATATCCTAGAGGCTTGATTCCCCAGTCAGCAGTATAGAAAAGAGTAGGGTTCATGTTCTTTGAGAGAGGTAGAGGCAGGAGGACTACCAGTCATAAGGCCTATCCCACTACATAGAGTTTGAGGCCAGCCTCAGCTACAGAAGAATGTCTAAACAAAAATCAACCAAACAACATCAATAAAAACAGTACAGAAAGGTAGTTGGAACTCTCAGGGAAAGGTCCTCATAGGAGGTGATGACCACCTTCAGAATCTATTAATGGTGTCAGTGAGCACAGTGATTTTTTTTTTCAAGACAGGGTTTCTCTGTATTGTTTTGGAGGCTGTCCTGGAACTCGCTCTGTAGACCAGGCTGGCCTCGAACTCACAGAGATCCGCCTGCCTCTGCCTCCTGAGTGCTGGGAACTTTTTTTTCAAGATTTATTTATTATGTATACAGTAGCCTGCCAGCATGTATGCCTGCATGCCAGAAGAGGGTGCCAAATCTCATTACAGAGGGTTGTAAGCCACCATGTGATTGCTGGGAATTGAACTCAGGACCTCTGGAAGAACAGTCAGTGCTCTTAATCTCTGAGCTATCTCCCCAGCCCCCGAGCACAGTGATTTCTGAGGGAGCAGATTCCCACAAAGGGTGACTGGTCCTTCCTGATTCTTCTTCTGGGTTTGAACATTCCCATGAGCAGCTGGCTCCTCTCCTAAATCTTTACCATGCTGTGACACTGACCTCCTCAGATACCAGGGTTGTGCTGTCTTGGAGTTTCTAGCCATCAGAAGTACAGACAATATAAACCTCTTTTGGGGGAGTGGGGTGAGGCTGAGACAGCTCACTGTGTAGCCTTGCATGACCTGGAGCTTAGTACGTAAACCAGACTGGCCTCAAACTCACAGAAGCCACCCGCCTCTGCTTCCTGAGTTTTGGGATTACAAGTGTGTACCACACCTACATAAAGTACCTGGCCTTAGATTGCTAAAGCCACAAAGAATAGAGTAAGGCAATCACAAATCTCACTAATGTCAGGAAGCTGTATAAAGTTATCAGAAAGTGAAGGTGAGTATAGAAATTCAGTGCCTGTAGCAAGCACGCTGAACATCAATCACACTTTAATAAGGTCGTCTTGCTAGGCATTACAGCACACCTGCAGGCAGGAGGACCAACTGCTTCGGCTACACAGTAAGACGCTGGATGAGCAAGTCTTGTTTTTCTTCTGTTTTAGAGACAGGGTATCCCTGTGTACTCTAGACTGACTTTGAATTCCTGAGTTCAAGTGATCCTCCTACCTCAGTCTTCCAAGTACTAAGTAAGGGTTTGTGCCATCAAGCCCACAAGAGTTTGTTTAGCAGTGCCTCTATTATTATCAGCATCATGAGTTTTTTTGTGTGTGTTTTTAAAGATTTGTTTATTTTTTGTGTTTAAGTGTTTGTATGTGTGTATGTATGTGCACCACATGTACGCCTGCTGTAGGTGGAGGCTGTGGATGTCCTGGGATTGGAGTTAGACAGTGCCACACTGCCACGTGTGTGCTGGGAATCAAATCTGGGTCATACTCAGAAAGAGCTGTCAGTGATCCTAACTGCTGGACCTCTCCAGCCCTTAAGTGTTTTCTTAGATCTGTTTATATTCACCATAGAAGACATTAAGAGGAAACACACCATAAGCCAAGTGTGACTTCTGAAATAACAGCAGCTGTTACCTTTTTCTGTGCCCGAGAATATGGAGATGATTTTGTTCCTGGGCTTTTTTTCCTCTGGAACAGAAGGCAAAGGTTTCAAACTGTGATTGGCCGATAAAGGATCTTTTCCTCCAGTGCTAAAAATGGTGCTGCTCATTCGCACAGGAGGTGCTGGAGGCTTGTCTTCTAGTTCTCCGTTATCAGACATGATTTAGAATTATCAAATGGCCTGGAAGAGAGGCAACCCCCCAAACATTCAATTAATAACGAGGTTAAAGACAGCACAGACAATACCACAATTACCACTACCACAGCTGTAAATTAGGAAATGTGATCCAGCTAGTAACATTAGCAAAATTTGGATAAATAAATGATAAAACAAATTTGTTTTAATAAAACCAATCTTCGAGCCGGGCGTTGGTGGCGCACGCCTTTAATCCCAGTACTTGGGAGACAGAGGCAGGAGGATCTCTGTGAGTTCGAGGCCATCCTGGCCTACAAAGCGAGTTCCAGGAGAGCCTCCAAAACAATACAGAGAAACCCTGTCTCAAAAAAAAAAAAAAACTTCACTAAATAGCCAAGAAACAATTGAATAGTGTGTTCACACTAACACATTACAAACAATTTAACAAACAATTCTGAGATGATTCCAAAATAAAAATGAGCATGCATATAGTCTACTATAATTAAACCAAGGTGAGATAAATAATTTAAGTAGGTCCTATAACAAGCAACGATATTGAAACAGTAATTAAAACAACAACAAAACCTTTCCAACCAAGCAAAGTTAGGCCCAAATGAGACATCTACTTTCTCAATTTGTATTTCAAGACAGCACTTCAAGTCTTCGTTAGAAAGAGATGGTCAGTTTTCCTACACTCTAACAATAAACACACCAAGAAAGCAGGGAAACAACCCCACAACTGCACAATTACTTCAAAATCAAATAAAAAACAAAACAAAAAACCTCACAAAACAAAAGAAGTATTAGACCTCTAAAATGAAAACTTTAAAACATCAAAGAAATTGAAGACACTAGAAGATGGAAAAACCTCTCACACTTTTGGATTTATATAATTATTATAAAAATGGTCACCTTACCAAAAGCAATCTACTGATTCAAGGCAATCATCAAAATCCCAATGCCATTTTTCACAGAAACAGGAAAAATAAACCAGGCAGTGGTGTTCCATGCCTTTAATTCCAGCACTTGGGTGGCAGAGGCAGGTAGATCTCTGTGAGTTTGAGGTCAGCCTGGTCTTCAGAGAGAGTTCTAGGACAGCCAGAGATACACAGAGAAACCCTGTCTTGAAAAACAAAAACAACCCCCCAAACCCCACTATATTGAACACCCTCCAAAAGAAAAAGAAAATCTTAAAGTCCACATGGAAGCACAAAATACCAAGGGAGCCAAAATAATCCTTAACAAAAATAAGAATCCTGGAGGTAACACCATACCTGACTTTAAGTTACACTATAGAGCCATGGTAATAAAATCAACATGGTACTGGTACAAAAACAGATATACAGATCAACAGAATAGAAGACCCAGATATGAAATTCCATAAATACAAACACCTAATTTTTGACAAAGACGTTAAAAATACACATTGCAGAAAAGGTAGACTGCCTCTTCAACAAAAGGTGCTAGGAAAACTGGATATCCATACACAGAAGAATTTGATACTTAACTCTCACAAAAATCAACTCCAAATGGATCAAAGATCTTAATGTAAGAACTGAAACTCTAAAAGTGCTAGAGGAAAAACCATTCAAATACTGACAGAGGCAAATACTGCCATAGGATGTTCTGAACAGGTCCCGTAAACTCTGATGAAAACGCTAGAGGAAAAACTAAGGCAAATACTCAATACTGTTCTGAATGGGCTCCACTTGCTCAGGAAATAAGGTCAACAAAGACAAATTGGACATCATGAAATGAAAGCTTCTGCTCAGGAAGGAGATAGTTAATCAAATGAGAGACAGCAGGATAACAAGGGGAAACTTTGCTGCTATATAGCTTATAGAGGTTTACTATCAAACAGGGTGTGCTTGTTGTCATCTACAAAGCAGAACAAAACACCTGAATCTCCCCCCCCTCTCACACACACACACATACACACACACCCATCATAAAATTTGAACTAAGTTTAATATTTTGTTTTGTATCTCTTGCTACCCATGTGATCCATGAACTGCCTGATAGAATATACAAAGAACTAAAGAAACCTAAGTAACAAGAAATCAAAACAGTCCGATCAATAAGTGGGCTATGAAATTGACAGTTCTCAAAAAGCAAAACCCAGGACCAGAAGAGTGGCTTAGTAGGTGGAGGTGCTTGCATCCAGGCCTGACAACATTTTGATAGCGCCCTGTAAGGTGACAGGATGCAAACTGAATTCCAACCATGTCCTCTGGCACTGTCACATTCACAAACATAGGCACACAAAATAAATCTGAAATACAAACAGCAATAAAGAATAAACCACCAGGGAAATGCAAATCAAAGTTAGAGTGAGTGCCAGGACAGCCTCCAAAGCTACACAGAGAAACCCTGTCTCGAAAAACCAAAAAAGAAAAAAGAAAAGAAATGGAGTTCAAACAGAGCCCTTAAGCATTTACTGGTAGGAGTGTGAACTAGTAAGGCCAGTGGAGGTTTCTTCCAAAACTAAAACTGTTAAGACCCAGTTATATCACTGATGCTTTTACCAACAATCTGCAAGTCAGCATGTCAGAGAGATATTAAATGGCCAGTGCACTATTCTGGAGCTATGCTATGGCAGGAACATAGGCATCCAACAAGAGGATAAAGGAAATCCAGACAATATGTGACTTGGAAGTACAAACGTCTTAAGGGACAAATAGAAGTAATGAGATAGGCAAAGAAAAGGAAGCATAAGGCATTGTGGGGAATTAAGGCTCAAACACAACACATACTTGCACTAAAACTTAAAGAAGGGCCGGGCGGTGGTGGCGCACGCCTTTAATCCCAGAACCACTCCGGAGGCAGAGGCAGGCAGATCTCTGTGAGTTCGAGGCCGGGCTGGACCGATAGCCTCCAAAACAATACAGAGAAACCCTGCCTTGTAAAAACCAAAACCAAACCAAAACAAAACAAAACAAAAAAAAAACCTTAAAGAAGGGGTGTGCTATGGATGCAAGAATCAGTCTCTGAAAATCTGACACATGGATCTGAGTACAGCACACCCAAGAATCAGTGTGGCTTTAATGTCAAGACTCCATCTGTCACCTTGTAACGTTTCCTTCAGATATACAGGTGACATACTTCCCATAGCTAACTTGGAGAAATTTTTAATCTCATTTACAGACAAGTATGGATACATATTCTGTCTTTTTTTGTTTGTCTGTTTTTTTCTTTTCTTTTCTGAGACAGGGCTTCTCTGTGGCTTTGGAGCCTCTCCTGGCACTCACTCTGTAGACTAGGATGGCCTCGAACTCACAGAGATTCACCTGCCTCTGCCTCCTGAGTGCTGGGCTGAGATTAAAGGTGTGCGCCACCACCGCTCCCTATTCTCTTTTATATTTAAAATGTTTTTCCCAGTCTCTTTTGTCTCTGTTTTTTTAATCTTCCTGTGAGCGTGTGAGCGTGTGTGCGTGCGTGCGTGCGTGTGTGTGTGTGTGTGTGTGTGTGTGTGTGTTTTTGTGTGTGTGTGTAGGCCACAGGGCAACTTCAGGTATGAGCCCTTGCCTTCCACCATCTTGTGAGCCAGGGTCTCATTTACCGCTGCACATGCCAGGCTAGCTGGCTCATGAGCTTCTGGGAAATTCTATCTTGTTGTAGGAACACCAGGGATGTGTGCTACCATGCCTGGCTTTACATGGGCTCTGGGGGTCCAAATTCAGATCTTTACATTAGTTTGGCAAGTGCTTTATCCACAGAACCATCTCTCCAGCCCTATTTTTGTAGGAATGCATTTGCTCTTTTCATTGTGCGGATACTGAAGGTCAGGCTCAGGGCATCAGGCTTGGAAGCAACTGAGCCATCGCACCAGCTCTCGTCTGTCTTATTAAAACAGTGGGTTACAGCAGTAAAATAGCTCTACCTTACACAAATTCTGATATGAAAGTATGTATGTTGGAAAACCAGACAACTCCTCAGTAAATAAGGTTTTGAATGGCAATTGGATAGTGATCTTTTGTGAAGAAACCCTTGTTTATCTAGAATAAAAAGAAGGCTACTACATCTACATAAAAAATTTTAAAAATCTTTATTTCTTCAACTTAGCTCAAATTCTAGGACTTGGAGAAACACAGCTATAATTTGAGAACAACTGAGATGCAGACATTATTTCCCTCTGAATCTTGCAACTTTTATTTCTTTCACAGAGTATGTCACAAATGCTACTTGTCCTGGTACATTACTTAGACATACATTAACTGCCACATTTGATATGTGAAAGAAATAACCCACCCAAAAATAAGAGGCTTACTAAAAACCTGCACACAGATCTGATCCTAGGACCCTATCCAAGTATCCTAGCTCCTTCTTCCTCATGCTTTTCTCTTTGCTAATACAGTGTACTGGATAACTTTTGGCATTGAATTACAACTATGACAATTAGTCATGATTTATGTCATTTTCCTCCCCAACACTTCACTCAGACCAAAGGGCAAGGGCTTTGCATGTCTTAGACAGGAATGCTGACTGACTCATGTCGACCATATTCTATCCCCATGAAGTCTACCCTTCCTGAATGTAGTAGTCATTTTCTCACACAGCAGTTCATCAGACACAAAGCAAGCCGTATTAACGGGATTACCTTTGAAAAGCTTTGTACTTGCCCCTCACAACTGACTTGTGACCTTAGTCTCCTTCCTACAAAGCAGTCTTTTGTACATTGCTTCTACTGACAGTGCTAAGAGCCTGAAAAGTCCCTATTAAGGTCGTGATAAAATTCTTTAATCTTGATATTTTAGACAATAACAATAGGCATAAAAACAATTCACTGGTGATATAGCTTAGTTGGTAGAGCGCTGGGTTCAACCCCAGTACTATATAAAACCAGACAAGGGGATGCATGCATCCTACCACAGGGAGGTTGAAGACAAGAAGTTCAAAGTCATCCTTTGCTGCTTAAGGAGTTGACACCTGCCTGAGATACATGAGACCCTGTCCTAAAATCAAGCCAAGCCAAATAAACTTCATGACAAAATAATGTACCCTGCATTCTGTTCTATCACTACTTAAAAATGACATATGAAAAAAAA